AATGGCATCATCTTCACCGTAAGTTCCAGACTGTATCAGCCCCAACCTAGCTTTAATCCTGCCACTCTTCGTACCTAAAACATTGGCTGTATCAAAATGAGGCTCCAACTCCAAGCAATATTACTCAGATTTAATAGGGCCTAATAACCTTAGTTCACATGTATCTCAATCCTTGCATTCTATTAGCTCTTCAAATCGCATTGCTGAAATCTCCTTCCATGGTTGTTCGAGATGGGAATGGAGTTAGGCGTTACATTGGTTGGGCTGCCGTACTTTAGGCTAGCAGGCTTGTTCGTTCTGTACTCCGTACTTGGTGGGCCTGATACATACTTCCTCCTATGAAGAAGAGAGCAACGAATTCTATACGAAAGGTCTGAGTAAGTAGTGCAAAAATACAATAGTAACCGAAATAACTTAACCCAATCGTCCTACAAGACATGTATAAATAGAGCCGGAGTGGAGCTGAAGTGGAACAGTCGAAAGGCACAAAGGCAAGGGCCTTATCAATCGGGTACTTATCAGTGGATGCGGTGAGGGATGAGCCCATTTGTCCCTTTGATGTTCTATTGTATGTTGTATGTTCGATGTATTATGATGTTGAAAGTATAGGTAATATAAGCATATGACTATATGGTATCAAATTGGAGATCAATTGCCAATGCTCAATTCACAAAGTACATGCATACATTGTATATATGTACCAACTACTGCGGCCTGAACTCTCGAGCAACGCGTTGCCCCGGTCCCTTGTACATCATTACAGGGCTATACATGATTGTATGGTATTTATGGTATTGGAGCCACAAATTGTTGCTGATCATCGGTTCGGGTGCGGTAAGGCGCCAAGTTAACAGGAGGCTGGGCATCATCTTCACACATGCTTGGCACACTCGCTCGCTTCTGGCCTATTTCTCACTTTCCGTTCTCACTACCTCGGTCATCTGGCCTATCGTACTTATGCAGTCCCCAGGCACTTCAAGAACCCAGTTCCCCTATCCTGAACACCTGGACCACCAGACATCCCCCGAACGACCCTCGGGGTCTGGCAGTGCCGACACATCCATGGCTTCCCAGCAGTCCGGCCGCAGTTCCTCCGCCTCGTCTCGATCCCAGTCCAGCAAGAATCAGGTAAGTCTCTGGCTGCCTGTCAATCGCCTACATTCCGATGGCTAATGAATCGGTGTTTTCCCCCGCCGCACAGCCCGATAAGCAAATATCTCAAATCGAAAAGAGCGTCACGCACCTCTTGGTTGCGACAAAGCAACTCCTCGAAACCTTAACCCAATGGTCTCGGAAGCAAGCATCGGAGAATGACGTGTCGGATGTATATGTTCGATTGGGCTATGAATTTAATTTGGCTTGTCGGGCCTTCAGTGCCATCGGAGTCGACACCTCAGACCTCGGTCCCGTACCAGACCTGCTCCGCACCATACTTGAAGACACTCTTAGTCAAGATGCTTCTTCCCAGAGCCTCGATAGATACCTCCCCCGAATCCGAGATATAATCATCAACTTGTTAAAAGGGCTGAAGAAAAAGCAAGCTCGCCTAAGGTCCCGGCACCCGCGGGAAGATGGCCGGCCCACTCCAGGACGACAGGCCAGCGCGGGAAGCATCGTTAACGGTCAGGCAATTGGTCAGCTTTATGATGATGCTGCAGCATCCACCATGCCGTCGACATCCCAGTCCCCGAGAAGATCGAATCGACGATATGGCAGTGGTGGATCGCTGGAGGATCAACCGGCTATTGCTCGAACCTCCTCAGCACCTTCGACAACCGAACCACGCGTGGCAAACAACGCCGAAAGGGAACTATCGCGCCGAGAGGCCCAGCAAATGCTGTCTCAACCTACCCCCTTCGATAATGACACAACCCCTCGAGCCACAACATCCAATAACCCAGCGCCTTCAACATATGTTACACCTGCCGGTTTCAGTGCGCCTCCGCCTCCGCCTCCGCCAAAGGAGGATGACGCATTGGGGGCTTTGCAAAGAAGTGGAGAGCTTGAGCGACGTGCCTCACGTCGATTCTCTGCTTATCAAATTCAGAAACACTTGGGCACATCTACCAACGGCGTTCCTGTACTCCCTACCCAGAACTCTCCCATACCCAATCGCGGTCGTGATGTCCGCGAATCTTTGAATGCAGTCCGTCTGCGGGGCTCATTTACTCATACGAGACAACGATCCAACAATCGGTTACAGGAAGCTGCGAAGGGTGCGCAAGCTCCCCCACCCGCAAATATTCCAAATGTTGTGGAAGAAGAACGCACGCCTCCACCTGCTGCACCTCAACTAGAACCACAAGGTATCGATGCCGTACCATCTGAGGTGCCCACAGAAGCGGATGTTCATAAGGAGAAAAACGATACCGTGGAAACTGCGATCGTTCCTCCCCCTATCATTCCACAACCCCAAGAGAAGCCAACACTTGAGGACGCTTTTGAGCCCGCAAAACCGGCACCCCAAACCCCGAAGGCAGGCTCCTTTGGACCGTCCACCGAGATTGCAACACCTCTATCGGCTATTCAATTTGCTACTGAGCAGCCCTCACCGGGGAAAGAGCTGACGCTGTTCCTGCAGTATAAAAGCAAAATTAAGAAGTACGTGCTCCCAGATGGTATTGCAGAGCTCACCATTGGGCGCCTGCAGCTTGCTTTTATTGAAAAGTTTGCGTGGAATACCCACGACAATGGCGTTGATTTGCCAGAAATTTATATCCAAGACCCAATCTCAGGCATCCGACATGAGCTAGAAGATCTTGCCGACGTCAAAGATCGGTCTGTGTTGGTGCTTAACGTTGACAACCTCGATGAGGTCAAGAAACATTTCGATGACAGCCTTGGAAGCGTGCGCCTCCTGGTCGAAGGTGTCAAAGAAACACTTTCTGGCCAAGGGAATATCATCCAGAGGGTTTCAGATCGCCAGCTTGAAGCTGCCAAAGAAATCGCCCGCTTGGCTGCTGCTCCCCAGCCACCATTGGAGGGAATTCGAAGGGATCGATTGCCGGCAGTGGATCTCAAATTGCCGAGCTTCAGAGCTTGCGTCGTGACTTGGCTGTCCTGCGTCAGACCTACTCCAACTTTACTGCCGATATTGCTGGTTCCATGAGCGCAGTTCGTGCTAAGGCAAGCAAGGTGAAGACCGCTGCTGACGACGTTGCCACTCCGTCCTATGAAGGCGATGCTGGCCGTGCTCGCGTCAATACCGGAAAGAAGGAACTTGCTAATGAATCGGAGCGACTGGTGGCTCGCGTCGATGATCTCCAAGATTTGGTCGAGGACCTTCGGAAGGACGTTGTGACCCGTGGTGTTCGTCCTCTCCCAAGACAATTGGAGGGTGTCAGCCGCGATATTAGCATGGTCATGAAAGAAATTAAGAAAATGCAGGACTTCCTGGGTCGCGAGAAGCCCATCTGGACCAAGATCTGGGAGAAGGAGCTACAACTGGTTTGCGAAGAGCGAGACCAGCTTACCATGCAGGAAGATCTCGCTGCCGACTTGCAGGACGATCTCGAGAAGGCAACTCAAACCTTCGCCTTGGTGGAGCAAGCTACGAAGGAGCAGGTCTTGACGAATACAACCGGTACCACCGCTGTCCGTGCCCCATCCAGGACCCTTGGAATCGACCCCACTATTGATCCCATGAAAGCCAAGGACGGTGTCCTTGGCGAAGTCCGAGCTTTGCAACCCAACCACGAAAGTCGACTAGAGGCGATTGAGCGAGCCGAGAAAGCACGCAAGAAGGAGCTTGAGACTCGGCGAATCGGCCTTTTCCAGAAGGAATTGGGTGCATTTGTCGAGGAAGGCAAATTGAAGAAGAGCGGTGGTTTCGAGGAGACTGAGCGCCTCCGTACTGCGAAGGACGAGCGCATCCGCAAGGAAGTTTGGGAAAGACAACAGGCCCGCAATGCCGAGATGGAGAAAGCAGAGGCTGAAGCCGCTGCTGCGCAGGCAGCGGAGCAAAACAATGAGGAAGAGGGTGGAGGTGATGATGACCAGCAGGAAGGTGAAGGGGACGCCACCCCGGATGATGTAAACGAGGTAGAGAAGGTAGAAGAGCCCAAGTCGCCATCTTCCGACACAGGGAAGTCACTGCCCAAGGCGCTGGAGGAAGACAACACCACCTCTGAACAGCCCTCTGCTTGATCCTCTATTGACACAAGGATGTTCCTCCATCCTCCATCCCATCCTCAATCTGATCATCCTCAACCCTACGAAGTCTCATCCCGAATCTCTCATAGCCAAGGGCAAGTGGAATTAGATTCACATGTTTATTATTTTGTTTTATTGCGTTCGACATCGCATTGGGGCTTTGGTTTTGTTCATGTCATTTCCGTTGATACCTTTTGGCGTGTTTCCTGTGCGAGAGCCCCTTATGTCATTTACTGACGATACCCTGCCATACTCTGTGGCTTGCCACTAGCATTTGGTCTTTGATTTTGCGAATGATATGAGCACATTTGACGTTAGCGTTGGGATGTTCTTTGGTTTGAAGTAGTACTAGTTGGAAGTAGACTCTTAATATTGTATTACGTAGGCTAATATAGAGCGAGAATAATCCCAAATACTCAAATCAACTAATATAAATGTTCCAACTAACTACTCCGTACTCCGTAACTTGACCTGTCTACCCTGCAAGCTAATGCCGTAGCGGTGTGCGCCTCCTGCATCCTGCACTCCCAGCCACCCCATGCAGCTTTGTAGCTTTGCAACTTTATACAAAGCCCAATGCGCCCTTAATTTATTCCTAGATCGACAAGGATCTTTCACCTAAATTCGTCAAACTCGACTTGGGTTGGGTGTTAATGGACACAAGAATATATATTTGCACCAGTGCACCCACCGCAACCCAACTCGAGATTTGGTTCCCAACCAACTCATTCACAGCCCTTGTTAGTGAAACAAACATCTGAAACAGCCACCCAACTACAAGAGCGCCTCCAACCCGACTGTTTTCACTAGTCTCAACCTAAACAAACTCGAGATCTAATCTGGTCACCATGCTCAGCGCCAGCATGCAGCTCCTCCACGCTCTCACCATACTCTGCTTACTGCCCCGGTTTTCAAAACTGATCTCAGCAGAATATACAAATGGCTCTGAGGATTTAGAATCCAAAGAGGCTGACACTTCTCCATCATTGCCAGCAAATTTCATCCTCCAGCGCAATGCCGCTATAACATCCCAGCTCGCAGCAGGGCTAGCTCTCGGCGTGAAGAAAATGAGCGAAGATGAAGGCGAGAAATTCTTCCTCGACTATTGGAGTTTTGGGGATGACTTTTCGTCTGGGAACATATCTGAGCGACACCTCCTCGATGAAGATGGATTTTCCCCAGCACGCTTTGTGGCCCAATCATTCCCATTCGGGCCGTCATATTCCATGGACACAAATGGAGACAGTCAGTTCCTTTCCCGAGAGAATAATAACAGCGCCGTCAATCTGCTCGAGAAACGAGATTTCAAGTGTCCGACTGGGACAACGGCGTGCGTATCCATCGGTCGATCCGATCGCTGTTGTGGGTCCGGGGAGACATGCCAGATCGTCGCTGATACGGGGCATGGCAATGTGGGCTGTTGTCCTAGCTGGAAGACTTGCTCTGGAATGATTGGGTCGTGCCAGAGTGGGTATACGGCTTGCTCGCAGGCTTTGGGGGGTGGATGTTGTATTCCGGGGTATGATTGTGTTGAAGGGGGATGTAAGTGGATTTCCTTATTTTATTTTCTCGTTCCCAGATTGCCATGTGGAATCGGGGATATGAGTGCTTTTACTAATTGCTCGAATAGGTGCATACATCACTGTGATTACGGTGTCTATCCATTCAACTGTGGTGTTATCTACTGTGACTTACTCGACCAAACCACAGGATACTACTTCCACTTCCTACACCCCCTCAGCGACCTCTCCCTATAGCAGCAAGTCCACGACAAACGATAGCCTGGCACCACCAGCACGGCCTACGAACCTCTCAACAGTAACCAGTAATACCCGCGGTAGCGATGTCTGCCCAACTGGTTTCTACGCCTGCTCGGCCGTCTACCAAGGTGGTTGTTGCCGCACCGGAAGAGACTGTGATACGACCTCATGTCCGACCACATCTTCGACAACCATAATATCAGATGGTGTGACGATTGTAGCGCCCGTCGCGACCACAACGCAACACTCTGGTGGAAACCGGTGCGCTCAGGGCTGGTTTCATTGTGCTGACACCGTGGGTGGAGGATGCTGTCCCATGGGATTCGCATGTGGTGCTAGTTGTACTGCAAGGGACATTTCGTTTGGGACGACTATCGCCAAGGAACAAGCTACCGCGACTAGCGGAGCTGGTGTGGTGCGTCGAGTTAGCAAAATGATGTTGGGGATGATGCTGGGATTGGGTGTGGGAATTTGGATATTATGAAAAAACAAAAACAAAAAAAAAAAAAAACAAACAAACAAGAAGATACGATACAGATGAATATGAATGACAATAAATCTGCAAACAGCTTGGAATGTGAATTTTATAGAAGCTCTCCCCACGGGGTTTAGTAATCGGGCTAAACGTACAGGCGGAGTCTTACCGGCTGCTGCACTCGGACCTGACCACCGAATCTCGCCGACACCGGGAACCTCCGCTTTTCTCACTTCTTCTTTCTCCAACCCTCGTTCTTTTCAGGTATTGTGAGTTAATATGTGATTTGATCGCAAAAGTGTGCTTTTAAATCACTTTGTGATCCCAATATTATCCATACATGGCCCCATACTGACATCCCACACCTCAGCCGCCATCATGTCCGAAACTCCCCAGGCACCCCCCCCCTTCATCTACCAGTTCGCCGCCGGTGCGGTGGCTGGTGTCTCAGAGGTATGTCTCTCTTGCTTTTGCTTTGGAAAGTGATTCCGACTTGATTCGTTGTGTCGGAACCCCCCCCCACGAGGTGCTATGTTGACTAACGCGTCTCTCCCCGCACGAACAGATCCTGATCATGTACGGCTCTCCTCTCCCCTTGTTTGGTCGCATGACTACCTTTCTTGGAGATATGCGTGGTATAGTGTGGAAATTGGACTCAATTGACAATGTGTGACTCGCAGGTACCCTCTGGATGTGCTCAAGACTCGAATGTAAGCAAGCCGCCGGTCGCAGTAAACACCCACCTCATATGACCTGAGCTAACGATATCCACCTACAGTCAGCTCCAGACCGGAGCCCCTGTCCCTGGTGTCGATCACTACAATGGCATGTTCGACTGCTTCCGCAAGATTGTTAAGAACGAGGGGTATGTTATCACCCCAGCGAAGTAGCCGCGGCTCTCTAACATGCGACAACGTATCTAGTGCTTCCCGTCTATACCGTGGTATCTCCGCGCCCATCCTGATGGAGGCACCTAAGCGTGCGACCAAGTTCGCCGCCAACGACAGCTGGGGTGCTTTCTACCGCAACCTGTTCGGTGTCGATAAGCAGACCCAAGGTCTGGCCACTTTGACCGGAGCCACAGCTGGAGCGACTGAAGCCTTCGTGGTGGTTCCTTTCGAGCTGGTGAAGATCCGTCTGCAGGATAAGGCCCAGGCCCACAAGTACAACGGTATGTTCGACGTTGTGAAGAAGATCGTGGCCGCAGAAGGCCCGCTGGCAATGTACAACGGCCTTGAGTCAACCATGTGGCGCCACGTCCTGTGGAACGCTGGTTACTTTGGCTGTATCTTCCAGGTTCGCGCACAGCTGCCTGCCGTCGAGCCCGGCAACAAGAACCAGCAGACCCGCAACGACTTGATCGCTGGTAGCGTTGGTGGTATCACTGGTACTATCCTCAACACCCCCATGGACGTCGTCAAGTCGCGCATCCAGAACACCTCCAAGGTTCCTGGCCAGGTCCCCAAGTACAACTGGGCCTGGCCTGCTCTCGGCACCGTTATGAAGGAGGAGGGCTTCGCTGCCCTGTACAAGGGCTTCACCCCTAAGGTCCTGCGTCTCGGCCCTGGTGGTGGTATCTTGCTTGTCGTCTACACCGGTGTCATGGATTTCTTCCGCAACATGCGCGATCAAAAGTAAATTGATCGTGCTTGTTGTGGTTGAATGTTTGATAGCGAAAATGTTTCCCAAAAAGCAAGAATGGCCATTCACCTCTGACCCTGACCCCTTTGCCCCGATACCCTCTTCCACTATCCTTTCTACCTTGGATTCAGAGTTGACAGAACATGTGGAGGAAGTTGTGGTTTATGGTTTCTTGTCTTTCTATACTACACTCTTTGCATTATACAATAGAGAACGGCCATTAGATGGACATAAAACAAAATAAAACAATAAATTCATGTGTTCAAGTCTATTTCTATCAAAATTTATAAATCTTCACATCTATCTGCCAAAATTGAAAGACAACAACAAGTAGAACAAAATACTCAACCATGCAATGCAGCACAAAAGAACACCCCCAATGTACACCAATTAACAAATGGTCAACCTCACGCAATTCCCTCGGAAGTAGGCCCCAAATCCGTTTTTCCAGATCGATCAACTTCAACCCTCTCCTCAGGCTCCCACATAGCCTCCCTCATAAATGTACTCCTCTCCCGAATCTGCGGTCCCTTCAAAACCAAAACAACGGGAACAACCGACAACGCAACTCCAATAAACCCAAGTAAAGTCCCCGCCCATCCAAACCCAAGATTGCTAAACAACTGCGGCGAAGCAAGCGGCAAAAACGCACCGAAAGCATTCCTGCCAAGCGAAGCAGCAGACAAAGCCGACGCCGCATACCGCTCATAAGCATCAGTCAGGTAATTAACAACAGCCATATAAATCGAATAAATTCCAATACCCGCAGCCGTGATACCAATAGTCGGCACGATCCAATGGATATCCGGCTGACTAGCCCAGCCATACCAGAACAGACCCGCGGCAAAGAGCAGACTACCCGGGATGGATGTGTAGAGTCTTGCTTCAGGGATAGGTTTACCGGGTTTCTCTTTGTTGCGTCGCTCAGAGCGGAGATAGAACCAGTCTTGTAGGGGGTTGATGAATGTGCCGATGATCGCACCTACTGAGATGGCGAGCTGGACTAGGCCGGTTCCTAGTGTGCCCCAGCCGTAGTTTGTGGAGTAGGTTTGGACGACGCTGGAGAAGAAGAGGTAGAGGATTCCCCAGGCGAAACTAATCCACAAAGTGAAAAAGATTACGACTGGCTCGGTGAGTAACATGTTTGTTGGGCGTTGGAAGGAGATCTTCAGTAGGCGCAGCTTGCTTGGTGCATCGATTTCAGAGGCTGCGTAGACTGGGCGGTTGGTTTCCTTGCGGATTTTGCGTGCGCGCTTCTTGAGGATCACGTCTGGGCGGGTTTCGTTGAGGATTAGCCAGAAGACTGGGATTAGGGCTGCGTTGTAGATGATTTGGACGTAGAAGATCCTATACGGAGGTGGTTAGTATAATGTGTTCTTGGATCCTTGATCATCTATTAAAAAAGAGGGATTATGCTTACCAACGCCACGGCTCCGATCTCTGGATCTGCACAATAGCAGATCCAATAAACGGACCAAGTGCAATACCAACAACACTCGTAAATCCGAAAATAGACATCGGCAGACTGCGAGCATGGTCACCGAGCCACACGTCGGAGATACTTCCACCGACGATATTAATCGAGACAGAAGAGGCACCACCACCGAAGAACCGTGTTACGACGAGTGTCGCGAAGTTCTTTGCGAATGCGGACGGGAAGAGAGAGATAACAAGAATTACATATGCCACGAAGTATCCTGGCATACGGCCGGAGGCTTCAGTCAGAGGGACAAAGATCAAGGGCCAGAAGGCGGCGCCCATGTTCCAGGATGTGGTAGCCCAGTACAGGTTTGGGAAGGGGGAGTTCTGGACGTTGAATTCCTTCTCCATCCAGTCGTTGCCGGAACCGTAGGTTCCTGCGGGGAGACCGGTAAGGATGGAGCTGGTGGGGTTTGTTAGCTGGATGCTTTAAAATTATGTATAGGTGGTGACATGGAATTTCTTACATGAAGCACACGGTGATAGTTAGCAGCCATTTGTATCGGAGGCTCCAATTAAAGGGATTCTCAGGGTCGTCGGGCCCGTTCCAGGTGTGGATTTCAATATCTTTGTATGCAGGAATTTCCTCCCGGACATCTTGGTTGAACATTCTCCCAATTCTGTGAGGGTGTGTTAGTAATCTTTGCCTTTTTCTGCGCTGTTTACGAAAAACATAGAGGTTGGGGTATGTATGGGAATACTAACTTAGCAATCAAACCAGACTTCTTCTCTTGCTTCATAGCAACAGGCTTCTCAACCGGCGAGGGAGTCTCAGTAACAGGTTCTTCGACCTGATAGACCGAGTTACCACGAATCTCATCTTGATCCGCCATGACGAGCAAACAGCTATGTCTTCCCTTTCCTCAACGGGTTGAAATATCAAACCTGTCAAAAGAAAAACAAACGACAACGCACGAAGAAAAAAGAACCACAATCGGAACAAATCGGTGATACAAGCCCTTACATAATTAATAAAGAACCTTGGAACCCCTTGCCCTGGTGGAAGATATCTAAATCCGAACCGAGTAAACCGGCATGCCGAAAGCCAAAATCCGACATCCACATCGGGTACCCGGTCGGAATGGTGGACGTTGGTTGGCGCCCACTTGCATCCACTCCGAGTCTAAACCCACTTGATGTGATTTTATTGAGCTTTCTTTTTTTTTTTCCTAACGCCGCTGACATATGGCCTCCAGTTGGTAGTTCCAGTTTTATCTCCGTTTTTGAACGAACCACATCTGGTCATGCTCTCTGCCTTGTTTTGGTATGTCCGAGGTTCCTCCACCGGTGTCTTCAAAATCTGCAGCCTGGTGTCGTCATCTTGGAAACTGTTTGGTTCAAATCGGATGCTTATTATGCCGATTGAAGCGAGGAACATGCTGTGCATTTTGTTTTTATGGTTTTATATCACAATCATTCCAAGCCGGAAGATATTAGGTTTGATATTGTTCAAAGCTTATACCAACGATGTCACACAGTAGAATTGCGAACTCTAATAATGCAATATTCCAAAGCATATCCTATTAAAAAGATAGATCTCTCTAGATAACCTGCTATACACTGGACATACTCGAAACTAACCGCAGTAACACAAAAATCAGACAGTATACAATTCCAGGTATGACGTAGGTCGATTACAGGGTTGTAGAAAGCTTGGAAAGCAAAAAAATTGACCGACGCAGGGATCGAACCTGCAATCTCTTGATTCGTAGTCAAGCGCCTTGCCATTGGGCCAGCCGGCCATGCTGTGGTGAGATTTTGGGCCCAAATGTGCATAATCAGCGGAGGCAGACTTTTCTAGGGCAACGGCCCACTTATTACCGCATCGGGACTTTAGTGCATTAATGAACATTAGGACTTTATGCAACGCTGTGGTCTTACTATATACTACGTAGATTTAATTTGATCAAAATTTAACCAGACGTTGTATGGCTCGTATTTGTCTAGCTAGCCACACCATGATGCTCACTCCTGGGGAATCCGTAATCTAGGAAATGTTGGTAGACTTCTTACTTCCTTAGCCGTTGCAACTCAAGCTATGCCCTGTATAGCTGCTTGATGTTGTGGTTATAATGTTCAATCAGTGAGGTAGGGAACCCTCTAGTTCCTTTGATCTTCTGCTCGAGCTCTTTTGTTCTCTTGAAACTGTTAGGCGTTGACCCTATGAAGGGTTGCATTCTCCGCTCGGAGAAGCTGAAGACTGGTATTGTCCGATTTAGGGTCAATACTGGTCGTGTTCCGTAATCTACGTTGGTAGTAGGTTCATTCTTTAGATAGGCGCTGCATGTAGGATCGGGCATCCAAGGGATCTCGAGAGATCATTAGGGACACAAAGTGATCGAGGTGCGAGGAATGAAAGAAGAAGAAGAAGAAGAAGGAGGAGGAGGAGGAGGAGGAGGAGGAGGAGGAGGAGGAGGAGGAGGAGGAGGAGGAGGAGGAGGAGGAGGAAAATGTAAATGAGCTCTTCACGTAGGGGTTTTCCTCCTCAAGCTGGGTTTAGGGAGCGCTTAAAGGTAGTCCTAAGGCAAAATGAGCAAATGATTGACTGAAGGTAAATAAAGGTGAAGTGAGAGGTATTTGAAGAATCCCTGATGTATAAGTGCCCATGGAAGTATAAAGAGAGGATTGACAATTGGAGAGTGCGGGGGTAAAAGAAGAGGAAAGGAGAGCGGAAAGAGTGGACGATAGAGAACGGCGGATGAGAAGAGTAAATCTTAACCAGTTTGGAGGAACGTTTATGGGTAGTATACTTATCTTGAGTCTACTTTTAGGCTTGCAATAGGCCAGGGAAATGCTTCGATGAACGAATGGTTGCTTTGTAGATCGCGACTGCGACATTACAAGAAATGATAGGAGTAGAGAGTCGAACGGGCGGATAGGAAAGAAAGAGATAGAAAGACAAGAGAGACCATACCTCGACAAAACAGCAACGCCCTACCTAGAGTCTCAACGATATCTAGAGATAGAGATATCTAAAGATAGAAAGTACGGTGTAATCGAATATAAAAAGCTAGCTCAAGTTCAATAGTGCTAGTCTGACACAAATTCTCCTGCACTTATTTCCCTTCGCATGCGATCATGGCCTCCAATATTGCTCGCTCTATCTCTGTCACATATTAAAACGAAGCCATAATAGGACAATTCTAAAGTCAAGGAAGGAAGCACACATTGATAAAAGAAGACATATGAGTATGTTAAGAGCTCTATACTGCAATAGGTACCGGACTACGGGTGTTCATGCACAATATTAGCCCTTGAAATTGATATTGAAGAACAATTTGAGTCATATTACTCAGATTAACAAAACTTTGATTCGATTATCTGGTTGGTAGTCCTTGCGCTTACTGGCCCTTTAACTCCCGAAGCTCAAGCGTATTCTTATGGAGTTCTATCACTAGTACGTTGTACTTGTCCCCAAGAGCAGCGAACTGATCCTTTTGCTGCTGAGCTGCTTCCTTGAGCTGCTGCAGGTCCTGGGCTTGCTTGGCGTTAATGCGGCGCAGACTCGTGTTCTGCGCCTGCAGCATTTGGAGGGTCGTCTTTCCTGTCTTAGGGTCAACGGCAGTTGCCTTTCGCAAATTGCGTTGGTAGTAGTTGCGTTCTTTTACGAGGCTCTGAATGCGTGATCGTGCGTTCTCTAGCTCCCTGGAATGTGGGCCAGAATCAGGAAGAGGATTAACTGTCGTAACCGGAGTAAATGGGGAAACATGTTGGGCACAGCCCTTCGGGTTGGTCAGTGCTCGTGGGAGATTCACGGTACGAGGAATGGCATTTGCCTGTTGAACATAGTACAGTTAGTACATTTTCCCATTATACACGAGTCAATCACCAGTAGTGACTTACAGTGACATTGGTTGCACCGTTCGAAGGTGCCATTGTAATTGCAGGGGCTTGGGGAGGGGACAGAGTCGATGGAGTGGCGTAAGGAGCCGCAACAATCTCAACAGACGAGGCTTCAGCAGACGAGGCATCAGGAGATGAGGCTTCAGGAGATGAGGGACCAGGAGATTCAAACAGAGAATTGGGCGAGTCCACAGACTGGGGGCTTTGTCCGACAATCTCTTCTTGAATGAGCCGAGGAGGAGAGGGTGGCATGCCAGCCTTGGCCAAATTGGCGTGAGCGATGAGGTTCTCCCACTTTCCGACCTTGTCGGCATCAGTGTCCTCCAGGGTGTATGGAATCCCAATTGATGGGTCATATGATACCTGGCTGTATGGTGCATGCGCGGGAAGATTGTAGGTCATTGGCTGGGCTGAGTAGTTGACAAGCGAGGTTGAAGTGGGCTGGTCAAAACCAAGATCCTGGTCGACCTCATCGGGAGAAAGGCTGACAATGCGCTCGCCAATCCTTTCCAGGAGCTCGCGGGGGATTTCATAGTCGCTGAAGCCATTGGAAAAATTGAAAGGGGTGTCGATATCAAGGCCAAGGCCATTGAGAAAGGCCTGGGAGTCGAAAGCAGGCTGATCAAACCCAAAGGAAGGGTTGTTGGGGTCGATTGGAGCCATGTTAATTAAGAATAGGTATTATGTTTGGAAGATATTGAAAAGGGATGAAAGGATAACAAGATATTGTGGAAAGGAAGAAGAGATGGAAGCAGGAGGGATGGCTATAACCGTCGAGGAAGGAACTGGGGCTGATAGACTGGAACAAAGGGAACAAACAAGAACAAAGAAAGGGACATTGCTATTGCATTGAGAAAATCAATAGGGATCAATAGAGACCAATAGAAATCAATAGAGACGACAAATGCATGATCTTCTTGATCGACTACTTGGAGATGCTTTTTTTTTTTCTGCCGGTCAATCATTCATTTTGCCAAAAGTTTAACTTTATATTGACCAATCATTCATCAGTATCCCAGGGTGAGGCCTACCGTTGTTTGTACCGCCCAATCTAGTCGAGGCTGGATATTACTCAAGTTTGACAGTACGAAGAATTCACTCAAAATCCCGTTCAAACAAATGTAGAAATTAAAAGAACCTCATTGATTAGAACTATGACTTTATCCAGAAAACTTTGAGAGTGCCTCGTTAGACAAACAACAACCCGCAACTCTCGTTTTGTTCACATATTTGACCGCCTCCCTTTTAGGCAAGATCGTCTTATCTTCCCACCGCCATGACCTTATCGACTTACCGTCATGCAGTGACACCGCTCTATTCACGTGTACCTAATATCACGTGATGCTAATGGCAGAAAACGGGACTCCATCCGACGTTCGGCCTAGGCCGTCTCGCCTTGACAGCTCCCCTAACGCCTCAAGGGACTCCAGTGGTACCCAGAACGAAGATATCACGAAGACTGGTTATTTCTCCCATTATACTCCACTAGCCTCAGCTCCGGCGAATATGAGTGTCATTCTATGCACCGGTACGTGGAACATCGCAAGGAGCTCCCCGCATTCTTCCAGGCATTGAGCTAATTACCTTGGTTGCATATTTTAGCGGGGTACGACCATACCATTCGGTAAGTTGAGGCTCAACTAGCCGCGCGCAGTGTTTATGCAGCACTCGCAGCGTGGCAATTTGTACCAGGACTCTTGCTGACTATATTGCTACCAGCTTTTGGGAAGCGCTCTCGGGTATCTGTTCGCGTACAATCCAACACCCAGACTCCCAAGTCAATCGTCTTTGTATTACCCCGGATAAGAGGTTCCTTGCTGCCGCGGGCCACAACAATGTCAAGCTTTTTGATATCAAGTCAACAAATCCCAATCCCGTGATTACCTTTGAAGGTCACACGAACAACATCACCGGCGTGGCATTCCACTGCGAGGGAAAATGGATGGTCACTAGCTCCGAGGATGGAACTGTGAAGGTTTGGGATACTCGCACAGGTAGCTTGCAGCGGAATTATATTCACCGTGCTGCAGTCAACGATGTGGTCATCCATCCCAACCAGGGCGAGCTCATCAGTGGCGACCACGCCGGTATGGTCCGTGTCTGGGACCTGGGTGAGAGTGTATGTACTCATCAATTGATACCGGAGGAGGACACTGCGGTTCTCAGTGTCAGTGTTGCCAGTGATGGATCGTTGCTTTGCGCCGGAAATAAGAAGGTACGTCATTTTGGATTCATGAAGCATTGCATGGCTCTTTACTAATATCGCAACAGGGCAATGTCTACTTGTGGCGCATGGTCCAAACTGACGAAACCACTCGCATTATCCCCGTCTGTACCTTCCAAGCCCACAAGGACTACCTCACTCGAGTTCTACTCTCTCCTGATGTCAAGCACCTTGCAACCTGCTCGGCGGATCATACTGCCAAGGTTTGGAACCTCGACGCCGAATTTCCGCCTGCCAAACTGGCATTGAAGCAATGGAAGGAGAAAGAGGCATTGAACCCTCCAGTTGAAACACCGGTCGAAGCTCCGATAACCCCTGTCGAGGTCCCCGCCCAGTCTCGGGATCTGCTCCGCATTTTCGACGCACCCGTTCAAGACCGTGATCTTCTCCGTATTACCGACAACCCTCCTCGCCAAGAGACACCACAACAGACATTCACCTCGTCCCCAGATGGACCACCTATGGATCCAGTCAACCACACACTGTTCCTGGAGACCACCCTCGCCAATCACCAGCGCTGGGTCTGGGACTGCGCCTTCTCTGCAGATAGTGCATACCTCGTGACTGTGTCTAGCGACCACTACGCTCGTCTGTGGGAGCTCGGCACTGGCAATATCATCCGCCAGTACAGCGGCCACCATCGGGGTGCCGTTTGTGTTGCTTTAAACGACTATTCAGAGCCTCGGTAGGGGCAAGATGCAAGGCTGAGTTTCTTCGGCTAACCGGCGTTTTGCTTTCATGAGTTGATGGGTCTGTACTGGCGTTGATCTTATTTTATCTACACATGGCATGGCGCAAGTAATGATGGGTGTCTTCCAGTTTTCCCTGGTTATACGGCGTATTTCGGTTGGTCAATGGAGACCTTTGTTGAATTATTCTGCAGATTTCTACTTGTCCTATTTTCATCCCACAGAGGATACTGCATAGTGTCGAGATACCACTAACAATATCAAATATTTATTCCAAGTTCTCTCCCTCTACATACAAAACACACTCCTACCAGGGTAACATGTCTAATATGAGTTTACAAGGCTATTCAATTCCTCGAATAACGTAGGCAAGTCTCCGTAGACTAGAAGAAAACATAAACACCACGCTCAGACCGAATTCGAATCAAATCACACGAAGAAAAAGAACAGATCTGAACATACCCAGAATACTAAAAACAAATGTTCAAATACATGAAGAAAAAAAAAGATGAAGCTCGTGAGGCAAATCCGCAAATCCGATAAAAACCACAGACCAAGCCACTACCTCCACTTATGGGACTTTATGCCATCCATGGATATGTTCTTCAGAGAACAAGCTACCTAACAATCAACCCCGTCCTTATACGACGACGGAGAACCACGTCACACAAACAACAACATCCATTCCCCGATCCTCAGCACCGGTGTACTTGAAAGTCCACATGCCGTCGCGGTTCACGTCCCAGAAGGCTCCGGAGGCGGAGTGCATACCACGCTTACCGGCATTGCTGAGTGCGCCGTCTGCAGCAACAGAGGGGTCAATCACGCCCTGCTGCACGATTGTGCTGTTGACAGTGAAGCGGTAGGGAGGGGGCTTGGAGGAATCGGTGGGTGCGGTGGCGGTGATCAGGGCCTTGAGGATGGTGTTCTGTGCGGGGGATTGTTAGTATTGGTGTTGTCACATGCAGTAGGGTGGTGGAGGTGGTGGTGCCTACGATAATCTGGGAGTTCCAGTCTCCGACGTTGTCGTGCTCGTAGGTCTGGGTGGTCTTGAGGGCACTCTCACAGGCCTGGGGTGAACTGTTAGCGCGGGGTTGATTCCACAGGGTATTTTGGAAGCGGGCGTACCTCGGTGGTGATCTTCTTGAGATCCTCGATGGGGATGGGCTGGAGAGTTGTTAGGACCGTTCGTGAAAATGCACTACTAGTGCGGAATGTTTTCGTGGCATGATTGCGCATTGGTATAGCGCAGCCATGGTGTCACTTGCGATCAACGTACCGATGCAGAGGCGCCTTCGGCAGACATTGTGAATAAATTGAACGTGGTAGTTATAGGAGGGTTTAAAGAAGCTGTACAGAGAATTTCGTTAGTATATGAGCAGATTGACTCAAGCTTTAACGCGTGTAGACTCCATTGGGCTGACATCATGTCCCAAATACCACGGGGTATGCTCGCGACCCCGGACCAATGCGGGGAGAAGGGGCGCAATTGGTGGCGAATTTGGGCGCGGGGAGCCTCTTCCAACCAGGGAAAAGGTATTCACATACCTTTATTAGATCTGGATAGCAGATAGGATTATGATTGTGGGATGCTTGTAGGACTGTCCTTGCAATCTACGTGGATTGTTTGGATGTTTGGCAATCATTGGGGCGCTTGGCCCAAAAGGGTTTGGCGCGAGCTTGATTCTGCTACGGCGGTGTGGAAGTATGATATTGTGGTTTAGTAAACCTCAGCTGTGTTTCAATCTGATATACGGAATAGAGAAATATATATTAAATAAATATATTGTTGGTAATGATATATACCCTTTAGAGCAGGAGGGAAACTATGATAACAACGAATTACATCAACAAATCAAAATACTATATATATATATATATACATAACAAGCTACCGATTTTCAAAGCTCTCCATCTGCTTCTCATCAATCCTGGAAATAATCATTTTTTGGCCAATTTTACAGTGAATTTGGTAGATACTAGGCTGCATACTTTGTCCAGCCAGGACTTCAGCGCCGCGACCTGTCCTTGCAAAGCCTCATTTTCTCATGTCAAAGCCCGCTTCTCGCTGCTGATCTATCTGTTCTGTTATTAAGATTTCGCCAACCGAGTATCACCCGCTTTGAGGTATGCGTTGATCTGCCTCATATTGTTAGATAGTCTTTACTGGAAATGGATTGAAGTCATTCTCATACCAAAATATCTAAATAAAAAATAAATATATGAAAGCCTAAAATCAGCATGGATCAAATCTCCTAATCAGTCAAAACTTCGTCCGAACAAGAAGATTTTTCCTGGAAACCCACTCTACAGGAGACAGTATCTGTGGCAACCTCCTACTAGGTGTTATTCTATACTTATTTTTACATTACTGTGCAAAGAAATCCACTGCGGAGAGCTAGATAGTTATTAGTATGACAATGTATCCGACATTCCATTGAAGATGAGATAAATTACCCGCAGAAATAACTCCAATCGCAAGACCAGGGGCTATACCATTGGCCGGCCGCGCCATCAAATAAGTTTCTTTTTCCACTGATATTTTGATGGAGTTCACGGGCCTCTGTAACCTCTCCTCGAATACTCTTGATGTCTTTCTCATATCGTTGTAATTGGAGTGTCACCTGCTGTGACCTTTTGGTCTGTCGAGCCATGTCCCTGCGTATCTCCGCAAGGGATTCTTCTATATCAAATAACTCTTGTTCTTTATTCGCGAGATCCGCATGAAATATGTTCTCCAGTGTTTTTATTCTCTTTCTTTAAGCCCGTTCTTCCTTATTTTGTAAATCTGCCATCGACTTCTCGAGCGCTCGTTTGGTCTGCTCGGTGTTTTTCATCTGTTTCTCCAACTCTGCCTTAAGCTCCCGTATCACAGCAGCATGTTCAGAATTCCGATGGTTGATTTCCGTTGTGAGCTTTGCTTTTAGATCTTGCAACTCCAAGTGCTTTGTTTGATTTATACCCCTTTCACTCTTTGGCAACTTTTTCCTTTGTCTCTAGGCTTATTGTTCATTCTGGCTTTATGCTCGTTCTTTACTTAGACATTATTCAAACAATGGTGTAACTTAACCATCTTTGTCATCACTCTGCGATATAAGGTATCTATAAGCCGAGGCGCTGAACAACATCTTTCAGCCCTGTTAAATTTAGGAGCTGGCGAGTATTATTTTAGGCTATTTCTCTTCCCCCGCCTAACCCAGCTCTCCAACTTCTAATTTAGAATGCGTAGATACTCTCCATGGAAAGAAAGAGGACGAACTCTGCGGAGATGGATTGAACGCCGAAATCAATCACGGTGTCCCTACCCTCTATCCACATTCGCTGTTACACATGACCCCCAGCCTCAGGACTATTCCGTCGCCCATGGAACTGTATGGTTGGATTCAGCATGGGACACCTGGATCTACCCTCTTGATAAACCGGTTAAGCTTAACAAGATAGAAATTGAGAATCGGCAAGGTCCACCGGTGGGGTGGGAAGGACGAACTGGTCGAGGGGTGGTGTTCCTTGATTGGATCCGCCGATCAAAACGAAGCACTGCTCCACACATATCGGAATTTACTAAAGCTGCCTATGAGATGGACTTTCCCCTTGAGAGCCTCAAATACGTATTTGTGACTGATATCTCTGAAACTGACACAGTGCAATGTATTCGCAATGAGTTGTGTAAATCTGAAGGGCTGCCATACCCTTTTAGCGAACAGGGGATTTGGGATCCTCGCTTGCGCGAATTTGATGCTCTGCTGGGTACTAAAATGGGCAAGACTGTTGCGGCTTTTATTTTATGTGCGTGGGGCCAAGGTGTAAAACGAATTGCAAGGATCGTTATTTTCTACGATGGTGAATATCTTCAACGTCTGAACATGCGGTTTGACATTGAAGATATTTGACGGTTACTTACATTGGCATGTAAGTCACTATTTACAGTTGTTATCCTTTTTGATAGAGTATTGATAGTGTTATGATTACCTTTTCCTGACCCATATAGTTAACCTGTTTGATCACCCTAGGGGTGGCATTCCGTTGGTCTTACCCCGCTCGTTGTCGACATATTCCCCTCATTACATGATCTTAGTTATCCCTCCCTTCGGATATCCTGATTATACTCCCATCGTAGATTACAGTGAAATACAACATAGCTGGCTAGCAATAGAGAGAGGAGTATACAATCAGACACCCATGCGCTCGACACAGACTGTATACTGATGCCCCTACACTACAGGACTTGTCTTCTACATATCGTACATGTGTTGTAGATGTACATAAGTTGGAGATATCGGGATAATCGGCATGCCGTATTAGGCATATCCGAGGATGATCCGATTGTTATGACGTCATTGTCTCCAGTTAATTGACTTATGTAAACAACCACACCAACCTTGGTTGAAATCAGGGGTTTTCCAGAGTTGGCATCCCACCTTGTACATAGTTAAGGGAGTCAGATTCCAATATCATGTTCTCAATGATCCCTCGTCGGGCACTGAAGCCATATGCGGCTGAATTTCTCGGCACAGCCCTGCTGATCGTCATCGGCGATGGAGTTGTCGCTCAATGCCTGCTGTCCGATTATAACTACGGCACCTGGTTGTCCATCAACCTTGCCTGGGCCTCAGCTGTGGCCCTCTCGGGCTATTTGTCTGATCCCAGCCCGACAATTAACCCGGCCGTGACTCTTTGTCTCGCTCTTGTGCGTCCATCTGAAGGACAGTGGAAACAAATCCCAGGCAAGCTAGCTGCGCAGTTCCTGGGCGGCTTTGTCGGTGCTGCGATCGTATATACCAATTACCGTTCGGCTATCAAAGCTTGGGATCCAGAATATACCATTCCTGGCGGATCAATCCTGAGCCCGATGGGTCACCATTCAGCGGGTATCTTCTCGACCTACCCGGGTGCCTTTTTCGAGTCGAACTGGGAGGCTGTATTTTCTGAGATGCTGGGCGCAGCTGTGTTGATGTTTGGATGTCTCAGCATCTCTGATCCGGCAAATGCCCATCGATTCCCTGCTCCGCAGCTTGCTTCCTTTTGCTGCTGCTTATGATCGGAGCGGCATTGGGTTGGCAAACCGGCTACGTATGTTCATCACTTTACCCGGTTAGGAATTCGCACTAATAAATATTAACAGGCCATTAACCCAGCTAGAGACTTTGGTCCGAGATTGTTCTCTGCTATTGTCTATGGCCGAGAGGTGTTTACGGCGGCCAACTACTATTTCGTTGTGCCGCTCTTCGCCCCTATTGTCGGCTGTGTCTTGGGTGCGGCGACTTATGATGCAATGCTGTTCGAGGGAGAGGGATCGCGCGTTACCGATGCGCTGGACAAAGCCGAAGACCATGGGTCCCTTCGACTCCAGTGATATTGAGGACTTGAAAACTCAAAGGTAGCCCTGCTAGCATGGGCTTAACTATGATTATGATTGTTAGACACGGACTGTGACGTTAAGGGAGAGTAGAGGATAGGATTGGAATCTGAAAAGATTGTATTGCACTGACCCTCACCCCCGATATCATAGTTTGAGGACAGCATTTGCCCATTGCTCTACCTCTTGGCGCCATTCCGTGCCTGGTCGATATACGTTTCAGTTGCCATAATCACCCGTAGCCATCTCAGGAATTGTGCTGGTCTGTCCGTGCCTCGGGGGTAATCCCTCGAGAATTTAATTGGATAAGGCTCAATTCATCAAAGAAGAAAACATAAAACATAAAACAGTGAGGATTCACTGGTGGTCAGCCATCTACTAGATCACCGGCGTGTAGTTTGTGCGCAGTTAATAATAGTTAGGTGTTGCCCAGGTGAGAAGGATGCTCACATGCTGGATGTGCCCATCTAGAACAATTCCACCAAACGAACATATTTCCAAAGCGACAATTTAAGTCCGTGGGACACGAAGCGGGAGATAGTCAGGCTCAGAGGCGGCCCGATCCACTTCCCCTTTCGGTAATTAAACTCCGGATTGTGTACTTCCTGATGGGGTAATCTGCTGGAGAGATTCCAGATCTGTTAATATGATGTTTGTTCTTTCTAGTGATTGGGTATTGCGAGCCAGCTAGTGCTTCTTTCAAAGAGGATGTAGTTTGGTTAGGGTCATTTGGTCGGTTTGGTTAGGTTGGTTGGTTTTGCAGATTAGAAGGTTCTTCAGGAATATATATTTCGGCGCAGCCTCAGTTTTTCGCAATTTCTTCCACAAGCTGTTGGCGGCATGAGGATTACATCTTCATAGATATATTCATCGCTTTACTTTTCGGTGGTTTCAACTTTTACCTCAGGCCGATCATATACCTCCCAATGGCATCCTCTCAGCCGTCTTCCATGTTTGGAAAAGATGTCGAGTCCGGCGCAACGACCGTAAAAAGCCATATCAAGACAGAGGTGGCATCAGAGAACCCGCCAAAGCCTGCAGGACCCCCTCCACCACCCAATGGAGGCACCAAAGCATGGCTCCAAGTTCTTGGGGCTTTTTTCCTGAACTTCAACACTTGGGGTCTCTTGAACACCTTCGGCACATTCCAGTCTGAATATAGTACCGGCTTGCTGAGGGAGTCATCACAATCTTCAATTGCTTGGATTGGATCGCTGCAGGCGTTTTTGATGCTGGTCATTGGAGTTCTGTGTGGACGGGCTCTCGATGCTGGATATTTCTACGTCGATATCAGTCTGGGTGTGTTCTTTGAGGTGTTCGGCATGATGAGTGAGTTCTGCCGCTCATTTACAACGAGAGAAATACTAACCGAACAGTGACTTCGATTTGCAAGAAGTACTGGCAACTTATCTTGGCTCAAGGGCTGTGCGTCGGTGTTGGCGCCGGAATGTCATTCATCCCCAGCGTGGCCATCGTGGGCACGTATTTCTCAACACGACGATCTACTGCGCTGGGTCTGGCTGCTACCGGCTCAAGCGTCGGAGGCATCATATACCCCGTCGTGCTGAGACGTCTGATCGTCCAGATCGGACTACCCTGGGCGGTCCGAGTGATGGCGTTCATCATGTTGGGAACGCTTCTCATCTCGGTTGCTGTTATGAAGCCTCGTCTTCCGCCTCGCAAGTCAGGTCCGCTGATCAATATCGAGGCGCTCCGGGATCCGGTATTCGTCATTTGGCTTTTCGCTGCATTCTTCATCTTCATCGGTCTTTATATTCCATTCTTTTATATTGAACAGTATGGTATCAACCTCGGGCTCTCGCGGGATTTGTCTTTTTATATGTTGATCATCATGAATGCGGGCTCGGTCCCCGGTCGTGTCATGCCCTCCATCATTGCCGACAAGATCGGTAACCTGTCCGTCATGATCCCGTCTGTCCTGCTCACCGGAATCTTGATGCTCGCGTGGATCAGCGTGGAATCTCAGTCGGGTCTGATTGCTATTGCGATCTTTGTCGGCTTGACAAGCGGCTCTATCCAGGCTGTACTTCCTGCGACGGTTGCCTTCCTTTGTCCCGATTTGTCTAAGCTGGGCACCAACATCGGCATGACTCTCTTTGCGTCGGGTCTGGGATTGTTGATCGGTAGCCCTGTGGCGGGTGCGATTCTGGATCACCAGCGAACATCCGGGAGAGATGTCTTCTGGGGTACGTTGACCTTTTCTGGGATCTTCATCCTGGCGGGAGGTGTGTGCTTGATTGTTGCTCGCGTGGTCAAGGTGGGATTTGCCTTGAAGAAGGCGTGAGCTTGTGTATAAGATTTGCACGCCATGAACAACTTGTCAGCATGGCTGGGGGAAGATCAAATCATGGCTGTGATAGAAAAGGGAGTAGAACATGTAAATCTGCAAGCTTAATATAATTAACTAACGAATGCCGCAAAGCTCTATTCCATAGCTGTCTTAAAATTATGTGATAGTAGGTTCGAATTTATATCTTCCCACAAGAGGTTAGTCGTGGACTGGATCGTCGATGTAGATTTGAATGATGCCATGGAATATGGTAAACATAAATCAGACTGCATGTCCAGACCCGGAGACTCTAAGTTCTGGTAAAAGTCACAGTTGCTCGGAAACAATGTCTGAATTAAGGGATCTGGGAGTTGTGTATGGTCCATCCAGCCTGCTGTAAGAGGGGCGAGGCCACTTGGTGGAGCTGATGTCGTTGCAGTATTTAATCCCACCAAGGCGGATGTTGAGACTTGGTTTTCCCGTTTCAGATGATGTTCCATCTCGGCTACAGTCTCGTTGGCAGCTTTGATGCCGACCTGCAAGCACTTGGAATCCTGTTGCAGGCCGCCAAAGTCGTCTACCAGACTTGAAGTAACAGTTGTTGCGACGGCGATGACAAGTCTTGTCTTTGCTGCAACACGGCCGAGGTGATATTTTCCCGCTAGAATCTGTGATAAAGAGTCTAGATATTTCAGCAAAAGCTGTTGAAAAATGACCAGCGTGGGCTGGGGGTTATCGGAGACAGTTGTGCCCATATTGATCCTCCGTAGGCGTCCAACCACCAAACAAGCGGTCAATGCTGCGCGGGCAAGGTCAGTCCAAAGTAGATGGTAAGCCACACTAGAAAGCTCAGAGCCGCTCTGTAACACCTCCTGCAGCTGATGGAGAATGGACACCGAATTGTCCCATAATTCATAAAGATCGCTCCGCTGTGAATGATGAGATGGGACTCCTAGGACAAAATTGAGCGTGATAATGGCCATGAAGCTATGCACCTGCATGGATAACAAAGCTTGCTGAAGCCTTTCGATGGGACTGCATGACGAAGCTCCCTCTTGTAGATTTGAAGGCAACTCGCGCAAGATTTTGTAGAATGAGGCGCGCATTCGATCCCGTAGCTCGTTTGATAATTCAGGAGTTGTGGAGCAGAGTCGCTGGTGTAATGGAGCCCTCACTATGGCAAGCTTCATTGCAGCAATGTTAAAAATCTGGTCCGTTGCTTCCTCGGCCTGGTTCAGTACGGTAGCCGACTCCGTCATGGTTCCTGGGTGAGGGGTCGAAAGGTTGATACGGCTCGGGAGGGGACAGTCCACATCCTCCAGTCGAATACCGAAGTTTGAGCCACTGCGGATGCAATATTCGAGATTCAATCGAAAGAAGCACGCCCATAATCGTTTCCGAACTTCTGAATAGTAAGGAGTGATACCGGGGAACAAGGCCGGATCCCTGTGCAAGCCCATGCTCAGAGCCATTTGCGTAGTCAGCCCCATTGTACCTATGAGGCTATAAATCTTGTCAGTATCAGAGGCAGTGATGTTCTTCATGATGATCAACAGTAGTAACACCTGCATGACACCGATACAAGGCTTTTGAAACTGGGTCGATGTATGAATACGGCTCTCCGTTTCTTGCAGTAGGAGACGCCCGCGTAGTCGCTCTGAATCGTTGGTCTGCATGGAAATTGCAATGATCAACAGAATCTTGAGAATGTGTACTTCATTGGCATCGACGCATGCGACAAATACTTCCTCCAGCTCTGCCATTAGGCAGTTCTGCTCGATCACAGGGTAGATTCTGCCATATGTTTCATAGAATCGCCTGATCCACTGTTCGCAGGTCGATCGATTGGGTAGGAGATTGAGCAGCTTCCTACTATCTCCATTCACGACGGCTGATACCGAATTTGCGACAAGAAGGAGAGACTTGACTTCCGCGAAAGTTTTCCACATCGGTTGAAAATCAACGGTCTTCTCCAGCATAGCCCCTATGACGGGCAAATCAGTACTCGCGGCCATCCAATGGGTGCCGCCAATCAGCCTTGTTTTGAAATTCGAGCCCCTAAAGGCACTATTGGCGTGACTGGCTGTGGTCGGGCTGTGGGGCAGAACCGATATTGGATCGAGTGTCTCACCAGAGGAGCGGGGTGTCAGCTGCTCGGAGGCGAGTAGATCGATCTCTGTCCGTTGAGGGGACACTAGTGTTATGGCAGATTGCGAAACTGCCGCGATTTTGGAACGGGAGTAAGTGCACCGTGTATCTATTCCACGATCTTGGCACGGTTTGCATGGCGACTTGCGATCGCAGCGGACTTTGGATTTTCGACAATGGTTACATGATATGGGCTCCCGGAAGCGGGGTCTTTTTCGACCGCTGTTTTTCTTGGGGTTCTCGAATGCGTCTGCGTCTAGGTGGCTGAACTTCAACATCTTGTCCCCGCTAGCTGAAGTGGGGATCAGGATGAAGACCTTGACAAGACCGAAGAAGCTTTGACAAACAAAGCACGGGAATCAGCTGTCTCTGAAACTAGCGGGAATTAACAGCTAGTGGATTACCAATCATAGTTGGGAACGACTAACTAGCAGGGATGTTGCAGACTCTTTGTCATTGGATGGAGTGGTTTGTCATTATTAGGCTGCGGCATAAGTACGAGCGGATGGGATGCTCTATTTTCCCACACCCTATAGTCGAATGTGTGATTTTATGTGTGAGAGAGCATAATATATGGTAAAGTAGTAAGTAGGTGGTTGGGATGGCCAGAAATGTCAGAAGTGTGTAAGGTGAATATGCTATATACATTTTTTATATATTACAATTGGCTGAAGGGCATGATACATCCGTCTTAAATATCAGACTATGTACTGAATGCCTTACGGCCCGGTGACCAACACCCAAGTGCCTATGGCCCCCAGTCATGTGTGTCAGCTTCATCAAACGTCCAGCCTCTTAGCCCCTATATCTGTCCAGCCTCATACCGCTTGTTTTAAGAAGACTTCGGGCATAGTCGCCCATTATTGTTCCACGAGTAGGGCAGTGGGTCAACAGTCTGAACCTCCCAATCCTCAGCACCAACGGCAGTCAGAGCAAAGAAAAGACCGGTAGGATCATACTTCTGCTTCAGCGCGTAGAGACGAGGATAGTTAACGCCGTAAAAGGCATCCTGGAGGTTCGGCTCAAGGAGATCAGCCTCACTCATGTAGGAGCCTGAGTTTGGGGCAATATCACGTAGAACATCCATCCACTGAGTGACGAAGAGCGAGGAGCTCTCTACCACGTCCCAGGAGGACGTGGCGTTCCATACGGAACCGAGAATAACGTGTGACAGGGCATCGCGCCATGCGGGGAGCACAGAAGTGTCTGTGGGGGGCTTGACGGCAATGCCGGTGCCGCTCACGTGGAATCCGGCAATGAAAAGACCCTACACCATGTCAGGGAATATCCAAAAGGGGGAAGCAGAGAATGAATGTATGTATTTGTGTATACATATACATACCTTACTGACAGCATCCCTGTAGGCGGCCCAAGTCTGGTTGCGGAGATCATCTCTCTGGAAGACATTTCGGGGAAGGAGGCGAGAAGCAGTCTTGACGCCATCGGTTCCGACAAATTCCTGCGGGAAGGCCACGGCCCAGGCATCATGGCTGGAATAAGAGTTTAGCTGGATATAGATGAATGAGTTTGAGAAAGGAACGGGGACACTTAGACGCACAAGTTATCTGCGTGGTTGTACCACGGAGTGTAGGAGACATTCAGTGTTTTGAGAGAATCAAACCATGGAGCTAGGAGTGCCTCGGTCTGGGCGACAGTCATGTTGGGTGCGACAAAGGATTCCATCCGGAAGTAATAGTCGGTATTACCGGCATATGCTGTACCAATCATGGCTTCGGAAGCACCAATGTAGAAGTAACCGTAGGTGCCAGCATCAACAAAGGTCTCGAAATTGTCGAGGTAGGATCCAACAGCAGCCCAGAAGGCGTCCGGACCAGGAGTGTCTTTGACCGTGAAATTGAAAGTCACAGTAGTCGTCTCCAGCTGAGGTAGGGCCTTGACTGTTAGAGAGGTGACGACTCCAATGGTGCTGCCACCGCCACCGCGAAGCATCCAGAAAACTTCCGAGTTCTCTGTGGAGGTAGCAGTGATGAATCTACCATCGGCCAGAACGACTAACCGGACTTAGTAGGGACGTCTTTGGAGTAGATTAAGGATTATAAAAGAAACTTACCCTGCATTGCCAAAACCTGATCGGCCGCCAACCCGTACATACTAGAAAGAGGGGAGTGGCCACCACCAGCAGTGTAGCCTCCACCTAAACCGACGGTGACGGCTTCTCCACCAACAACCGAGTGGCCGAGGGACTGAGCAAACTCATAAGCCTCATAGACTTGAATACCCGAGCCGAACTTGATGGCGGGACCGACGTAGCCATTGGCAGCCTTGAAGTTCGGGAAATACTCCTTGTCCTTGAGGTGGTGGGTCCAAATGGAGAGGGCACCCTTGCCAGAGGCCTTGCCATTGAAATCATGTCCGGTATTCTTGACCACAAGTCGCAAGTTCAGGTTACGGGCAAAATTGACCGCTAACTGGATTTGAGCCACGGTGGATACATTTACTGCGTACGTCGGGTAGGCGCCCTGGGTGCAGCTCGTAGTATAATTATACGGTGATGGTAGGCAAGAGCGGCCCTCGTATAGCGGCAGCATTATCGAGGCAGGGTCAGACATGTGGAGGTCGGACTTAAGCCAGTCAGCTGTGATGCTTGAACACTTGGCGGCATCGTACTGCGGCCAGTCCGGATAGCAGTAGGATGCCAGGGGCACCGTCTTGATCAGGCTGCCGCCGAGCAAGATATCGAAGACATCCCAAATCGGCTTCATGGGCCACCTGAAGTCCCCGGGCATCACTTTGCAGTTATGATGAACACTCCTCTTGGGCGTCGTGGGGTTGCTTGCAAAGGCGAACATGTTAGCGACAGTGCTGTTCTGCAAGGCCACTGATACATCCGAGAGCACGCCTTCGGTCAACTGCACCCTCTCATTTTGAAACAATGAATCTGCTGCATTGGCTATAGCTGTAACCGTAGTTGCTGCTGGTGCGAGTGATGTAGTTGAAATCGCCCCAGCGAGCGAAGCGCTCGCGATGAAAGTAACCCCCCCATACGCCCTTCATGCCGAACGATGTTCACCAACAGAATTCCAATGAGAAAGAGAGGCGATGAATGTCCAATGAGCGGGTAAGACAGAACATATAGCCAGCTCCCTACTAAGGATGTGGACAGGGGTACTACTTAAATATAGCCGCCATAGAAGAGCCACGCACTCTCGAGGAGTCTTTTCGGCACAAGCGACCGGAGCACCATGGATGTTGAGTTAGTCGTGCTATATTTTAATTAATTATCCATTTGTTAGGTGCGATAGCCGACAGGGTCAATATCCTTGTACACTAATTATCTAGTTGCATATGTTAGTCAGCTAGGTGTGCTGAGGTCGTCCATGGGTATATATTCCAGTTAGAACAATTCTTACTAGATCCACACGAAACACAAATAATGATGTTTTTTTTCTATTTCCAGGAGTTCGCCGATTTTTTTTAAGATGCTGACATATTTGGTGCACAAGCAATGTGTTTGTTCTACCGCCGAATTTGCTTTCTGGTAATTAGTCCACATTTTAGCCCCCAGTCTACTGGCCCCAACCTAGTGTCTATCTGAAACTTAACTAAACTAGATTATAGTGAGTCAATGACTCGCAATATATACGCTAGTCTATTTCAAGGCTATACAGCCGCAACTAAGCACATAATGAAAGGACCGTAGATGATTAGGATCCGAATTAGCCGAAGCCTTACGCTGCAACCCCACGGGAAGAAACGGGGGCCAGAAAGCCACTGTATAGCAGGGTGCGGTCTAATTCAAGCTGAATGCAAATTCAGCTCCCATAGCAGGGGAGGGGACCCTTGAATTTGGTTGCTATGTAACCCTGGCACGCTGCTCAAATGGCGGAGTCGAACCTTTCTTGCAAAACCAACCGGCGACGGGCGCGATTTACTTTTACATGAAACAGATTCGGAGAGATGATGAGTTCTAGTGACAACTTGCAACCGCAAGCAATTGCCTTGATCTTTGCCTTTCCGTGCTTCGCAACCGTGGCTGTGGCTCTGCGGCTTTACAGCCGCACGTTGACGAAGTCGTTTGCAGCAGGTCAGTCAAATGTTGCAATCCCTCTTTGCCCGTGAGCTCTACGAAGCTAACAAAAACAGATGACTGGGTAATTTGTGTCGCGATAGTTAGTACTGCAAAACCTCTAAGAACGAGCTTAGAGGATTGACCAAGATTGGCAGATCATGTACTGGGCGGAGACATTTACGTCTTATCAAGGTACGATCAAGAACACAAGAATACTCTAGTGCGCTTGTTGGTTCATGAAAGTAATGATTCGTCAGTGATCATTTACGTGTATATCGGATATAACGTCTGGGATATACCTCCTCACCATCCCGTTATTCTCGGCGGCAAATATACCTACGCGGTGGGTAGGACATATTTTCTGTAACCTAACTCGTTCACGTTTGCTAATAAAATAGACCGAGGTTATCTACAATCCTATTTTGGCCCTCGTCAAGACCTCCATCTTACTCTTCTTGCTACGTCTAACCGGCCAGAAAAAGTTGGTGCGCCTAGCTATCTGGGGGCTGTTGATTGTTAACGGCATCGCCGCTATTATCACATTTTTCATCACAGTTTTTCGATGCACGCCTATAGCCGCTAATTGGGATTTGGCTTCGTATCCTAATGCGAAGTGTCTTGACTTTGCAAACTTTGTTACCGCCACGGGCGCGGTCTCCGTTCTCACAGACGTCCTTGCTTTGATACTGCCCACATGGATCGTATACCAACTACAGATGAAGTGGACTAAAAAGTTGATGTTGATTGGTATTCTGTCCTTGGGTCTTTTGTGAGTAAACCAGCTAAACGTGTTCTGTCGCACTGGCCCATCCACCCTTAGCCCCTAAATAGGAACCGAGGCTTTTGTTATGGCCTAGTGGTAAATGGGTTGCATCTATTTTCCACATTTTCGTTCCTTATCAACTTGATATATACTAATAAATACAGAACCGTGGTAGCAGGCATTACTCGCCTCATCCTCCTTGACAAATTTGACCGCCATATGCCAAAGAATTCTACGCACTCGCTCCTCTTCTGCCTATCCACCATCGAAGTTGGCCTATCGTTTCTTGCTGCGTGTGCTCCCTCCTTCAAGCCGCTCGTTACCTGGATCGTGCCCAGGCTCTTCGGTTCGACTCGCACCGACCTGAAAGCCGGCTCCACCAGCCGTAGGGGTCGGACCTGGTTGAGCTACAACCTGGAGGAAACATCGAGCTTCACACCTCGTACGCACGACCAGACCATAACTACCGTTGCAGCTGGACATGACGGGACTGGCCGCGATTGCAGGAAATTCAAAGCCGATAATATTATCACCATGACCACACAGATGGAGGTTACTTGGGGTCGGTCTGATTGCGAGGAGCGGGATACTAGTAGTACGGAGAGTCTTGTCCACGGAATGGGGCGTAGCAGGCCCTCTCAATGATCTTGGAAACATAATTATTGTATTTGTTCCATATCTATCTAGGCACACAAGGAGAACCCTCTTTAGGCTCCACTAACCGGAGTTTTGAAGGAAGAGTGAGTTTCCTGTTCCAACCATGCCTAGCGGAAGTCAGTTGAGTTGGGGTTATAGTGAATGCAAACTGAGACTCATCAATTCATAGCATTGGGTGAGGTCTTTCTGACATAATCTGGTCCCAGAGCACAGCACTCTTCAGGGCTTTTCCTTTCTTGGTTTCCCTGAACGTCCTCTGGGTTTCCCGACATGAGAGTATGTGATAATATTGTCCAGAGGAAGCTCCCCTTTCCATAGCCGTGTGGAAGTCGTCAAATATTGCCATGTTTGGTTCGGGTCTACATCAAGCTTTGCAAGGGAAACTTTGTGAGACCGGGGAGCCCGTTCGAGTGGATGATTACAGTGAAGAGGTGTTGGCGAACCTTGTGAAAGATGGGAAGATATGGCAACTAAGCGCGCGATGAGTATCATCTAACTATGCAAAATAACAAGGCAAATTCTAAACAGTGTTTCGGACATTGGGTATACCTAGTGTATATAGGAAACTCAGCCTCGTACTATACCAAGCACTGTGGCGTTCAATCTCACAGATAAGCCCCACTTGGGTGGTTCACACGAACGGGACGAGTGGGTACGGGGCGCCTAGGGACGGGGCGCCTTAGCATGCCACCATCCAGTCTTGTTTTGTGGCTGCGATTTGTTACGAGTACGTGCTTGAGACGACGATGATATTATTCCGTGGTATGTTTCTAGCCGTCTTTGAAAAATGCTTTGAACTCAACTTCATCGAAAAAGGTCTTCCCGACAGCAAAGCATATTTATTCATAGACAAGATTTTGCCTTTGCAGATCACGCAGGACGTATCAACTTTCAATCTTCCTTCGTCTCGCCGATAGGAGATTCCACAAGCCCGTGTACAGCAATGGAACAGCAATGAAGAAATCCCCATGCGGAATTTGTTCGCCATTTTATGCAAGCGGTCCTTTTTTCCCCATCTGAAACACACTGATATTAGACAATATAGCGTCTACAATGCAAAGGTCATCAGCGAATTAAAGAAGAGCTGATATATGGATGTTTTCTACTCCGTATTTCAATCGTTTTACATATTTATCGAAATGTGGAAACTACTGCCCGAGCACATTTGGCTATACTTAGCTCATAATTCCGGCAGCTATGACTTTGAATATGTTCATCCAAAGTTATTTAAGCTGACGACTTGCATAAAAGTGGCCTCAAACGTGGCATCACGGGAACGAATTACCGCCCCAAGGTCTATATCCCCGCATCAGCTATCTTTGTGTCAATTATTTAAGGCCACCCCCCACCCAGCCTGCGAATTTTTCACAATTTCAACTCCGGGACAGCTTTCCACCTCAGCATCCAAAGAATAATCTTCCAGCGTCCTCCTGTTACTGACGTTGCCTATATTGTTGGCACTACAAAGGACTCCTCAGCCAATATGTTCCTCGGTGGAGAATGCGGAAAACGTCTGATACCAAATGTTATTGACGAGACGGCTCGGCAAACTCCCAATGTTGAGTGCATGTCAATTCCACGGAGCAACAATCCGTCGGATGGATGGAAGCCTGTAACTTGGGCTCAGGTCGCCAATGCCGTCAATTATGTCGCAAACATGCTCATTACACAAAATGGACATCCGGCGCCTGGCAAATTCCCTACAGTGGCCTACATAGGCTTGGAAGACCCCCGCTACCCCATCTTCGTGGTCGGTGCCATCAAGGCCGGCTACCAAGCCCTGCTCATTTCGCCTCGTAACTCGATCGAGGCGCAACTGAACTTGTTCGATAAAACAAATTGCAACATACTATACCATGAACAGCAGTTTGTGTCAATGGTGCAGCCGTGGGTGGATGCAAGGCCGGCAATGAAGAGTGTAGGTATAGCGCCATTTGATGAGTGGGTTGTTGATGGAGTGACACCTGTTCTTTATACGAAGACATTTGCCGAGGCAGAATGGGACCCTTATGTGGTACTGCACACAAGTGGCAGTACCGGCTTTCCCAAAGCAGTGGTCTTGCGGCAGGGCATGGTTGCTCAGAATGATCTTCATCGTTACGTACCGGCTCGCGATGGCACCTTACCTTGGCTCCCAACATGGACCAGCTCTCCTAATCCGCGCCACCTGCTCGTCATGCCCTTATTTCACGCTGCAGGTATTATGATCTCGACTTTGTGTACCTTCTACTATAATACAACGATGGTATTCCGGGATCCCTCTCGTCCTATAACAGGCGACAATGTGGTCCAGTGGCTACAAAACAGTAACCCGGGGTGGACCGCTATACCGCCAGCCATCCTGGACCATATGTCTCACTCGGAGGAGGCAATGATTGAGCTTAAAAAACTCCATATCGTGGCTTTTGGTGGAGGTCCGTTACATCCGCAATCTCTGTTGCTTGATTTCCTCCGTGCTATGTAGCTAACTCGGAGCATCCCTGCAGGCGCTATTACCCCCGAGACGGCTAACCGACTGGCAAACTATCATATCAAGACGGCGAACGCTATTGCAGCTACTGAGTAAGAAATCCTCCAAATTAAATGCTCGCAGTATGAGATCTGCCAAATGCTTTACTGACTAATCGTGTTAGGTTCTCTTTCTTTCCTTATTACTCTCAACCGGACCCCGCTATGTGGCCGTGGTTCGTCATCCCAAGTGATATAATGGGCATCAAATGGCGGTTGATTGGCGACAATACGTATGAGCAAGTCATAGTGCGCAAGGACAAACACCCAGGCCTGCAGGGTTGCTTCTATACCTTTCCCCAGCTGGACGAGTTCAGCACCAAAGACCTGTACCAGCCGCACCCAACTTTGGAAGACCATTGGACATACGTGGGACGGGCCGACGACATAATTGTCTTCTCTACGGGAGAGAAGCTCAACCCCTTGACTATTGAAGGGGCCATCATGGGCCACCCAGCGGTGTTCAGTGCGCAGGTTGTTGGTAGTAAGCAATTCCATGCTGGACTAATGATCGAGCCAGTTCAGTATCCCAAAGATGAAAAGGAAAGGCAGCTCTTTATTGATGATATTTGGCCAACAATTGAGAAGGTTAATGCTGAAACGGTTGCACACGGCCGCATCTTACGCGATTATGTCTTTTTGTCGGATCCGGAGCGCCCTTTTCCTCGCGCAGGTAAAGGCAGCATTCAACGCGCTATGGTGGAAAGGTTATACGCGGAAGACATTAAAACCTTCTTTGATAATAGAGACAACTTGGTCGTGGCTGTGGATCTTGATGTCACTTCTGAGACGTCAGTTTTGGGTTCTGTTCACGAATTGGTTCGGAGCGTGTTCAAAATCCCTGAGTTGAACACAGATGATGATTTCTTTACCGCTGGTATGGATTCGCTACAAGCCATTCAACTCTCTCGCGCGCTGTTTGTCGCCCTGGATAAATTGGGTGTTAAAGCCAGCGAGCAGGCGGTGGAATTGAGGGCTATCTATGCCCATCCAACGATCACACAGCTAGCGGCGTATGTCTTCTCCCTGGTCCGCGCAAATTGCAAAGAGGGTGGCCCAACCGACGATCCAGGTGTGATGGCAGATGAAACAACCATTTGCACTGCACTCGTCAACAAATATATCCACGACCTTCCAGATGCAGTGCCGAATAAGCCAGCTCCTGCCAACAAAGGACAAGTCATCATCATCACAGGCACAACGGGTGCACTGGGATCGTACTTGCTGGACTTCACCTTGAAATGTTCCAATGTGAGCAAAGTAATCTGTTTCAACCGTTCTGTGGACATTGTAGAGCGACATATTGAGGCGAGTACATCCAGGGGATTATCGACTGATTTCTCCCGGGCCGAGTTCCTGCAGGTAAATCTTGCGGAACCAGACTTGGGCCTTGCCCCCGAGATAAGGAGTCGACTTGCAGATGAGGTGGACCGCGTGATCCACAATGCCTGGCCTGTCAACTTTAACATGTCCGTGGCGTCGTTTGAGCCGCACATCCGCGGGGTACGCAACCTGGTCGATTTCAGCTCACAATCTGCGCGCAAAGTTGTTCCTATAACGTTTATTTCAAGCATTGGAACGGTTGAGAGATGGGAGAGCCCCGAGGTACCTGTACCTGAGACAGCGCTGCCAGATTGGTCCCTCGCAACAATGGGATATAGTCAATCAAAGCTCGCAAGCAGTACGATTCTTGATACAGCTGCTAAGGTATCGGGTGTGCCTAGTGTCATCGTACGGGTTGGGCAAGTTGCGGGCCCGCGTGGCGAGAAAGGCAAATGGAATCCACAAGAGTGGCTTCCAAGCTTAGTGCGCAGTTCCGTTTACCTAGGTCTCCTGCCTGACTCCCTTGGCACATTTGAAGATGTGGGTTGGGCGCCAGTGGAGGACATCGCGAATGTGATACTGGATGTTTCGGGTGTGACGTTTTTTTGGTCGGTAGAAGAGATTGCCGGGTACTTCCATGCACTCAATCCAAAGGCTACCAACTGGTCTAGCCTCATACCCATCCTGCGTGAGTTTTATGGCGAGAGAATCCAAAAGGTGGTCTCATTGGAAGAGTGGATCCATGCACTTCAAAAGACTCTGGTTCATCCTGTGGTAGATGATAACCCGGCGGTGAAGCTGCTCGACACATATCGATCGGCGGCAGAGGGTGTGAAGATGGGAATCAAGGCAGCACCGCTGGCTACCACAAGAACTGAGTCTTATAGTTTGACAATGCGGCAGATGGAGGAAGTTTCGCCTGAATTGATGAGAAACTGGTGTGCGCAGTGGCAATTTTGAGGGGTGGTTAATGAAATGGAACATGTTACTACAGCGAAACATTTCCGTGAAACACGACCCACTAAGCCCAAGTAGGAAATTATTTACATGAGGATATTTCAAAGGTGTTACAGATCGCTTTCCAGTGCTCTATGTAAACACAATAGAAATTTTCTGTTGACTCGAAGGCTAGTATTTCACCATCAGTCCACAGGGTCAAGGGCAAACTGATTCCGTGATTCCTACATGGTTCAGTGTTAATAGCATACACGAGAGTGTGGATGGTAAATTTAAATCACTAGGATTTTAAGAGGGCGTCGAGGTTGTAATTGCCCCGCAATAGGGTGTGACGGTGCGGATACGGGGCTCAGCGGGGCAAGCAACGCCTTACCGCGAAATTGTTGAAATAGGGGTCCAAATAGCATTTCTGACGGATTATACTTTCCCAAGGTACCGCGAGAAAACATAGAGAAATTTCTTAGAATGTTTGAAATTGAAGGCTACGAAGAGAGATATGTATAACCTCAGTAAGGGAAGTACACTTTTGGCCCGTCGGCTTGGACCGGATTTTAAAAGGATACGAGTACGAGTAATAATTAGGATATATCTTGTTGATTACTTTATAGTTATTTATAGTGTTGCAATAAGCTTATTAGCTCCATCAAATGCCGTAAAACATCACTAGGGCGTGTAGTGGTTAGAAATATATTATCCTCATGCAGTCGAGTAAGCTAAGGTATAGAACTACAGCCTGATCAAAATAATTTCAGTCCCGCCTCGCTCTTCAAAATACTCTCATTCTGCAACAATCCTCGAGTGAAATAATGCCCAGATGCGCAAAACTGGCGTTGCTTAGATGCTATATGTAACAAACTTGAACTAGGATGTTGTTTCGGTCCCCACTTCTTCCGGTTGGGGATCAACAACCCTAGTCTGTTTCAAAGACAGCTCATATGAAACAAGGAAATCCAATCTTGTCTATGTCTTAAATGCACGTTCAAAATTCAGAAGTTTGGAACGGAGAAATCATAGATTGGTGGAGTGGAATGATCCGATTCACTTTTCCCCTTAACTGTGTCAATAGCAACTCTTAACCCCTAATCTTGAATATTTGATCATATAAAGCTGCTCTTCCCACCCAGAGCTTGATTCTTCCACATTTAATTAACCACTTACATCCATAATGTCTCTCCGAAACCTCGCCGTCCTCGCCGTCCTTGGCCTTGTCAATGCCCAAGATCAGATCGGATTCGGCCCTCACTTCTCCCTCGGCCCTACCTCGTCATGGATCCGTGAAGCAAACACCACACTTGTGCTCCCCGAGGTGCCAAGCCCACAGAAAGACCGTCTTGCCTTGTGGCCCGGTATGGGAACAAGCGGTGGTGATTTGATTCAGGCCCTAGCCGTTTCTTTCTCCGACCCTGCCGCGTGAGTGATGGAAGTACAAATGCACGCATGATTCAGAACTGACTCCTGTAGAAACTGTGGCGCAAAGTCTGGACAATGGTGCACGTGGGCCAGTACCCTCCAAGGCACCCAGCTGGGCGGAAAGCAGGTCCCTGCTGATGCTGGTGATGAGATTACAATGCACTGTAAGTTTTGATTTATTGGGTCTCATAAACATGAGCTAACTATCCCATAGACAAGTACAACGACGATACCAGTAAGTACGACCAGACTGTCTTCATCAACGGAGAGGTTGTGTCGACTCTTTCAACCAGTAAGTCCTAGGTCTAATGATAATACCAGTCTCCAACTGACAATCCTTTCTAGGTTCCGGCCAGGCACAGGGCTGGGGTACCGCTGTCGAATGCCAGGATGATGCTTGCAAGAGCACTGCTGCAGCACACGGTGAGTTCGCGTTTATATATTCAAGTCCTCAAACACATGCTAATTGTTGTAGAATACCTCGACACTACCATCATCCTGGACGCCGTGGATTCCTCCTTCAGTGACACTCTGGCTATCGAAGAGGCAACTTCTTCCGGTTTGAAGACAAACGACAACGGAAAGACCTGGACTGTGTCTAGCATCAAGATTCAGTCTCACACCTACAACCTGTAAACAATCTTGTTGGGATCTACAAGCTAGCCGATCAGACAGCACATTGTATTGTATTGTGGTAAAGGAATATGAAGATGTAGAAATATGCAGAATTAACTTGTCTTTTATCAAAATCAGTATAATTATATATATATCTGTATAGAGCGGGGGACGCTAAACTAGAAAAAGGCCGATCTTGGTTAAGTATCCTTATAATATAGCACGTCGTATATGCATCGTGTAAACGTATTTGCTTGAAACCTTTATGAGACCAGTGATGACTGCTGATTCGTGAGTGGACTTGGTACTAGGCGGTCATTTGGCGCCGTCCGCTTGAACTACATGAGGTACTTCAATTCCACCCTAATGCACTGCCAGCACATGCGCCACGTAGGTTCACGCCCCCAACCCACTGGTATGTACTCTCAGCCCATTTCCACCACCAACTTTTTCATCTTAGGCCTTCCCTTGCCATTCTCCATTTTCGGCCATCTTGGAGTATCTCAAATTAAGCATGGAAACCCCATCACTTAAAGCGATTGATGAAGTTGCAAAAGTTGTTTGGGCATCCCATTTGCTCTCTTATTGGAATCCCTACACCACTCCCGTGTCAGATAAGCCGCTGCAGCCCAATCATACAACATCTGATGATGAGACAACTGATGACGACGAGGACTATGATGACGGTCCTAATTTTGACAACACAAGTACAGACACTGCACTTTTGGCGGTTGGTGATAAAGAGCTGCGGGAGAAGTTTTTAAATAGTATCAGTGAGCTACTCGCCCACACAAAGGGAGGGAAACATGTTACTGCTGCCGGGTTGAGAGAGAAAGAAGATTCAATCGAAATTGATATCGCTCGAAACTCTGGATTCAGGCGCGAAGACAAGAGGTATCTTTCTTCACTGGCTCGCTTCCTTAGTAGACGAGGGGAACGTAAGTAAAACACTACTTAGCGGTACGATCTATTGTACATTCTAACTTCGTGTCAAGCTCTTTCACATCAGAATTCCGTGCATGATCATGAATTCTTGCGCGAAACAATAATATACAACGCTAGTCGGGTGAACTACGGTGTGAAAGAAACTGTACAGCTTTTGAAAGGGTCGCTATTGCGTCCTACCCTTCGATCATCCGGTGGAAGTCAGTCTGAGGATGTAACGTGTCTCCTTGGGTGTTGTTCCGAAGCACACCCATTAGCTTCCAACGCAACCGAGGGTCTCATATTAGAGCTGCTTGATTTCGATTTCAACAAATCGAAATCATCGACTCTCCTGGAGAGGGAAAACCAGATTTGTCAAATTGTAGAACTTGCGGCTCTCGCCCTTCGCTCGTCACACAAAGCGCACTCTAAGCTGAAAGATATGCTGCCTTGCGCGGATATCATCAAAGTAATGAAGAAATTGCGAACTTTGGCAAGGCCAGTAACTGATCTCCATGTCTTATCTCACATCGCCCGGCTATTGCCTAGCTTTCGGGCGGCCATCTTTATCGAACTGTCACCGCCAGATCCTGTTCGACTTCAAAAACGCCATAAACAAACGGCAAAGAAAGCTTGGAAGAAGCTTCAACTTCCCGTCACAGATGGATTGTTGCCTAATGTCATCGCTGAAAAGAGCCGGAACTTCGAAAAAGACTGTTTTCGTACCCCTACAGTTCACTGCGAAATGCAGCTCCTGGCACGCTACAAGGCAGAACCCTCACTGACACCGACAACTCTGTACCTTGGGTGTAGCAAAAAGGCATGCTTTCTTTGTAAGCGCTTTTTAGCCTCGTCATCCTTGAAGCTCAGAGTCCGCGGCTGTCATGGTCAATGCCACCCTTTATGGGGTGTCCCGGTACTTAGCTTAAACACTATGCAACCGCGAATAAGGCTGTTGTCTGAAGCCATAAAGGAGAGACTGCAAGATCTCATTGAGCCAACGGAATTTTCGAAAACACATGCTGTACAGCAATCATCAGCGGTCTCTGAGTTGAGGTCTACGGACATCCTTATTCTCGCGCGGCAGCACGCACTTAGAAAAATAGCCGAAAACAGAAGCCAGGAATATCGGCAAAACATGCAAATCCTGTGCGGACACAGAAACTCCACTTTGGACAGGGTATAGCTAACAGCCTTGTAGCTTGAACCCCAGATCTATCGGCCCGCGAAGAATATTTTATCATAACTTGAAGAGCCTTTGCGTTATCTGCCAAATGCCCCGCCCCGCGGATGGTTTGTGTGATAACTGCGGTTCCACCTGGTATTGTTCCAAAAGATGTCAACAATTAGACCAGCCAGCGCACCAGCTTTTATGCTCACAGTACCTTGAATTTCGAAATAAGCGCCCGTCGGACGCGCACAAGATCGGCATTTGGTTTCCGAGAGACACGAAAGAGCCAGAGCTTGTATGGGTACCCATAATTTCGATAATGGACGAATTCCATGCCGATTTTGGTGGGTTTCTGGGCCCAAATCATTCTGTCTTGTTTACCCTACCATTTCATGAGAACAAGCGGCGGGGATTGATCTTAGATCACCAAATCACGATATACTATCAAGACTGGGATGAAAGACCACCCAAGACCAACCAATCCATTCAGCATGCTGTAAAGGCCTGCCACGGTATGCGAGTACCTTACAACCTATGCGGAGATTATGTTGCGATGAGTGGCAGGCGCGGGGACCCATCATCCGAATACCTTGATATAGATTGCGCTGACTTTCGACACATCCTGGACTACTTCAGCACATATTTTGATGAAACTATCCGCGAAACACCCAGTGGCGGCTCTGTGAGGGCTGTTCAAATTAGCTGCCCCCTTGAGCAGAAGCTCAAGGGCTGTGGACAGTTTCAATCGGTAGTTGTCGATCGTGATTTCCCAAGCACTAAACTGATTTCGGACCTGTCAATGGCACTTGAAGATCCGATGTGGATATGCGAGATCGATCGTGACGAACTGAGTGATGGAATCAAGCTACTGGATGAACTACCGGAGGATCCTTGGAGAAACCTCCATGCTGAAGCTCTAGCCACTGATATAGACGAAAAATCTGACAGTTGGGGCATGCCTCTCAGGTCCCATTGGCGCTTCGATGGGAGCATCATAGTCATGCGGAGACATGGGAAGGATCTGGATGTCGAATGGGTACAGCACATATGCGCTTATTATCTCGAGGTTCTTCGACCGCTCTTTGCAATGTCACTTTCTGGAGAAATATCGCGCGAGGGTGTCCTGGCAGAGGTTACACGTGAGAAAATAATTGCATGGATATCGGTAAAGACACCAGGAGACTTTACGAATCTCGGGCCTCAACGTGCATTTGTTAAGAGCCTGTGATTTTGAAGATGGTAAGTGATAAAACAGAGCTGCCATAGTTCCAAACCAGGATCTGATCGCATGTGGTTTAAATGAAATGAAATGTTGGTTGAATTATCTTGGGCATCTCGTCTTACTTGGTTTATTCTAAAAATGCCCACTGCCCTATCTAGAGGACCTTCAAAATATCATGACCAATATAAAGCATCAAACGGGCCGGCTTGGTAGATGGCGGGAATTACCCGTTACATGGATTGGGCTGGTGGCATCCGTACGCCAATAGTAGAAATCCATCAGACTTGTCGTTTGGCTGTATCCACGCCAGCCAGTAGGTTCCCCTTCTGGCATTTTCATGTCCTCCTATCGTTCCGCGGAACACCGAGATGCCTCGGGAAGTTGCCCTAGTTATGTGTAACGCAATCAAGGTTTCGGACAACAGTTGAAAGGGTATCTTCTATAACCTAGAGAGATTTTTCAAGCTCCCCAGTGCCTACAAGGCACCACATAACCTCCTCAATTCGATGCTCGTTGGGAGTCATGAATGAAGGCCTCTGCACTTCCCGCTCAATTTATGGTAGAAAGAAATTCCAGGAGGGTGAAAGGACGAGATTGGACCGAGGCATGTTCAGAGGCCAAGTTAGAGGAATATTTAGAAACAGGAGAGGAGGGAGGGGTCAGTCGTTAGATTAACCATCGGATTTGTCGATATCAGCAGCTTCAGGGATGGTGTCAAAGAGATCCCCTTTGTGGAATGAGGTGAAGGCAATAAGCCATCCTGTAGTTCCCGAGCGTATTTCTCTCTTTCTCGTTGGAAGAACTGTAACGCCGCTCAATCCAATCGCGTTGTCTGGTGTAGTAAAAGGGGTCAATAAATATCGAGATAACGCAGGATGGCATGGTGGGATAGTTTGATACATCGCTTGGCATCTCATCACCGGGTTCAGGAATGGGAGAAGAATGTGGAGAATGAGAATGCGGTTCTTACTCGAGGTGAGTTCTCACGGACAGCTTCAAGGGGCAGTGTGTGACGACACGCATGAAACCTTGATGTCAGGCATATCTCGCAACTGCTGAAAGTTTTGGTGCCAGTGGCCGGGGTTTGAGGTCATTACTAGAGAATCACACATTAGATTCAGTGCTTACATTCCCCACCCAAGCTAGCTAGGATGAGAAAAGCATACTTACCTCAAGAATAGTCGCAACGGTGCGCGTAACTGTGTTTTGTGCCTACCGGGGACCTCCAGAACATGCAACCTTGGCTGCTATGCTGCTGTATCACGATCAGCCAGCACGCTGTCCCTTCCTTTTTGTATGGGGAGCGAGGTCAGCAGAGACTCCATTTTGGTGATCCGAAGATCACACCGCGATCTAGCGTTTTTGATATGACGTTGATAAAGTGACTGGCACATTCATCCAGATGGTCATGTAGATGGAAATGTCAGCCTATATAGGGATATGAGAAGTTATCTCCAACCGTCCAATCTAGTTGTGATGAGACTTACCTTGCATTGGTGGCTTCCAGCACAACTTCCTCTAACAACAATAGCATGGAGGGGAAAGAGAGTTGAGAGGAATCAGCCTGTCCCACCAAGAAGGGTCTGAGTATTGTGGATTGTAGGACTTTCTTGGTCTATATAGGATGGAGGTAAAGGGAAGGGAGGGGGAATGTTTGTTTGTTAGACAAGGAAGAAGAAAGATTATAAAAGGAAGGTACAGTTCGTTCTCACTCTGTCAATTCTACACAGTCCCCTTTCAATATACTTCCCACCACCTTTCAGAAACGGAGAATCTAAGGTTCGGTTGGCTTAATCCATCATCTCCTATTTATATCACCAGCTATGAATATTCTTATGAGAAATAATGCGAAGTCCCTAGAAGTACAAAAACGTGCTTAACTAGATTCTTATCAATCACCTCACCAATGCTGAGGGGAAAGCAGAACGGGCACACAAGAAGGACTAACTGGTAATTTCCCAGCATGGAAGTTATCCCCATGGCACTTTGCTTATATACTTAAGGTTACTATCCATGGATTGTCCATCCTTCCTTCTTCCCACTATTCCCACCCTCGAAACACTTCACAGCTGTGCTCTTGCTGTCTATTCGTTACATCCTTCGCTTCAAGCCTTCTGTACTCGGTCACACTTCTAGCATGTCTCATCACGCGGGCCATCCTTACTATCTTACTGTGAAACCTGCCAGCACTACCCCTAGGATGACGAGGACTGGCTATTTGAGTCTCTCATCATACGAGGAGGTGAATTGAATGGAACAAAGTTGGTTCACTCACGCGAACCCCCGCTCAATGGTGAGTGAATGATCGTGCTGGAAAGCAGGATTCGTTGACCAGGCAAGTTTCTCGCTGAATTATCTGGCCGGTTCTCCCAAATAGGGCGGTGCTTCTTTCACGCATATTGGTAGCAGTGTGATTGCCAAGGCTCCAAGGACCGCTTCCATAGATCACCAAATATCCCGATGTGTAATCGGTTGACAATGAAAGGATTAAAGAGTTTATGAGAGACACTGTAGCTTAACCTAGAATAATGGTGTAGATTGCAAGTGAGAGACAGATATCCAAAAAAGGAAGTGGGAGGTAAACACAGAATATGGGACCTAAGTAGCCATCTTAAGGGCTCCTTCCTTTCACGTACTTCCCTTCCCCATATCTCCCCCAAAACCCATCCCAATACTCCTTCCCTGTCATATCTTCTCAGGCCTTTTCGTCGCCAGTGAGACTAAAGGTAGTGGTAAACTCAAACGCCCCAGCCTCAAGTCTATGGCCCTCGAATGCACCAGGCCCACAGCTCGCTGTTCCAATCCCATGATGGGCATAGTCAATATTAAGCTCGGTTTCGTTATCCAGCTCCGAAAGCTCATGCGGGTGTTTAGCCCTGTCAAGCTCCGCCGTCGCATACTTACGAAGGGAGAAACTAAACGGCGTATCCATAGACGCTCTGATCCTAGGAATAGGCGCAATCGCTCCAGCAGAGGCAGCATAAGACTTATACCCAGGGGAGGAGTGGACGTTCACCCAGCGTGTATCGATGCGATTCCCGTTCTCCTGGGGCCACTCATACGGCGTCTCGAGACCGCTCTCAATCGAGGCCGTATACTTTCCAAACCGTGCAGCCGACTTTGTGTCACGGTACGATTCCCCGGGACCTCTGCCAAACCACGTCGCAGCATCATATTGTCGCGGAAGGCGGAGTGTGAGACCGATTCTTGGGATGTATGTTGGGTGCGTGCCTATGAAATCACCCTTGACATGCAGAGCCACGGATGTCTCCGTGATGGTGTACGTGAGGATAGCCTCGAATGCCCATTCCAGCACGGTGGGTGCGACGCGGACTTTCGTGGTGATTAGTACGCTTCTGTTGTCGTCATTAACACGCCAGTTGGCGGATTCGACAAGCATCCTACTGCTTTTCACGCGGAAGCGGTTCCACTCAGCACTAGGTCCCGCTGATCCGACGTCATTTTGTGTCAAGGCGCGGTATATCCCTAACTGTGGTCCGCTGTTGAAGATTTTGCCTCTTTCGGTGGACCACGACAAGTCTCCTCGGATTAGGTCGTAGGTGAAGTGCGAGGCGAAGCTGTTGGAGTTGATGTATAGCCGTCCAGATCCCTCCTGAACTGACATTGTCGATTTTGACGAGATCGCTGCTGGGGGAATTGCGGGTTTTTGGTCTTCAAACAAGGGAATTTGTGCCCAAGCAACTTCATGTCCTTCGGGTGCCCAGGATGTGGCCACTTTGAGTCGGAAGTTGATGGTAAGCCAGCTTGGATCAGAACTAAAAGTCACACCATCGGGTAGATCTAGGAGCTTAGATTCTCCGGGCTTAATCTGGGGGATCTGCAATGGTACTCGCTCAGTGTTTCCGGTTTCCTTAACAATGTGCCATGAGATTGACAGGTGGTCGAGGGTATTAAAGTCGTAATGGTTTACTACCTCCAGGGAGCTTCCCTTGAGTGTCACCGTGACTGGTTCAATTGCCTTTTTGTATTCGGTTAGCCCCGGGCTGGGTGTGTGATCCGAAAACACCATTCCATCAAGGATAAAGTCGGCATCATTGGGCTCGTCGCCAAAGTCGCCGCCGTATGCGTAATATGAAATGTCACCATCTCTTTTGAGAAGGCCATGGTTGCACCACTCCCAGATGAAGCCGCCTTGGAGCAGCTTTTCCGTGCGGTAGGCCTCGATGTATTCTTTCAATCCACCTGGTCCGTTGCCCACTATTTTCAAAACACAGGTTAGAAGACATTGTACGTGTTATATCATGCACAAGCGCAAATTTCAAACTCACTGGCGTGCGCGTATTCACATTGTATCAGAGGTCGATCTGGCTTCTCCTTGATGTGCCTTTTGAGGTCGTCGATACTCCAGTACATGGTGGAATATAAATCAGCGCTGAGGGCCTCCCGATCACCCTCGTAGTGAACGAGACGAGTTGGGTCGGCCTGTTTAATCCACTTGTACATACTCGCGTGGTTCTGCCCGTAGAACGCCTCGTTGCCAAGCGACCACATGATAATACAAGGGAAGTTCTTGAAGCGTTGAACAAGTTCAACTGCCCGATCAAGATAAGCATCCCTCCATTCTAGATTGTCGGACGTCCATTTGGTAGCCATCTTGTAAGATGTCTCCTGAATTTCGTATTCAGTCATAAGGTGCTGGTTCGGGATATTGGAGCGTTCCACGGGGTCAAAACCATGTGTCTCAAGATCGGCCTCGGCCATGACATAAAGACCAAGTTCATCACAAACTTCGTACAGTCTGGGGTCATTGGGTTGATGACAGCAACGCAAGGCATTGATGTTATGTTTCTTCATCAGAATGAGGTCTGCACGCATATTTTCATATGGCACGGCGCGGCCATGGAGATGGTGATGCTCGTGGCGGTTCATACCGTATAAAATGATGGGTTTTCCGTTAACCAAGAAGTTCGCTCCTTTTTGCTCGATACGCCGGAATCCAACCCGCTGCGTAATTGTACGGCCATTAAATGATAGGGTCAATGTATAGAGAACAGGATCCTCGGCAGACCACAGCTTCAAATCATCAGCAGATACATCGATACGGCCGGAGTCTTTAGAACAGAATGTCAATTCCTTGAGCAATTTGCCATCCGGTCGATATAACCTGGCCTGAACATCGCCATCTTCCCCCTGTATCTTGACATCTGTGAGTAGCTGGCCTGTAGATAGGTCCTCGCTAAGCGTTGGTACGGCGTTGAAGTCGACCATTGAATTTAGCGGAAACGCAAGCAACCCAACATCTCGGAAGATACCACTGAGAAGCCACTGATCCTGCCGCTCGATATACGATCCATCACAGAACTCGTACACGCGCACCGCAATGGTGTTCACAGATCCGGCTGGTTTGAGTAGGGATGTGATATCAAACTCGCTGGGGTTACGTGAACCTTGCGAGTACCCAACCTCTTCTCCGTTGATCCAGAGATGAAAAGCACTATCAACGCCTTCAAAGCGGATACGAATCTGTTGTTCTTTCCACGTGGAAGGAGTTACAAACTGCCTCCAATAAGATCCAGTCTCGTTGAGTAGTGGCACTTGAGGGGAATTCACATGGAATGGATAGTTGACGTTGGTGTAGGTCGGGTGGGAATAGCCCTGTAGCTGCCACATTCCTGGCACTTTAATGTCGTCCCAACTCAAGGGATCGGCAACCGTCCATTCAGGTGCCTCGAAAGGAGACGCATCGTGTCGGAATTTCCACGTGCCATTCAGGGAAATATACTCGCTTTTGTCGCGGTTGAAAGTGAGGGCAAGTTCCTCTGAGGCGTAGCTGTAGAAGTGCGCCCGCGGTGGAAGGGTGTTCTTATGGATCACTTTGAGGTTGTTCCAATCCGGTATAGATTTAGGAAAAGACATTCTCAGATGGTTTAACTTAGAAGAAATATCACTGTTTGAAAGACCGCCGGGAGATGTTGAGAGGGGTGATCAGATAACCCCGAGCAATGGCGGGGCTAATATTTTGGCAGGCCACTGCAATAGTTTCCCACCAACACCGGCTAAATATAAAGTGCATTTTGCCGAAGTCATGTGCCAAGAGATGACCCTACTAGGAGGTTCATAAAGATCTAATAGGCGCGATAAATACGGGAGCCGATTAATTATGAGGGAGTATAGTGTGATGCGGAAGAAGGCTCGGCGAGAATGCCGATGTACATGGATGATTGTGTTCCATAGACGTCCAGCTGCTTTCCCAAACTCTCATAGCTGAGCCCTATATATATACATCCTTATGAATTAAGAAAAATATCATTATATAAAGTTATCAACAACTGTTGATTTGAGGGTATTACCCCAATCCTGCACCCATATTTCTCCCTCCTAGAATTTCTCAGGCACTATCTCCTGGCTGTTGGCAATTGCTTGCAATTTTGCTTTCTCGCCAATTTCTCTCTCTGCTGTAGATGCAGCCGTTCCAATCAACTTGTTTCCGTATTCTTCCCCATCCAAAATAACGGCGGTTTCTTCCAGGCTGAGACTGCCAGTTTCCACGAAGAGGAAGTAGACCACCACAAGCTCAAATGCCAGCCATACATCGTAGGTAATATAGAACTTCCACTTGCTGTTCGTCACGCCGATTGGATTCACATACTGGTTGAAGATACCAGCAAGTGCGACGAAAAGGTTATACAAAACGAGACCTCGGGCGCGCAAGTCGAAGGGTAAGATCTCAATGCAGTAAGTAACTTGCAGAGGCGTCCAGCCAACGGAGTAAAAGAAATTATACAAGAAGATCATTGCTAGAACGCCAGTCGCGTAACGGTCATCACCCCCAGTTCCATCCGGCCCCGCTCCTCTCTCGTACACAGCCTCGAGGGCTGTCCAGACGATATAGACAGCCAGTATACCTGCGGTAGAGATAAGAAAGAGAGTGCGCCGACCAAATCGATTCATCACAGCGGCAAATACCAAACTCCAAATCATTGACCACAGTGTGAGAAGTGCATTGATAAGGGTCTGAGTGCTCTCCGATTTGTAGCCAATTGAGTCAAGAATCAGTGTGAAGTAGTATGAGATTAGGCCATTACCGCTCCACTGAGAGAAGAACCCCACAGAAAGAATAATAAAGAATCTTCTAATGTTGCCTTTACTTTGGAAAAAGGTCATGTACGAGGTGGTGCGTCTCGCCTCCATCTCAAGTTGAAGAGCAACGCGGATTTCCTCCATCTCTAGTGTGACCAAAGGATCGGAATCGTCCCCGTTGGCATGATACTTGCAAATGAGTTTTCTTGCTTCATCGTCGCGCTCTTTGCTGATAAGCCATCGTGGTGACTCCTCAATCAGGAAACAAAGGCCAATCTGGAGCACACTGGAGAGGCCTTGAAGGAGCGACGGAAGTCGCCATGCCCACGTACTATTGATGCGAAACGTGCCGTAGGTGACCCACGCAGCAACCAGAGCACCTAAATTCCACAGGCTGTTGTATATCGCTACCTGTGGTCCCTGTTGTCGGGGAAAGGCTAACTCGAGGAGGAGGAGCGGCGCCGCAGTGATATTTAGCACGAGACCCATCCCGATGATTCCTCGGGCAGCAATGAACATCCCAACGTTTTGAGCCGCAGCCTGGAGAGCAACGCCGACTAAAAGAACGAAGGCGCCAACGAAGAGAACTGGACGGCGGCCAAATTTGTCGCAGCTGATGGCGCAAATAGGCATGGTGATGAGCTGGCCAACATTTTGTATAGCATTTAAACTGTGCAGAATTATGTCAGTTCTGGTGTTCTTGCGTAGAAACCGATGGTTATTAGCCAGACTGTTGAAGCATGATTGATCACGTACAGACCCAACTCAGAAGCCCCGGGGTTATTGAAAGAGTTTTGCCAAGTGGTGAGGGACTGCAGCCCATTCATCATAGATCCATCATAACCTGTTGCATAGCTCGAGATTTGTAACAGCACAAGGATTAGGTTAAGCTTAATAATTCCGGAGTTTGAGAGCCATGATAGACCAGCGCCCCTACTCCCCAACGCACCGACAGTAAATGGCGACTCTGTTGTTGGCTGAGACATCGCCGTTTTTCTGCGCGATTTAAGGGACACACGTAAATAATGAAAGGTTATACAGGAACTTTATGTGCAAAGCTCCATACGCTAGTGGTAATTGCCAAAAGTCCCAGTCGAAGCTTATCACGCCTCGTGAGGGGATAACGCCGACATTGCCGGGAATTTGCCGGGTTTTGATTAAAATAAACCAATCCCTTGGAAGATCTTGACAACCTCAAGCAGGGTAAATCCAATATCTTATCAAATTGCAACCTCGAGGAGCTGGGCACCACTTGAGGTGTAACAACTGACCCTCACCAAATACAACGCTGTAGGATTGACCAACAGCCAACGCGCCCCCTATTCCATTTCACGCCTCTCGACGAGATAACAGTCCACGGATTGGTTCTCGACCTTCATTGTTGTTGTTTTCATTTTTCCCCACCTGGGACATGATCACATGTTCTGCCAGCCACTAGTGTAGTGCGGTGCTTGCAGCAGCTTTTATCCCCCAGACTAAAGACACAATTACTTTCCCCACATCGCTGAATCTGGCGATTGTCTCCCATTTGAGTTCATGAGGTTGAAACAGGTACCATCCAGACGCGAGTTTGTGTGTTAGGTCGTTGGGCTGGGTATCAATATTTGTTCTTGGTATATTAGATTGTTACCAAAATTTTATTTATTTTGAATCATTGGGTCGACGATACCACTTTCATACATCTAATTCGTAATGACGTTGGCGCCCTGTCGAATTACAACTAGGCTACGCCCGCGATGAAGACACCGCCATGATCACAAATGCCTTGATTTGGACTGATTTGGACAGTGTACCTTATTCTAGCAAAATAATCTCAAGCGTGGTACTCCCAACCATAGTTCTAGTTTCTTTTTAGTGACATTCTTGAGGTAGTTACGACAACTCCGGCGAATGGTAGAAGTTGAGATAGGCTATAGAGGATTTGACCATATTCACGTCCTCATTCTATATCTTTTTTTTTTTTTACCTTTTCACCAAAATATATATTTCAAGTCACTTCATGATTTGTCGGAGAACAAGGATACGAATGTGCTAAAACGATCATTTAATAGAAGCAATTGCACGGACTTCTTGATATTAATGATAAAACCAGCCAAATTAACTTGCAGAATGCAAGAATTGGTTAGGGGTAAAGGAGTTCAGAGTGTAATGAAAGATATCTGTTGCATATTGCATGTATTTTTAGAAACTAGTTCTTAATGCACTTTTGGCATTCCTCCACCAATCAACTGGGCTTGTGGTTTAGTGGTATAATACTCCCTTAGCATGGGAGTGGTCCGGGGTTCGATTCCCCGCGAGTCCAGATCTTTTTGTTTTTGCTTTTTTTTCCGCGCGGAACCAATTGCCAAGATATCCGCGCCTTGCCAAGACTTAATGGACCAAGGCGTTGTTGCATTGTCTTGTGGTCAGACAGCAAATACCATGTCAATATCGGTCACTAGCTTGCTTTGCTCAAATTAAGCCCAATTCATGCGAGGGAACTCTTGGGAGCTCTACTAGTGCCTTGTCAGGGGCAATATTTCCCAACCCTTATATTCAGCCTTATACCCCCACATTTCCGCTTATTGCTTTCCTCCGTTAAACTTTTACCCTTAACTTCCATTCGCCTAAAATGCTTTTTATCCGGGGATGGGTCTCGCGGATCTGTGTTCTGATTTTTGCATCAACCGTTCTCGCAAAAGATGACCCGGACTATAATCCATCGTCAAATTTTCGGCCTAACAATGTCACGGGTCTCAATCAGCTTTATACTTGGGTTGGATCGTACGTTTCATCCATCAATTCACACTAGCTAGTTCACTGAATATGCATAGTTACTACAACGGGACCACAGAAATCGAACTGAACCCCACAATCGGATATTCATCAAACGATACAGTGTGTCCGACTCACAGGAACCGCACCACGATCCTGAAATGGGACTCGCTCTTGGCAATCACACAGCGAGGCACATACAACTCCGGCATAAATCCAGTCAATCTATGGCTAATTCTATTTCCGCCGAACCACAACATGTCCGACATGCCATATGAAATTGGTCTGCTTTACAGCGGCACACCTCTTATGTACCCCGTCATGTCGTCACTGTGAGTCCCCTACAACCATACCATTTCCCTCTTCTTTCAGATACAATCCTAACTTGACCAGCCTCACATGGAAGCACCAGGAGAATAAAACCGTCGCCGATCATTTCAATATGACTACAACCAAAAATCCGAACTCTTCGTTTACTCTTTCGGGGGAAATGCATAGCAACCTAGCCCCATATGACGGAAGCGCATCCTGGCCTTTGAAAATCGACATGATTCCGTGCAACATATCCGAGGAATACGGTAATTGGAGTATGAACGTCCCCCAAGCGGAATGGTGGGATACGGAAGGCTGGGACGAGTTCGTTCTACCGAATGTGACGGTGGATTTTGATGCACACACGTCTAATCTGACCATGGATGGGGATTTCAGAGCGTCTCCATTCATGCGGTCAAATGTGTCGCGCTATTGGTGGGGTGACATGCTTTCTGCCGAAACTATCCAAGGTCCTATTCAAATCCGCTTTAGTGGTGTTTTGGATGCTTATAATTCGGATATACTCGATGTCAATTCCACAGAACCGGCATGGCTACGGACTGTTGGGTTTGGGAACAATTCCTTGAATATTGCGGATTCATCGAATCGTGGGCACAGTCTTCGATCTACTCTGTGGGGTGCTCTTGTGGCTCCTTTATTGTTGGTATCGTTGTTTATGCATAGATGAAACATTGACAAATTCTGAACAGTACGGTTGCCAGTCCGTATATTCATCACGGGTAATTGTTATATGAATGATTTGCCTCTACGCGGAACTCGTAAAATTATTCAGCAGCTCTCGTTATATAAAAGCAGTTATTACGATACGTGGATGCAAGACACCCATGAGAAACAAGATATCAAAGTGCATGGAAACATGTGAAAAGAGTTGATTGTTGCTAAAACCGAGTTGTGGTATGACCATCCAGTTCTTATCCCTCCGTATGAGTAAGAATTGCGAGAAACACCCTGCAAATGAACCCCGCTGGTGAAGATGCCGTTTTACTGTGCAAGCGGATCTTCGGAAACTGTACGTTGAGCAGGATCCTGAACAGGAGCCGTAACCGGGGCCATAGCGGGGGCCATGGCGATTTCATCCAAAGGGAATTGGTTGGCCGGGTTTCGGAAGCAGTTCTCGCTGGAATGACCGGCTTGGCGATTGTGGAACTCACAAAAGAACGGCAGATGATTAATCTTACCAAAGGTAAAGTTGTGAGCTTGATTGAGCGAGTTGAGGCGACGGTCTTCAGAAACGACAAAGTCCGCAAAGGTTGCTTCAATAGTTGTGTCGGTAGAGACCTTCGAATTGAGGAAGCTGTCGAGCCATGGGTGGACAGCTGGGTTGACGCTGACAGCGTTCAGGAAATGGTAAAAGATGAGAAGAGGCGTGAGCTTCGTTGAATTGCACTCTTGGAGCTCGCCGAGGGCGATACGCCACTCGTTGACAAATGCCTGAGGCCGGTTGCAAGTGTACGTTGTGTTAATAAACCGGAGGAAACTGGAGAAGCCGGCTTGGTAAGACCGGGCTGCAAAGGCGCGGTGGAGGTTGGCGTATGCAGTGCGTGCATTCTTGGCATCGAGAATGTAGAACTTGACCGTCTCATGAACGGTGGCGTTGAGTAATGGGAGGAGATAACGGCTGGCAGTATCCCACTGGATACGAGCCTCAACTTCGATGGGAGTAGGCTGTGTGGGGTCGATTTCTCGGGGTTCACTCCAGACACCAGTGAGAAGTTCGTAATATCGAAGGTCGCGCGAATCGAGGGTCCACTTGAGTGATGTAGTCCATGTAGAGAAGTTGGACTCGCCCATAAGAGCTGGGACAAGGTCGAGGAGGGTTGGCTCAACAAAGCCCATGGAAGCCATTTTGGTGATAAAATTCACAAGAGGAGGGATAGCAGTAACTGTACGAACATGGAGTATTGATAAATAAAAGGAATGAAAATTGGATTGATGAAATTACCTTAGAGGCATCGGAATTGGGAGTGGTGCAAGTTATGTGTTGGTGGAACAGCTAGTCGAACCTATAAAGGAAATCCAGACAAACAACGATGATAAAGAAGGAGCGATAAAGGGTTTATCGTGTATAAAGCCACAGGCATTCATGGATGAATGCACAGCAACAGAAATGACAAAGTCCACAGCGACTTCCTTGTTGAAGCTACTATTGGGATAAACTATTTGCCGCACTATTTCTCACCATATAATATGTACATAACTCAGAGAGAATAATGCAATAATTTTACAGAAATCTGTCGCAAAGAATACCGAAGCTGGATATAGCAGAAATCGACCCATCCCAAATCCAGATGAAGTCTTAGAGTGTATCTTCCTTGACCGGGGGTGCCGATAAGCCCTCGGGAATTTGAGTATTCATACGAATTGTGTAATATCGAATACTTGTGATAACCTTTTCCTTTTTACAGTTCAACTTCCACAAGAGAGCACCCGCTACCGTATACTCCATGTCCAACTGGTATGTTTGACCGAGTTTCAGATAGTCAACATACTAACTAGGGTCTTGACAACACGGAGTGTGTGCAAGTGGATCAAGAGCAGATTTCATATTGACGGCAGACTCTAAGTTTATGCGAAGGCCTGTCACTCGGACCATTGACCCGCAGTAAGAAAGCATGCAAACGCTGTGTGTGGGTCGAGTACGTGTTTAGTGGCCCGAGGCACCCAGATGATTAACTACGTAGTTAGGCAAAAAAAAAAAAAGCAGAACGCCTTGGTATTTTAATCCATTTCCTGTACTAGATAAATAGAAAATGAGCAGCTTTCTATTACATCAATTTAAAGCCTTCAAGGTCAGGTTTTGAGAATAAAAATTGGAAATAGGCTGACATATTGCTGTCAGAGAAAAGCCGGTGTCTCGTAGGCGAAATCAACAGGGCCTCACCGGGAGGCGGTGTTCTTATGGCTGCCGAGATATTTGATGTTCTCATACTCCCCGGGCGATCAAGAATCCCTTTTGATGAGCCCAGAAATTTGCCGATGAACAGCTCATCTGGAAATGCAGCTGTTTTATCCACCGGGATATTTGTGACATAACTCGCTGCACTATTTAATTAACAGCAACATGAGTTGCGGACTTTAATTTGTCGTTCTCGCGCGATCTATGAAGTGGGGCATTCTATGACCTAAGATAGCTTGAAGCTTTTCTTTCCTCCCATAAACAACATTTAGTAACTGCTCCAATGCCTTTATTGGTGACTGCCGGATCTCGAGCTCGGATCGCCGGCGCTGGCGATGTTTCCGCTGTGATTCACATAGTTATGCCCGTCTCTCCTAGTTCCCGTCAAGCATCAGTAAAGATTTATGTAGAAAGCAATTGCGATTGAGGTTTCGACCTCTTTCATTGGATTGTAAATTACAAGCACTGGAATCCTAGAAAACAAGATGATGCTTATTCAAAGAACTGATGGGTATGGCTTTGCTCTCTAAGTCTAAACAAGGATCCGACACTTCAGTGCCCGCTCCTTTGACGATATGACTAATAAGTGCAAATATTACCTTCGAGTTTCCTTTTTCTTGTCTATATTGCTCAATCGGTAGGACAAACCCTTTAAAGTTCACCTAAGTCGTAGCTTTAACAACAGCACTGATACTGCGAGCAGTGTGGTCGATATTGGAGCTGTTAAGCCCACTAAAGGAAAGAAACATGTCAGCTTAATGTGTACTCCCAAAATATGCTCATGAGACATACGCGATAGAGATTCTCCCAGAGTCTTGAAGATACACATGGTACTTGTCCCGGAGGAGAGTGACCTGTTCGACGGATAGTCCAACATATCTAAAGGAAGTCAGCATGGAGAGCCCCCCTGAGTCCGATCTTGATAACACTTACGAAAACATTCCCCTCTGTTCAGTGATATGCCTCCAGCTACCTGGTGTTTCCAACTTCTCCAAAGCTTCCCTTAGCGCAACTCGACGGTTGTTGAGTTGGTTTGCCATATCGCGCACTTCCTCTCGCCATTGGCGCTCTAAAACCTCATCTGACAGAATTGTTTCAACAATCCTGGACCCAAAATCGGGTGGCGCGCCAGACTCTGATCTTGCAAGTAGACTGAATTGCGCTTCAATATTCTTTCCCGCCTGCTCGTTTGGAACGAGAACCGAGATAATTCCAACGCGCTCGCTATAAAGCCCAAAGGACTTTCCGTACGTTGAGACGAAAACAAACGGGATTTCCTTCTCAGCAAACAAGCGAACGCCTGCAAGGTCCGCGTCAATATCTCCTGAGGCAAATCCGGGGTATGCGGCATCGAAGAAAGCCAAGTGACCACGCTCTAAGAAGATGGAAGCTAGCTCTTGCCACTGTTCTGGTGATGGATCACATCCAGTTGGGTTCTGGGCTCCAGACTGGACAAGAATGACGGATTGAGTTGGCAAGGATTTGATGGTGTCAGAGAACTTCTCAAAATCGAAGGTGTTTGTCTTGCTGTTAAAGTAAGGCAGAAAACTGGTCTTAATTCCTGCAGACTGGAATACGAAAGGATGATTCACTGGGACCTGATCAGAATTACTTCCGTATGTATTAAAAAGAGACGACTTACACCACGAGTCGGTCGGAAGGAAAATCTCGGGGTTTCCATTCTCCTTCCAGGGTCCATAATGATTTTTCAATAGAACTGCACCAGCATGGCATCCTCCACATGCGCCAAGAGTTTGCGCTGAGACTATTCTAAGAAAGGAAGTCAGCTCTTGATCAGCTCTTGATAGGTTTTGTAAAGAGCATATCTCGCTTCCTTTACCTTTTCTCACGCAAAAGACGACTATCGGCCCCAAAAAGCAGCTTGGAACTCAAGTCCCTATAACCCGGGGAACCCACAGCGGAAGGGCGATACTCATGATGCCAATCAGGATCATTGAATATTCTGTTCTTTGCCTGTAATATGAATATCAAACATTTAGCGATGTATCTCGGGTGTAGAATGCTAAACTTTGGGGAGTGGTATATATACCTCTTTCACACTTGGCTGCAAGTATGCTTTACCTTCGTCCGTTTTGTACACGCCCACAAGGAGGTCAGTTCTGTTGGGATCAGTATCGGCTCGGAACTTGTGGGAGAGAGCTGCAAGGCCATCTAAATATGCTTTCTTAATTCGGGTTCATGAATGCGTATCAATTGTATCATTTACCTGCTGCTCGGGCCGCTGGGACACCCTGAAAGGGATCCGGAAAAGTAGTTGTTGCTATGCTACCCATTTTGTTTCTGCTGATGAGCGGGGAAAATGGGATTACTGTTAGATCTTATAGCTGCGGGGAAATATGTGGCTTAGAGTGATATTCATCCAGTAGCACGTTATTGGTAAAACGCCATCATGTCGCAATATTAGAAATGTGTCAAATAGTCTATTACTATATCCTATCTCTCCATCAGGAACCGTTTCTATGGTCAACCTACTCGCGATATCGGCCTTCTCTCCCGTAGAGGTCCGGAAATGAATAATCAAATAAAATATGTGAAACATACAGCGCCCTTCAGACTGACACTGACACATATGGTGAAGTAATTGAGTGACAAGCTAGGCCCGATACAACGGTTTGAAAAACCAAGTGCACAAAAAATTATAATACTAGGTGCTTGTATGTACAATCTACATTGATAAAATCCGTAAACGCGTCTCTTATACGCCACGACCGTTTATAGCGCTCGATGCCTTGGTGCCTTATCTTGGCCTTAGTTATCTCTGAATCCTGCCAGATTTTAGACCGCTTTTAGGCCGCTCTATGCATAGTGTACACTATGTCGTAGCCCATTCGGCGCAGAATAACTTTGCGTCATGGTCCTAAAAATGATGCTTTTCATGCCATACAAAATTTGTATAACTCCAATTTTGGGATGGTGTATAAGTAAAAAAAATGAAGGTTTTAAAACCATATAAATCAATGTCTCACCATACCTATAGGAATTTCAAACTTTATCACTGCACATCTACAACACAAGGTGTTTACAAATCTTACCCAATTTATATGGAGCCAAATCCGCTTGTTCTGAGAATGCATCCACTTCGAACGGCCCTCGGCCAATTTCAAGAAGAGTCCCTAGAAGGCAAATCTTTACAAGAGATGGCTCACTTAATCGGTGCAACCCATCACTTCGTCCTCTTATCCAGTTAGATAGGCGAAGAGACTATGCCTTTGGATGATAATTAAAACAAGGAACTCAATCTCGAGAAATAGTCCGCTAGAACATCAGTTTTATTTAACATTTAACTAATATATGGAGGCTGTGTATAGCCGAAGGTACTGTAATATTCGCATCAGAACAGAACATGAATAGAATCAAAAACCAGGGATCCATCTGCTGACTGCATTTGCAATGGTTAGAAATCCGTACCCAAGCCTCAATCGCCATACCAGGCGATTACATCCATTCGCACTGAAGTGTGTTTCCATGTTATTCACTGTCTTCTGGGCAAATTTCTGTCCACGAGGAAACAGCTCGCGCTCGTATTTCTCAATAGCCTTGTTCAGTGATGGAAATTTGCCCATTTTCAAAGATACAAGGGTATTACCAAGTTCCAGTGCGTCAAGCATGGCTGCATTCACTCCAACTCCAGCAAATGGTGTCATCAAATGAGCGGCATCCCCCAGGAGAGTCACCCCAGGTCGTGGATCCCATTTGATTCCAACTGGAAGCATGTAAAGTGGGCGCGGAATCAATTTGTCGGTACTTTCCAAAATCATTCGCTTCAACTTATTTGCAGAATCGTTGTAGTACCGTTCCACCAATTCTTTGCGGGCAATATCAGGCTGTGTCCAATCAATGCCGCAGTCCTTGGTAAACCCCTCCGGCACCTTGAGACATGCGTAGGTCCGGATGCTACCATCCCCTATCCTCTGAATTTGGATGGCTCTGTCTGCATCGAAGGAAAACAGGCTTCCACGGCCGACGTAATCTCCCATCCAGGGGTGGTTCTGGTTGACGTCCAGCGCCCACAACTCAATCGCTGTGATTCCCGAGTAAAATGGCTCAACATCGGTAAGCAGATTGCGCGTATGCGACCAAGCCCCTTCTGCGCCCACGATGAGATCAAAGTCCTTCTCCACGGATCCATCACGGAAATGCAAGTTCCAGGTATCGGTTCGTCCGCCGGAAACAACGCTGGTGAGTGTTTTGTCATAATGTACGTTCTCTCCATCCAGATTTTCGAGAAGGATATCCTTTAATTTTCCACGGTCGATTTCCGGTCGATGAGACATACTTTTTTCATTTTGTACAGGTGGTTGCGACGTGTTTCCATCCCAGAGAACCACGCCATCTTGCTTGACCACTTTGAGAACATCACTTTCGGGCCGTGCATGCTGGATAAATGCATCCCATAGACCGGCTTCGCGGAGTGCAGCCTGACCTGCCTTTGGATGTAGATCAAGAGTACCTCCTTGGTTCCGCTCGTTCGGGGATGCATCATGTTCGAAGAGCGAAAAAGGGATGCTATTCTTCTGCAAAATATTTGCTAGCGTCAGACCAGCAGGTCCTCCGCCGATGACGGCAATCTTGGGGAAGGAATCCATCTTTAAAGGGTTATAATTACTGAGCCCTATTGTGCATAAGCGGATGGTATAAATAATACGTTAGCTCTCGGCCTTATGGGGCCGGCTCGGAGTTGCGTGCATTCGGTGGTAATCTTTCGCTCGGAGATGTACACATCGGGACGGTGATGCAAATCAACTGAATGGGGGAGCTCCGAACTCCTGCCATGCTCTTACCTCCGGGAATTTTTCGAATAAAATTTTTATGTTCGGTGAAAGACTTTTTATGTGTTATTTTTGTAAAGCAATAAAATCACCGTCGTTGGGCCTGTGTAGACCTCCGCAGAGCCAAAACCCAACCCGGGCCCACCTATGAGCTATGGGCTTGTGCGGGTTAATAGGCCCCTAAATGAGCCCTAAGCAGTATAAACATGCGGAGAATTCTGATACCAGATAAAATCGAACTGCATTTTAGGAGTTTTAAAATTCCCCTTCGTTTTACTTTGAATACGGTAGACCACGACCAGAAGTTAGATTCACCGGTGGGTATAGGGAAGACCTCTGTGGGCTTTGACTCCATGAAGCTAGTTCAATCAATCAATAAATCAAAGTTCAACTAAGCTATTGCAGTCTAACTAGTTGCGTATGACTATGCAGGCACTTCATCCAGCTGAAGCAAGAACCCCAAGCCAAACGCAGAGCGGGATCTCTCCCAGAGAGTATGTATATATAGAGACAAATCTATAAAGAGTGTGGAACGAGCCCATTCCCATAAATCAAACCCATACATAAGAAATCAACCCATAATGAAATCAACCCATAATGATAGTCATGGAGTGCGCCCTCCACCTTCTATCTCTCACTTCTCTCACTTCTCTGCTCTCTCCCCTGTCTCATTTTCAATTGATGTTTGTCGACTTTGGCTGAGTTCTCGTGTCACAGCATCGTTCTCGTCATTGGCTAATACCCATCGTCTTCCACATCTAGATCCATTGCCGCGAGGCCTGTTGGTTCTTTGTCGTCGTCCTCGATCCCAACGTGTTGAAACTGCTGGAGGAGACCTGTTCGGTGCATAAAGTTGACCACGTAGCGGGTGACCTCCGGTTTGACACGATCTTGTCGTACCCGCATTCAGCCACTATCTGGAGGCTGATAGCCCGCGCAAAGATTGGGAGCGGTGCGGAGCGCCAATACTAAAATCAAATTACCGACGCCATGTGGAGGGTTGTGCAGGGAGGTGCCAAGAATGCCAGTCAGCAGAAGTAAGTTGTATTAGGCCGAAGGGTGGCACAGCGAGCTGCAAGTTCTGCAGGGAACGCAAATCAACATGCTGTGAATTTAGTCACCAACAGGACGCCGAGTCAGCCTCTCGGGCGTGTGATCGTTGTGGAAGCATGATTGGGCCTAACAGAATGCCGGATCATCTACGCCGTTGCAAAGGCAGGTGCAGCGAGTGTAGGAAAGCTAATGTACCATGCGTCTGGCAAGGACAGAAAGGCTGCTGTGACCGCTGTGACACACTCCAGTGTGAGTGCGCTGATTTCACTCACAACAATCTAGCCATAGTTGAGTTCGCGACATGCGATCGCTGCCAGGACACGGTTAATGTATCGGCTCGTCTCACGCCGATATACTCGACACGACGGAACAACCGTGCAAGCACTGCGGCACGATGTGGTTAGAACGCCGACTTCAATGGCACGAGGATCGTTGCAAAGGAAAGTGTGGCCACTGCCAGGATCTCGGCATGCCTTGCTCTCGCTTGAGAGGGGGAATGAAAGGAGGAAGATGGGACTGCGACCGATGTACTGAGGATCAAGCTCAGTGCGACAGACCGTGGGTTGAAGAGAAGGGATGAGCTTGATGAGGACGTTTCCGTAGGTAGATGACCGCTGCATACACCCGGGCAACACGAATTGATTAGTTGCACTCGCCCACCAATTGTACATGGTTCTCGGGGGGCGGGTTTCATACAATATCATGATTGATTCTATCACTCATCTCATTCTATGTGTCTTTCTGGTAGTCTCAAAACGCCATCAATTCCAATTTCTATGGCTGACTATATTGCAGAGTTTCACCTCCAGTTCGTTTCTATGCATTTTGGTCTCAATCACATCGTCTGATTCGCGTTCCCTTCTCTTCTCCGCAACACAAGTGATCTATGTTCTGTTCAGCTTCACTCTGTCGCCTATTCGAGCTCAATAGTGCCAGGGGGCTTCGAGGTTCTAGAAAGGCGAGGTTAGCTTGAGGCTCAAGAGTAATAGAGGTGGGCAAAGTCTTCTACTTACAAATCATAGACAACACGGGCAACACCCTCGACCTGGTTGCAAATGGTGCGCGATACGTCCTGGAGTAGACAGGTTAGTAAATGTAGGATGGAAAGAGTACTAGCGGTTTAGGAGTATGAGGATGGGGTTCTCACCTTGAGGAAGGCGTTATCAAAGTCAAACACGTCTGCGCTCATGAAATCTTTAGTGCCAACGGCACGGAGAATGATGATGTAACCCCAAACTCGCTGATCACCAAAGACACCAACACTGCGATTAGTATCGAGACCGGCGAAGGCTTGGGAGATCTAGGAGAAAAAAGTTAGCTTGTACCCGTCCTCCCTTTTATGACTAGCTCGACTTACCTTGTCGTAAAGACCGGCCTCCTTGATCTTGGTGATGAAAATGTGGTCGGCCTTGCGGGCAATCTCCACTCGTTCCTTGGTAACGTCACCGAGGATACGAATGGCGATACCAGGGCCCGGGAAGGGGTGACGGTTGACCAACGACTCGTGAATGCCGAGCTTGCGACCAATTGCCTATACAACTTAGTAATTGAAGATACCATTCAATGCAAGGATTAGCATACCCTAACTTCATCCTTGAACAAAAGTCTGAGCGGCTCAATCAACTATGATAGAAGTCCTGTTAGCCTTTGCGTTAATGAAGAGATAGATAGGAAGTAAACTTACACGCAGGCCTTGCTGAACGAGCCATGCTTGTCAGTAAGTAAATCAAACGATACCAGGCCACATGGACTTACGCCGTTCATCATCCGCTATATGCTGGTTAGTTGAGATACTTTTAGGAAGGTGGTATTGCTTACCTCAGGCAAACCGCCAACGTTGTGGTGAGCTATTGTCAGGTCAGATTTTGTACGCTTCTTTTTGATACGTTGTGGGCAGTCTTCTGTTCTCTTGGTCTACTTACTCTTAATAGTGGCCGAAGGGCCGCGGAAGCTCAACGATTCGATACTAAATGGGATTAGTTTTTTTGGACCTGGCAGTTAGATTAAAACGACTTACACGTCGGGGTATAATGTGCCTTGGAGGAAGAATTCCACCTTTCCGGAGTTAGGGGTGTTCTCTGCTTCTTGCTCGATCTTGGTGTTGTTAGCCAGTGAAAGTCTCTTGGAAAAGGTTAAACGTACCCTGATAGCCTCTTTCTCGAACAGATCGATAACTTCGATTGTCAGTGCCATATCACAAAGCCATAATGACAAAATACCCACAAGTGGACCCAATGATTTTCCGCTTCTTTTCAGGATCAGAAACGCCCGCAAGACGGCTCATGAACAGGTCGCCAGCCTCAACAACTGTGAGGTTAATACCGAGGTGCTTGCCGAGGTTAACCTTGACCGCCTCGCACTCATTCAGACGCATGCATCCGGTGTCGACGAGGATGGCTTTGAAGCGATCTCCAATAGCCTCACGCATTAGGGCCGCTCCAACAGTACTATCAACTCCGCCGCTAACGGCCCCGAGTACGAGCGCTCGATCGCCAACAAGCTCTCGAATACGAGCGATCTCGAGCTCGGCGAAGTCGCCCATTTTCCAGTTTGGTTGAGCTCCACAGACATCAACACTGAAGTTGCGAAGGATATCGGTTCCGCGGGGTGTCTAAACAATGTTAGAGAGGTTGTAGTGTCAGGGGTTCAAGTGACGAACGTGTTCTAATTCGGGGTGGAATTGCACACCTAAATTTCTAACGTTAGAATCTTGCTTGGCCCTAAGAAAAACACCCGAAAAAAAAAAACCGAAAGAAACCGACAAAAAGCCAAGGAAAGACAGCTTAAAGGGGAAACGAACCAAAGATCGGCTTCTCCTTGTGCGCGATGCTAGCGTATTCGGAGTTCTTAGTGGCACCAATGACCACAAAATCCTATTGAAGTTAATAAAAAGAGGCCCGGAAAAGAATATACTTCACTAACCGTAGGCAAGCTAACTAGCTTGTCGTAGTGGGACATGAACACAGGAATCTCATCGCCCAAACCAGCGAAAAGCCGGTCGACATTACTATTAACCTTAGTGATTTTGACGTCGGCGTGACCATACTCTGTGAGGAAAGTGTCAGAATTGATTTCAGATAGCATTTTAAAGGTTGCAAACCTCGTGCCTCTCCGCGGGCAACATTGGTCGAGTTGATTCTCCATGCGATCTCCTGGCAGCCATAGCTAGATGAATATGATTAGTGCCGATTTTATGCCGGAGTGTGCGAAAGCAAGCCATACCAAATACCCCTATAAATCGCGCGTTAGTTGATTCAAAATTGAGCGAACAAAAGGCAGAAAGCACACTCACAGAATGGGTACACCAAGGTCAAAAACAGCGGGGTCAACATCTGCACAAATAAGTATACACAACCGGACGTTTAGAGGAGGAAAACCTTACGGGGCGAGCCCTCGTCGTAGACAGAAGCAGGACCTATTATCTGAGTCAAACCTGGGCACAAACAATGCAGCCATGACTTCATACCTCCAGAGAACACAATTCCTTTAGGCTTCCATGTCAGATCAGCGATCTTAGTGGTGCATGGAAGCAGCTCAGCGAAGACGCCAATAGCCCGAAGTCGACGTAGGATAAGGTGGCTGGTTTGAGACTTTGACAATGAGTCAGCATTTGCCATTGGACGAGGTTTCAGGAGCCAGGCAGTAGTAATGAAGCTCCGTTATCTGGAAGGGACCGAAAGAGGGGCAGAGGGGATATCCGATACATACGCCGAAATCGAGAACGAGTATAGTCTAGAAAATTGAGTGTTAGCCAATCCTTTCTTTAAAATCGATTGCGGCTGCACAGTGATAGAAGGAAGTTGGAGAGCAAGGACAAGTGAGTTTCAAAGCTTGCCATTTTAGCTCTCCGTGGGATGATGATGGTACGTACGTCAAAGCTGTTGTGAGGCGCTTCGTCTGTGACGTTAGGAGCCATTATGATCGTGGTTTCGGCGTATCGAGGGGATTGGCGGGGTTCACAAAGTCAGAGATAGGAAAGAAAAAAACTAGATGGTACATTTACCGCCTCCGGAATAGGATACCGCCCTTTAAATAATGACTTGTGATTCGAGAAACATTTTTTAGAACGGCAGTACCCGTAGCAACGCCCCTCACCCCTCAATCCGGGGGTCTTTTCGAGGGCGGTCTGGCCTGGTTGGTATGGCAGAACTAGAAGGCGGTCTAGGGGTTGTCCTATAGAGGAAACCCCTCCTAACTAGTCAATATTGTTCCTCAAGCAAGCATCCACTTTGCCAATCCATCATCATCATCATCTGGCCCTGTGGGCCCCTAGTAATTCTTACTTGTATTCATGCAATAGTCATGCAACATTGCGGGCACAGATCTTGCCTAATATGTATGTGCTTCCAGGGTTGAGGTCCCGACGAACAATGGTTAATGTAAGAACCCGTCGACTTTGCATCTACGGTGTGGGAGGTGCAATTTAAGAGGTCAGCAATTAAAGAAGAAGATACTTTGATTTATTTAATTATAAAAATACGCCTCGAAAGGACTACTAGAGGAACGTAGCGCACGTGCCGTATTATCTATATCTATGTGACTATTGAAATTATTGCTTTTGAACGGGGAAACGAATGTATATTATATATATCTATCGTGTATTAGATCACGAAGATCTAGCCCAATCCTCACTGTATGAACTGGCTCCCGTCTCTGACCACGTTTGGGAATCCTTGAGACTAGGATATCCGCTCTATTTCCTTCATTATGGAACCATTTGAATATGTACCCCATATCCATAATCATAGCCGTAAGTCCAACTCCAAAATTTATATACGTAGCCGGTAGCGGTCGACCAGTTGTCTCCTAGAATATCCGTGCCAACTTATTATAGGTCAGCTCATCACCGGCCAGCGAGAGCGTACGGCCTCGATACGTCTCCGGATTCAAAAACACCTCCACGGCGACAGCCAGCAATGTCTGGTGCGAGGTTCTCGTAAAATGCAGATGGCCGGAGTATCTTCCATGTCAAAGTTAAATCCTTGCTCCTTTTTAGAAGATGATGCTCGATACGGTGTTTTTGTATGAAGTGCAGAATGTTGGTCGAGTTGTTGATGGATTTAGCACCGTCGCGGTCCACAGAAGAGTAGATAAAGTGCTCCGCATTGCGCTTGAGTGCTTCGTGAAACAGGGATATTCCTTGGCGTTCCTCCAATGCACCATCGCCAATCGCAGCCTCGGAGTTGAGAGTTGACTGTTACTCGTCCCGGCGTTACATATGAATTAGAAAGGTTAAAAAATACCCAAACGCTGAAAACGCTCCATATCGGCTTCGAGGCTAGAGAACGGGATTTCTTGAATAGCTCATAGGGCCGGTCCAGGTCTTCTTGAACAATGTTGATAGTGGAACAATTTGAGTAACTTTTGTGCCGATCTAGACTAGGGATTGGGGCCTTTTGATCAGCCAGCCTCCTTGTTTGCCGGTAGTGTCTGTGGTGAGAATTGCACTCATAGTTATAGAGTATAAGCCGTGCGGTTTGGAAAAAGACAGCGGAGGGATGTGGATTGGAGCCTTTTATTAAGAAACAGAGCCCCCTTAGCCTCCAGAATCAGCTCTATTAGTTGATGTCTAGGGGTTGAAATTTTCTGGTCCAAATGCCGCGCGGATGGCCACACATTGCCATTAGAATAGTCGAGAAATACCAATATGGTAGCAGCAAGATGATTCAAACATATGTTTAGTTTCCCTTAAATTTCAATCATCACCTCGGTGCAGACTTGTATCTACTATTGTTTCCCTGTAAATGTCCATAGATGAAGGGCCAGCTTCCTGGTTTAACGATGTCTCTGTTGTTGATGGTTCTAGATCCTGCGAAGTCCAGATCGAGGCAATACGCAATGAATCTGCAGGGAACGAAAAATGGGTCTCCTGGATTTGATCTTCGGATACCTCAATCTGGGAAGTATGTTGTTGGTTGTCACGCGTTGTAGCAACACGCTGGATGAGATGAGAAAGCGGCTCCCAAAGAACCCACCCCTTCGGTGGCCCATCACGTTGCCACCATTGATACGTGAGGATTGCGATTGTCCACGCACGATCTGCAAGGGCAGACGGGGGGCGAACGCAAAGCTCGGACAGAATGAAGGCAAAAGCATGCCACTGGCGATACATTTGGAACATCCATGACCATTGTCTTGTCTCCTCGCTACTTTCGAGAAGATGTGCAAATCCCAATATTTCAATGGCCGTCTGGAAAAGAACCTCGCGACGTTGCTGCCAGACTTTGGTGCTCAATTCGCCCGTTCGTTGTAGACTTAAATGGGCGGTCAACCATAACCGCGCCAGGGCAACCCGGGTAACCGTGGCAGCGACCCACTGAATGGGGATAGTACGGTCGCAGAATCGAAGCCATTGGTTCTCGATGAATGTGTTAAGCTCATAGAGTGCAGTAGTCGTGTCCTCAATTGTTAATTGATTTGAGCTGAGCTTTGGGCTCGAGCCGTGCATTAATTGACGATACCTCATGTTGAACTCGCACCGAATCAGGAAGAAAGTTGTTTCAGTAAATCCCGTTCTCCCCATGAAAGGCTCTTCCGATTCGGGGGACAGGTCGCTATCATCGGTATTCAATGGCAGCTCGGTATCGTAGGTTCCTTCAAAAATCTGGGGAGTTGTAGCTTGATGCTCCGAGGTCTGTATATCCAACAAGTAAATGTGCCACCATAATCGACGGCGCATTTCCGTATCAAAAGGCTCAATCCCAAGCTTTGTTCCATCTCTGTGTAGGCCCAATCCCTGTGCAAGCCTTAATACTACTGCTGTCATGGCCCAGACAAATCGTACATCACCAGATCGCCATCTAGCGATCAAGAACAGTACTGCGGCCTGTACAATGGTAAGTTGTTTGGCATGTAGAAAGTCTGCACGGGCAAGGGCCTGCTCTGTCGCAAAGCGGTAGTGCTGCAAGACAGATTGGTGATCTTCTCCTAGCTGATCACGACACTCCTCGGGCTCCATGCTCGTGACGGCCGCAAAATACACTGCAAATACAAGCGCTTCAGAGCTAGGATCAAGGAAGTCTGCGTTGGTTGCTGCTTTGCCGATTAGTTTACGAATGCTCGGCCTGTGGAGAATCAAGACGAGCGGGGCAACATTTCTCTCATAAACATCCCATAGGGCTAAACTAGTGACTGGCGACGGGTGTAAATCGTGAAGATTGTAGGCGACTGAACGGAACCCGAAGAGAAATGTGTTGGGGTTCTCATTTAACTCTGGCTCATTTGGGGATGCGCTTTGTCGACATCTGCTAGTTTTGATCTTGAAGCGAGATCCATACAGTCAATCAGCTGAAAGTGACACCAAGAAGTCCAAAACAAACCTCTTTTTGAAAGCTCACAAGTGCCTCATGGTTCACATATCGACTGGTGTCGCCGTCGACAATCAATTGACCAAATTTTCTATCCTGAACATTCACAAGCCTGCCGCTCAATGAGCTATCCCGAGAAAGAAGATCCGGGGAGGCGCTACTGCGGGAACGGAGTGTTTCTTCGTTATTCGAATCGATATTGGTCATTCTTCGATTGGCTATCTGCAGCTGTAGCTCAAGATCTTGCACACGTGACACCAGCTCGGCTTTCAACGCTCGCTTTTTCCTCCGTGGCGCGCGACCTGGAGGAGGAAACACGCATTCCATCCCTAGCTTGACACAGCTGGCGCAGGGCAGCGTTTTGCTACAGCGCGTTTTTCGCTGGTTACATTTTTGACAGCTGCGGGTTTGCGGCTCATTTTTCCGAACTGCTGCCCCATCCAGGCTCGAAATTGTCGCCATGATCCGAAAGACGTTAGGTTCCGGTGCAAAGTAGGTGTAGGCCTTGGGGTGGCCAATGATTAGATGTGGTGGAGTCGCGTCGGCCTTAATTTACCGCCCGATGATGATTCAGCAAAATATATTCAACATGTATGCGCTGCATGGTTACAAATCTCGGTCCTATAATCAATTTGATTAAGAAATGGGAAAATAGGTTGACAAAAAGCTATAAATGAGGCCATGGCTTCAGTGTTGGATCACCCACCCATCATCGCTTCGCTTTGTTAACCCAAACCCTCTTCTATATATATTCTCGCCACCATCACCATGTCTATCACTGTTGGCATCGCAGGTATCACCGGCAAATTTGCCAAGAGACTTGTTTCCCATTTGTTGAAGCAAGATGGTGTCTCCATCCGTGGATACTGCCGTGACCCCAGCAAGGTCCCAGAGGCCATTTCTTCATCACCCCAAGTGACTATCTTCAAAGGCGATGCCCTCGACAACGAGGCAATCCGCACTTTTGTCACTGGCTCTGACGTGGTGGTCTGCTGCTATCTTGGAGACGACACATTGATGGTCGACGGACAAAAGGCATTGATCGATTCGTGCGAAGAATCCCAGGTCCCTCGTTATGTGGCTAGTGATTGGGCGCTGGACTACACGAAGCTCAAGCTCGGCGAGTTATTCCCCAAGGACCCCATGATTCATGTCAAGGCCTACCTTGACACCAAGAAGGTTCAGGGGGTTCACATCCATGTTGGTGGTTTCATGGAACCCATCTTCAGCTCCTTTTTCAACATCTTCGATCCTTCGACCAATACTTTCCGCTACTGGGGAGATGGTAGTGAGATCATGGAAGGCACCACCTATGAGAACGCTGCGGAATTTACTGCTGCAGTGGTTGTGGACCCCAAGGCTACTGGTATCATTCGATGTAAGTCAAATTAGGAGCATTCACTTGGACGGATTCCTAACATACCCTTGCTCAGTCCTTGGTGGCCGCTCTACAATCCAGGAAATTGCCCAATCATTTGCAAAGGTCCATGGCATTAAGCCCACTCTTGAGAGCCGTGGTTCCCTGGAGGAACTATATAAGACCATGCATGACAAGCGGGAGAAGAACCCCGCAGATATCTACGGTTATATGTCACTGTAAGTACCCCACCTGACCCGGTCCATAATGAAAGGCCGATGCTGACACATATAGCTTCTTCTATTACTATTGGATCAATGGTCAGACCTTTGTAGGTACGGATTTGGACAATGCCAAGTACCCTAGTGTGCAGGCGATTAGCTGGGAAGACTTCATCCGCCAGTGGCCATTGGAACAGCTGCCAAATGCCTACTTTTCACTTAGTGCATAGGGTGGTATATACATAGTTAGCTATTATCATCGCTTATAGGGCAGTGATAATCCGCAAGGGGCCATTGCAATGACCAGTCGCTAGTATCGTATTTCCAGCATCATAAATTGCCAGTGGACAATTGGAATTCATATTAACAACCCATGTCAGCCGAATCGTGAGATCGGAAATCATTAGAGCAAAACAAAAAACATACAACAGTGAGGATTCGCTGGTGGTCACCCACCCAACTACTAACTCACCGGCGTGTGGCTTAAGTACGGCTGAGCGGACGGGAAGCCCTGTTTTCCACACCCTATGGTCGTATGTATCATGATATGTGTGGAAGAGGATCATAATTAGGTAAAATGCAAGGGGTTTGGTGGTAGACGAAAGGTAAGGGGGGGTAGGGGGAGTGGGATGATGAGAGGTGTGGGAGGCCGCCGAATTACGGTTCAGCCTACCGCCCATCAGGAGTCTATGATTACCCTCTTGATAGTCTCGATGACGTGGATAGTTCTACAAGGTTAGAACAAAAACTTCTCTGAATTATTAACAAATACGAGCATATTCACAATAACTTCAAACCTTATTCTGGACTCTGATGTTTAACGCAAAGGTGTCCTTCATCTTCCTTCATCTTGATATACACCCTGTGTGGAATCTGGTAGTTCAAGACCAGTATCTTTATTCGGCTTTCATGCAATCTTTGTTTGTCTTTGGTGCTGTCAGATGCATAAGGCCTGCAACTTCACCGTATATAGAGAGAGACCCAGATCCCTGTTTATTGAAACCCTAACTGCCCTTTCTCCTATTATCGTATACTTGGCTTTATATTACTATTGGGCTTGGTTAATGGTCCTTCAGAAAGATACAGTGTTCTTTGAGATATATGTGATTTCCCTAGGATCTCAACCTACTACACTCATGTAAGCTGGCTATCATTTATGCGCCATAAATTTGCTTGACAGATGCAGTTTATAACCAAGCTTTCACTTCTCTCTTCAGTCAACCTCAGTTCTCTATGATATTGATTCTCACTTCTTATCATCTTTATCAAGCATCCCTCTGATGTACTGACCTTCCTTTCTCCATCATATTCCCTAGCTCGGTTTTTCATATCATTTAAATATTTCAATTCGGTTTAATTCCTTTCAGTTACCACTCACATTCAAAGGAAATGCCATTCAACGGCCGCCTTCGTGTTGTCACGCCCTTGGTACGTTGTTTTCTACTTCGGTCAGACAGTAAATCTCGCTGACCTCCATTCTTTCTGACATATAGCAAGCCGAACGGATACTAGCAGCGTATCTCGGTTTTGACAATGTTGTCGACCCCCAGCGGTTCGTGATTATGTGGCCATGTATTGAGGCTGCACAACTTTTGTCTGCTTTTCCCGGCCTAACTCACGAGAATCTCGAGTTTCCGATGATCGATGAAGCTAGTCAAGCAGCGGAACAAAACCCCCAAGTGGGTCGCCTCACTAATCACATCCAAAACCGCTGGGTCGTACGCGTGCTGATGGTAATGCGACACAATATTGGAGTTTACCAAACCAACACGCTTGAGCAGAACAGAGCTCGAGCTGCCGCAGTGATCAATAACACATCAGCTACCCTCTGGATCCCGGACCACATCCTGGAGGAAGATGAATTCCCTCCTTCACCGCTGTCTCTGTCTCCTTGAATATCTTGCAGTTTCTCACGGTTCAATGGAGAAAAGGGAAAGATACCTAGATGTTCGTGTGTACTGCTCGGATGACGACCTTGAGGTCACCGAGGAGGACATCCCTGGGTGGATGAGACATACCATTTAAGATAAACAAGGACAATATATTCTGGTTCGTGAGATAACTTTTGTCGGTTTGACACTCCATATGACAGAAGCAACGGTAGCTATTTCGTCAGTGATACCACTGTTGGTTTTCGCACATCTACAACGATCCCATTTTACTGCTGCCTTTGCTGTTGCAATACCTGGAAGTTTCCCACGGCTTGTTGGCCAGATTGGAGCGATATCTAGATGCCGGTGTGCAATATCCTAGTGGTGAATTTAATGCCACCGAGTATGATGTGCCTTTGTGAATGAAATACTCGCTATAAAAGAAGTAATGGCAAGTTATTTGGCTGGATTATTCCAGACCATATCCTGGGGGAATATGGGCTCCCTCTGCATCCAAATCCTTGACTAACCGTGAGGTTTTATAAGCCATATTTAATCCCATTCCACCGTTGTCTCTGCCTGCTTCAGTATCTGGAGCTTTCACACGGCTCGTTTGCTGCACTGGAAAGGTATCTAGATGCACATGTGGAGTGCAGAGAAGACGAGCTTGAAGTCACCTAGGAAGAAATCCATCTATAGGGAGCGCCAGCGTCCGTATAGAAGCATCATAGTAGCTGTACAGTAACTCTGCAAATTGAAATGTATCCCTCATTACCACAATGGGTTCATTTAACTATATGAAGGATTTGTTCCTAATATATTTGTTCTACACAAAACGTGCAGCTTGGCCATAATCACTCGGGCGATCCTCTACCGTCACGGCAACTCCGTAATTAACCATTATATTCCGCTTGTCACTCGGGTGCGTCAATTTTTCCTGGCTGCTTGATGGACTAATAGAACGGTATGCACTCGCCGACTGGTATACCTCCTCCTTCCCCCTAAACCCGTTCAAAGGGACATCAGTTCCCACAAATGCACCCGAGCGGTGCGATGGTATACCACTGCCTCCCCGGCCCCTCAAGTTGTACGTGTCATATGGGTGGGATGCCTTGGAGGGCGAGATGGCGGTTTTAAGAACGCGATAGAGGCCGGGGCAACATCCGATCATGACAGCTAGACGAATGCCGGTTAGTAAAATGTTTCAATATGAAAATAGATAAAACGAGAAATGAAGCATACCGATTGATGCCTCGATGGTTCCCCATAGGGCTAGCCATGATGGAGCGGGGACTCCGTTTTCAGTCTCGCCTAGCTGAACGACGCGGATAGTGGAAATTATGATGCAAATCCAGCCGAAACAGAATAGACCGCCAATACCCAGCTTTTGTCGTGTTTTCATCTGTAGGTTCCAGATAAGGCGGATAGGGAGAATCATGACTTAGCGATATATTAGACGGGTAATGTGGGAGGATCAAAGAGGGTTGTGCGTACTTGCTATATCAGTGACTATATCCACCGCGTATGCGTAATATAAACTGATGACGGCTGCCCGGTGGTCGCGTGGGGTGTTGCACTGGCCTGCAGTAAACCAGGCATGGAAGCTAGAGCATGAGAACCACGATGAGAGAATGCAGCCAATAATAAACTGAGAAGAGTCTCGTCAGTTATTTGATGAAGACGAGAGCTTAGGCGGGAAATTCATACCAGGACACAAACTCCCATAATAGCCCACCAGGCGATGAGGTATTTTTTCCCGACCAACAGTCTTTTATACATTGCCAAGAGCGAGAACTTGATCATCCACAAACAGAGCCATAGTGAAGAGGTCGTGACGAAGAAAACAGTCTGTAATCGAAGTCCGTCTTCCGAAATGGCGGCATATGGGGGAATCGTTCCGGCACCGACTGCTGCTATTCGAAAGATGACAGGAGAAATGTAGATGTAGAGAATGCTTAGTTCCAGGAAGAATATGTAAGCAACAATCAGAAGGTAGTCTTCAGCCTTAAGGTCCTTGAAGCTTCGAATGGAACCAACAAAACGAGTGCCTACAACCAGGGAAGTGAGTACAATCAGAGCAACTCCAGTGCCTTTGATGGTACTAGGACCAAAGGTACCCGTAGTGGCCTCTCCCATCCCTTCTGGTGAGACTTAATTTTAGAAAATCACGCCGGGACCCGCGCGGAGGCACTGTCGTACATATACAAAGAACATTTCACCAGATTTTTCGCAACCACATGGCAGCCATTACCTTGAGTTTAAGATTAACAGATGGGCACGACCTGCAGCCACCATGCGCAGTCATTCTTGGAGGGGCAATATACACATTTGTTTTGAATGCCAATGCAGGGATTATCGAATATACATAAATGGCCCCTCCACATCTTGGCCAATCATAGAACCGATATATAGCCCCGGTGGGGAGGATGGCCCGCCCCATCAGCCCCGGCTCTTGTGCCCCCAAAAGTGGCCCCCAAGTGGCCCCAATGACCACGGGAGTCGATAACGGGCCGAGGCGCACATGGAGGGGTCGTAGAAAAAGAAAATATATTTACTCAAGTAAGGGTCAAAGTCTGATCCAGCATACCATGTCCATCGAAAGAATGTGCAGACAACCTGCAATGGAAGAAGGAAAAAGGAAGAGGGAAAAAACGCCGATTTCAGTTAATCCTGGGAGAAGGCTAGGTAAGATTGTGAATTGAGTTTGGGCTTTCTTCTTGTCTCAAACTAAACTGCCACCTGCATAAGCCCCGGACTTATGGTGCCGGGGTCTTCGTGGCATGCGTACTCGCTCGCACCCTCGCTTAGAAAAGTCATCATAATTTCCCTTTTCCGAGATCATGCCTAGCTTGCAACTCAACAAAAAGAAAGAGTTTAAAGCCAATAAGAATAACTTTATGTAACAATAATATGTAGGGCGAAACAAGTGCTAGCGCCGCTGATTCCAGAAGAAAAAAAAGGTACAAGTTCGTTGTTCTGGTTTCAGGATAGCTTAAGCGTTCGGGCTGTGCCGCTTCGCTTAGATTTGGAAGCGAGATTGTTTTATGCGATAGCGAAAGTAAACACATCCTTGGAATTCCCAGTCATAATATAATTCATAATTTACTCCAGTTATACGAACCCCTTAATTACTTAATTTCACCTAATGGCCTACTTCAAGGGCCATCCCGGTAACCCTATCGGATCAAAGCCTTTCGATCAGCTCAACTCCGAGGAAGTTAAAAGACAATAAGTTTCCTCCACTTGGATTTCTTCTCTTTTTTTCTCCCCTCGATTTTGTTTACTCTGTATTGCTTGCTTGCATACATTTTAGATCATGCATCTTTCAACCCTCATAGGCGGGTTATGCGCGGTTAGCGGGCTAACCCTGACCCAGGCCGCTGAGACCAGCTCGGTTATTGAAGCCGATGATTTCAGCATCACCGGCGCACTAGGAGATCTCGGTGTGGATGTCTCGAAAATTCCCGCATTGGAGTCGTTCGCTGCCATTGAGACACGATCAACCGATAAGGCCTGTGCAGCTGCAGTAAGCAAAAAACCTGGCACCAATAGCAATTTGGCTAGGCGTCCAACAATCGCTAATTTCAAATTCCCCTTAGTGCGCAAGTTTGAGTTTCCTTTTTGGCTCCCAAGTCGCTGCCCAGCAGACTACTGGGTATAGCAACTTCACCAGCTCATTCTGGTCTGTGCAGCAAGAAGAGGTCCAGCCTCATTGCGTCTTCCGTCCTATCAAGAACACGGAAGTCAGTACTGCAGTTTTGCTCTCTCGTTTGACTGGTTGCGAGTTTGCCGCGCGCAGTGGTGGCCATGCTGCCTTTACCGGTGCTTCTAGCGCCCCTGGCGGAATCAGTATTTGGTTTAAGGATATGAATGCCGTTACCCTTAACACTGACAAGACGGTTGCTTCTGTTGGGCCTGGAAACAATTGGCTAACCACCTACTCTGCCCTCGAATCCCATGGATTAGCTGTTATTGGAGGTCGTGCTTCTAGCATTGGTGTTGGTGGTTTCGTTTTGGGCGGTGGAATCTCCTACCACTCCAACCTGTACGGATGGGCTTGCGACAATGTTGAGAGCTTTGAGGTACGATTATGCACCTATCATACTCTACAGAAAATTGGTACTAACGAATCACATGTAGGTCGTTACTGCTAGTGGTATGATTGTAACCGCAAGCGCAACTTCATACCCTGACCTGTACTGGGCTCTGCGCGGTGGCGGAAACAACTTTGGTCTTGTCACAAAGTACAACCTGTACACCATCCCCTCGCCAAAGTTATACGGTGGTTCCAGGACTTTCCTCCAGACTGAGTTTCCCGAGGTTATCAATGCCTGGATTAATGTCATCAACAATGCCACCATTGACGGTAACGCCCAGCAATACGTCGCCTTCCTCCGGACCCAAGAAATGAACATTGCCTCCGCCGAATTGACATACGTAAAGAACGACCCCAACCCCGAGATCTACAAGCAATACAGAAGCATTCCGGCCATTTCAGACACATCCAGTGCCAAGACTCTTGTTGAGTACGTCGAGTACCTCGAGACCTCGAACCCATTCGGTCTTCGCGAGGTGTACTGGCCTATCAGCGCGGCTCTCGACGAGAAATTTGCGAATTGGGTGGTGGACCTCTTCTACTCGATGATCCCAGACGTGGCTAATGTCGCCGGCGCCCAGCCCGTGCTCATCTACCAGGGTATAACCGAGCCCATGTTGAACAACATGAAGAACCACGGAGGTAATCCTCTCGGACTTGCTGGGTCCTCTGGCCCTGTTCACCTTTTGCACATTTCCTGCTGGTGGAAGAACAAGTCTGATGACCAGACTATCTACGCGTTTGTCAACAAGTTCATGGATAAGGTCATTTCTGAGGCTAAAACCCTCGGCATTTTCGATGAATACGTCTATATGAACTACGCCAGCATGTTCCAGGATGCCATCGCTGGGTATGGTGCTGCTAACAAGGCTCAGCTGAAGAAGATTGCGAAGAAATATGACCCCAGGGAGGTTTACCAGACTCTCCAGCCCGGTTACTTCAAGCTTGATCGTGCCCCCGTGACCCCGTCCTTCTAGAAAAATTTGGGCATAGAGACGATATCTACCGCTGTACTTAAAAAAAGCTGCATGTAAAAGATTTCTAGATGTTAATAAATTATCCACCTCACAATTTAATATTTGTGAATTAATTTTGTTGCATACATCGCATCCTAAATTATATTCACTGCTTCAAGGATGTAAAAAAGAAGCGGCTTGAGCGTACGAGTCCATCAGCTTATCTATGGTTGGTTATCTGTTCGATGTGCATCCGGAGGTCGTCTCATCTTCTAATTTGAACAACAATTCATCTTCATATTCCCATTCCCTTGTGCGCTATATCCACATGCCCAGGCCTTGCTCTTATCAATACCATTAGGCGACCCAACCAGCCTAGGCAAGGTAGCTAGACATCTGAGCATGCATCACCCTGGGCTCATCACCTGGGAATCTTATTTCTCTTACCCATGCATCGGCGACTTTCATCCGATCACTGGAGCCACAAGTTCGCGACGAGGTGGTAAGCGTATATTCTGATACTCTCAGGTTGGTATTGCAAGTTTCACTGGCGTTTGCTTATCTGGGATTCATAGTCATCTGGTTTGAAAAGCAGATCAAAATCCGCACTGACTTGGAAACAGAGTATGGGGTCTAGAATTTGAAGAAAGAGAAGGACAACGAGGAAGCTGTCAAGGTAGCCGCCGTGATAAAGTGTGCTCAACAGTTCGTTCCGTTCCCACTACATGAAGCTGTAAATATGGAGTGTACCTACATATATCGTGTGTATGTGATTCGTTTGCCCTAACCCCTCGCCGATGCGATATGAAAGACCTATATTTTAAATAATTAGTACTAAATAATTATGGCAAGCACACTACCCCTACTATGTTAGAAAATACCCCCTTAAGAGGCAATGGCATGATACATCATCCCCACTTTCGGAGAGGGGAACCCTGGGAGAGACCGAGTGGGCGCAGCCGAGAGTGGAGGCAGCCGATTGGCGGCCGATCACTGCTACGTATATATTTTAGATCACTGCAGCGTTGTAACCCAACCCAACCTGTGATCTCAAGCACAAAATGCCACTAAAGGTTATTGTCGTCGGCGCTGGTCTGGGAGGCTTGGGCGCAGCAATCGCGTTGAACCGGGCCGGACACGATGTTCAAGTTCGTACACACTCTATGTATAGAAATTTATTTACTAACACCTCACTCAGGTTATCGAACAATCCGGATTTCTCAACGAGGTTGGCGCAGCTATCCATGTTGCCCCCAACGCGAGTCGCATCCTAAAAGAATGGGAATGCGACTTCCAAACGCTGCAAGCATCCCAGTGCAATATATTGCAAGTGTGGAATTCGGCAGGTGAACTTCTTTGGACTCCTATTGTGTGCTTTCTCTCTTCCAGGATGATCGATCGCTCAAACTCACCATTTAATACAGGTGACTAAGGAACTCCAAACAGCACTGGATATTCATGATGGCTGGCTCTTGACTCATCGTGTTGATCTACACAACACTCTTCGGGCAACAGCTGCGAAGGAGTTCAACGGCAGACGGGTGAACATCAGGTTGTCGTCTCGTGTGCAATCAGTAGTGCGTGACGGCTGCGTTTGATTGTCGTACTTCAAATTCATTGACGATTGTAGGATGCCGAGACAGGGGTCGTCACACTCGAGGATGGAACCACATTCACTGGTGATTTGGTCATTGGCGCCGACGGAATTCACGTAAGACCTCCACCGAAGGGTTAAAACTACGAGTGCATAGTTCACTAATTGGTCCAACAGTCTCGAACCGTGAGCAGCGTCACTGGAGAGGAATCATCAAAGGAAAGCACTGGTCAAAACTGTTTCCGATTCCTGATCCCCGTATCTAAGGCACTGGAAAATGAATTGGCTGCCTCTCTCTTGAAAAAGACGGGCCTGGATGGTCTCCATGCATTCACGGCAAGCGACCGGCGACTGGTGTTCTACCCGTGCCGCCAGGGCCAACTGTTAAATGTTGCTGGTATTCACCCCTCGGGAGACGACACCTCAGCGAAGGAATCCTCCTGGCTGGATTCTAGTAGCGTGGAACATCTTCTCGAGACCTACAAGGACTTTAGCCCCGAACTCCGAGAAATGTGCCGCCTTGGTGAAGATGTGAAGCTGTGGAGTCTAGCATCCCGTTCCCCTCCAACCAAGTTTGTCAAAGGCAGGCTTGCTCTCGTCGGAGATGCAGCACATCCAACACTTCCTCGTAAGCTTTCTGTCTTCTACCACATGGTAGGCTAACCTACTATAATGCATTTGACTAAACAACGAGATGATATAGATCAAGGCCAGGGTGGTGCTCAGGCATTCGAGGATGGTGCGGCCCTTGGTGCGCTATTTCCTTCGGACACAACACCGGAGCAAGTATCTGGACGCTTGGAGTTGTACAACAAGGTTCGCTATGAGCGAGCATTGACAGTCATGATGATGTCGAAGACGCATGACGAGCGCCGCGCGGAGATGCTCGACGAATTGCGCAAATATGTGCCGAGTGCCGAACTTCCGAAAGATATGTTTTCTTTCACTTGGCCCTCTAATCCAGCACAAGATGCCCAGAGTCTACTAGCAGCTTCTCAGGGAACTTCCTAGGGGCTATGCTCGGGGAAATTTCGGTCAAAGGGCAAGAGACTAAGTTAACCTCAACGTCAAACGTGTTAAATATTATTTGTTCCTTCATTAAGCAAATCTTACATACTCCGCTTACACCCTGCTACTCCGATTTACTCCTTTTTTTTGGTTTTGAAAGTCACCGACATATGCGGTGGATTTGAGCTAACAAGCGGACCCACTGCGTGGCACTATAGGAAAATTTATTGGACTCAACTATAGCATGAATAAAATGACTCCTTTTTAGAAAAACCAGGGCAGTTATACCAGGATCCACTTCTTCTAAAAATTTACTTGTAAAATATCGTGTTCATTCTCCACACGGTTCGATAATTGACTGTTTTAGTGTGGTACCAGAGGATAGATTACCCGGTGGAGAGCCGATGGTATTGCGTACAACATACGGAGTAGACTGCACCGGTTATCCTGAGTATTGAGTCTGCCAATAGGAATATAAATTTGCTATATTTAGTCACTAGTCTCATGGTTTACCCTGGCATCAAATGCGGGATTAATAATTGAATTGGGACCCTCGACAAAAGCTTCGCGACTGTGCTGTTCGGGGCTTGGCGTTTTGTAGACATTTTATGTTAGCGTAGACGGAAATTGAACGTCGATCTTCGAGCTAGGGACGGAATTCCCGTCTTTAAGATGCGGACTCTGTGACCACTGTGAAGAAGTTCCTACATTATTCCCAGCCCTCATCAGATTCACTTTGTACTGAATTAGTACGTGTGGGTTGTCACTGTTATCTCAATTTGCGTCTCGATTACTTAAACAATGCAATCTACCGAAATAAATTGTGAGATCTGTAATACCACCTTTCAGAGGCGGGAACATTATGAACGACATATCCGCACCCATACCAAAGAGAAACCGTTTGCCTGCGCCGAGTGCGGTCAGCGCTTCGGCAGAGTGTATGTCTCGAGCGCCAAATTCACCCGCCGACCTAAAGCGCTAACCATCTAGCTAGCGACTCACTAGCGCGTCATCATGCTACAATCCACCAGCGTAACTATGACAGTAAGGATCCCACAGCAAATCGACGTCGGATAGCCAAAGCGTGCAAGCCGTGCAATATTTCGAAGGTCCGGTGTGATGGGGAACAACCGTGTCAACGTTGCCGTTGCCAAAATAACGGCACTGACTGCTATTATGAACGTTCTGTTAAGCGCAAAAGGATGGACTTCCAGGCTACGACTAATACGTCGTCAAAGGAGATTTCCGAGGATTCTCTCTATCAACAGGGTGAAGGTGGTCAACCTGCCGGAAAGAAAGGGTTCGTTGGTGTACCGGAAGCACCCACTGTTCAGACGTCGTCAATACAATTCAGCCAACGCCATGCATCATCCATGCTACTTGAAAGCATGTCTGATAATGAGTTATTTGGAGATACACCATCTACGATACACGATGGCTCCCAACACTTGAATGCAGAAGGAACAGGGCCGGAGAATTTCGGGGACCCTGGCCTGGATATCAACTTCTTTCCGAGCATGTTCGACCTCACCATCGGGGTCGAGGGGCCGGATAACCTCTGGCCGGTACCAAAAGAGCCTGAAGGGCTTGCTCCTAGAAATACTGGGCCCCCCACACCCTTGACTCCCGCAGCGGTGGCTGAGATGTACAACCGCAGTCGCTCGCCATTCCTGGAAGGAGAAGATATGGAGCCGCGGCATTATCGACCGAGCGCTCTTAATATCGACGCGCAGTTGTCTTTCCCCGATATGGAGCACATTTCTACGGAGGAAGTGGATGAAGAGAACCTGGCGCATGTCCCTGAAGTCTCAAATACTGTCGTCGACCAGATGGCTCAGTTGGCATTGACCATTGAAACAACATCAAATTATCCACGTTTTGTTGTGTTCAGGATGCCACCTGCCCCTGTAATCAATGCATGGGTGCAACTCTACTTTGAACACTTTCATCCAGTATTCCCTTTCCTACATAAGCCGTCTTTCGGAACTTCGGACACACATTGGCTGCTCATATTTGCTGTTAGCGCCATCGGGGCTCAATTCTCTGAGCTACCACAATCCCAAGCTTGTTCAAGGGCTATCAATGAGATGGTCCGGCGGTCAACATCATATCTGGTAAGAAACTTTGATAATAATCCATGTAATGTGAGCCTAACACCCGATCAGTGTGAAAGGAATAATCAAAACAGTCATGAGCTCTGGATGGTGCAGGTCATCCTGCTAAATCAATTGGCCTTGCGGTATTCTGGGGAAAGGAGGGCCCTCGAAATCGGGGAATTGTTGCAAGCACTTCCTGTAACTTTGGCTCGTCGGAAACGACTATTCACGAACTACCTCCCTCGTGAAAGAGTATCCAATCTTGGCCTATCCCTCCATCGGAGATGGCAGATCTGGGCTCTTGACGAAGAGAGGCGGCGAACCGGCTTTGCCATCTGGGTGAGTGGCTGAACACTTTTAGCGTAAACTTATCTCAGTATTTTTCGTTCTAACGTTAAACTCAAGTTGACAGATTCAGCTTTTCAAACCGACTTTGACTTGACCCCAGTGATGAGAGTCCATGAAATGCAGAACTTCTTACCCCAAGAAGAGAAGCCATGGGCAGCATCCAGCGCACAAGCCTGGGCTGGCTTTCCAGATCGCATGACTAATGGTAATTGAAAATCCCAGTAATTGCTATGTTTCTCTAACAAGGCAAATAGCACAGAATTTCCCGCAGACTCTATTCCGACTGGTGTCCGATCCAGGCCGGACGGCAATATGGAATAAGACTGGAGTACTCGGGAAAAGCGCTATCTTGCAGCAACTTCTCAATACCATTGAAGAGAACCGCCGCCAGTTATTGTACTGTTCCGCTAATGTCTCAGCGGTTGATTGCACGGCAGCTGCGCACACGCTGCGACAAATACTTGCCATAACATATAACCAAGGCCAAGATCTTCCCATGAACGAGATGAAGGCACAGGCCGCTCATCGAATCATGATTTTCTCTGGGTTAATGATGAACAATTTACCAAAAATGTCTTTGCTGTCGACCGTGTTGAAATTTAAATACAAACGGTACAACGATTGCGACTTGGGCCAACTACAAATGGAATGGAGTTCCTCCCCTCGCGAGACAAGGCAAGCTGTTGTGTATGCAGCCAGCTTGTTCGAAACTGTTCGATCCACCTACTGCATGCATTACTCCACACCAGTACTTTTCTTCCAATCAGTATTGGTTTTGTGGCTATATTCTGTTCTTTTGGGCCAGTCCCAAAACTCCCCGCCTAACGCGCCCTCTATCATCATAGGGGCATCAGACCTCAATAACTCCAAACAGGCCCAGTGGGTTGAGACTGGTCAAGGGCGCATCAAGATGTCAGGCGTGGGGAACTTATCGTCTCCTTCAGGTCTAGGGAAACTCTTGGACGAATCGATTTCCACGATGAGGAACATCAAGTGGTGGGGGGTTAGCAAGATTTATGAACAACTCCTAGTTCGACTACGCGCAGCCTAAAATATATTGCATGATTATGAAAAAGATTATCCACATGAAGTAAATATATGTGATACGCTACGTAATCTAGATTACCTTATTCCCGAAATGCTTCCGCTTACACAGCGGAGGTTGGTATCCACAGTGGATCTTAGATTAAAACTTTGTGGAAAGGTTAATCTACATTGACATTGTACGATGTATGTTCCAAAATTACAGACTTCACCCCTACTTCACCGGCATTCTCGGCGAGGATATTGTCCTCCGAGATTTTATGTCCGAAGGAAGCCCAATGCTTTAAAGTTAAGTCTCACGCAAATCTGTCCTTCCTTCTCAAATTCCTCTTGTCACAATAATAATTTTGTATCAGCAATTTATGATAAACCTATCATTCCCACTTGAACCTCAGAACATCGCGCCTGTGCCCCTCCAACATGCAAATCCCAAAGTCCTTTTTGGGTGCCGTGGGAGGCTCGTTTTTCCTCATCCAGCTCTTATTTCTTGGAAATATGAGCTACCTATACGGCAGCGCCTTCAACGACTCACAGCGGATGAAGGCCTTCAACATTCTCCTTGTCGACTACGACGACGGCATCGTTGGACAATCAGTTAAAGCTGCATATTCCCAGCTAGCAAGCCCTGGCTTTCCCACTCTCATTGAACATCCATCGACCGAGTATCTAGCTACAAACGATATCCGTGAATCTATCTGCAAGGGTCACTATTGGGGAGCAATTTACATCAATCCTAACGCCTCTTCAAGATTGTCCGCCGCACTCGCCTCCCCCGAAGCTGCGCAAACATACAAAAATTCCGAGGCATTGACCTATGTTTGGAACGGTGCGAAGTATCCCTCCTACGCCCAAGTTATCTCTTCCAGTCTCCAGGGTCTGGTTCAGGCAACCAGAGGTGCCTACAATGCTATGAATGGAACATCAGCAATTTCAACAGCCAACACAACAGATAAAAATATTGCCCAGGTCTTGTTCGACCCAATTGGCGCCACATCAATCGATATCAAGCCAACAAATCAGGGTACTCGTTTCTACTACAACACTGTGTCGATGGTGATGGTCATTCTACCACAATTCTTCTTCGTAATGGCCCTGAACGGTATTACGGCAGAATCCAAAATCCTCCAAACTTTGTCCCTGAGACAGAACATCTCTCTTCGGTTGGGATTATCTGTTTTCTTTGCCTTCATTGCGTCGCTCTGCATGAGCGGCTATATTTGGGCCTTCCAAGAAGACTGGGGAACCACACCTGGGCAATTCCCACTGACGTGGATGGTCCTCTGGCTGGGAATGCATGTCAACTTCCTCCTCATCGATTCGGTCACGGCAGTGCTCCCGATGAAGTTTATGCCGTTTTTCATCCTGACTTGGATCATCATGAATGTATCGAGTACCCTCGGCCCCTTTGAGCTATCTCCTGGATTCTACCGCATCGGATATGCTTTGCCTGCATATGAGATCTATCAAGTCCTCGTCGATATCTGGACTCATGGATGTAACCCGACTCTGTATCGGTCACTACCAATTTTGTTCTCTTGGTGGGTTCTTGGGATTTTCGGCTTTTTGGCTGCCATGCGCAGGCGTGTGCTTTCAGTCGTGATGTCAACCATTTCTGAGCTCGAGAAAGTCTGATCCGAATTTTGCCTGTACCTCGCCGTGAAAAGGGGGTTTTGACACAGAATGCGTGCAAAAGTCTCTGAAGGGACATATTCTAAGTATGAGTCTTCGAGTTACTCTGTGTGTCTTTCTTTTTGATTTCTTTTCTTCTTCTTCTTCTTCTTCTTCTTCTTCTTCTTCTTCTTCTTCTTCTTCTTATCTTTGCCTTGCTACAATCTTTTTCCATGTTTCAATAGAACCTTTCTCCCTTTCTTTTGTATCCATCTTATTATAAATCTTGAACAGAGAATCTTTCATTAGAGAACAAACTATTCCTTCGCAAATCAATACATTGTATAATTGAGTCCGCGTTTCCCTCAATGTATATCATTCCTTTTTCTCCCAGGATTTATATTAGTCTCGGAGCTTTTGTTTCAACAACTATTTAGTGTCAAGGGAACGAACCGTAAGTTAGAAACAAGCCGACCAATGAGAAATCCCTTGCATGCTTTCCTTGGGCAAGTGAAGGCGGCGAGCATGTCCGCGACCGATATAGAAAACCAAACGGACCCTTTTCCCCATACCTGGTTTTCTCCCTTTTTTTGAAGTTGCCGTATATCCGGGGAGCAGTGTGGAGCCGAACCGAGACGCCTGAATATCCAGCACGCGCGACTAAGTATGCCACCGGTTCATAACTCTCTCATTGAATATCGCCTTATCGCTTCATTCATCGCCGGAGGCATATTCAAGACAAGAGTTGTGATCAGCTGCTCATACGACCTTGTTATATTCATTTTAGACGTCTCTTGAGATGTCTTTTAAGCTACTTTTTAAATGCTTTTGGATGTCTTTTTAGATATATACGAGGGCATTAAAAAAGCATATTCTATGTAAGAGACATTTTTAGTTATATATAACCTTTGGCCATACTGGTTTCAACTTGATAATAGTGCGACCGACCATTCATCTAAACCCTATAAAAATCATGTTATACATATCTTCTAGGTTGGCCTTTATGACAAGTAGATGATAATAACTCTTAAAACAGAAGGCTTTAGCATTGCTATAACTAGATAGTGAATATGTTTCTACGTGTAAAGTGAGAGTGGATCTAAATAGATTCTTGGCAATAAGAACCAATGAGAGTTGCGAACCAAGGGGGGTATGCTTAGTTAACAGAGATATAGTTAAGTTATTATGTTCGCACTCAAACGTAGATAGAGGTCCAGATCATATATAGACCAATTGAGTTTTTATACCAGTAGCTGTATATTTTATATAATATAAAACTTTGACCAAAGAAAACTAATTGAGCAAGTTGACTTCGTACCCGAACTATAATATTATCAGACTTCTCACCATTTTACTCGTTTACTACCACCAACCAGCTAGAGTCCTCAGTATCGATTTACTATGTGATCCCCTTCCACGCATAACATGATACATACGACCATAGGGTGTGGAAAACAGGGCTTCCCGTCCGCTCAGCCGTACTTAAGCCACACGCCGGTGAGTTAGTAGTTGGGTGGGTGACCACCAGCGAATCCTCACTGTTGTATGTTTTTGTTTTTGGCGGGAAAAGAAAAGGAAAACGAAAGTAACGATGATAGTATGTATATGTATACTCAGCAAGGAAAGTTGCACGAAGATCAAAAACAGGATTGCGATTTAAAGTTCCTTTAAAATAGCCTTAAGAACCTCATCTCATGTATACAGACATGTTAGATCTCAAGGAAACTTATGGTCGACCTTGATACCCAAACGCACGTTTGCTGTTGCTTAGGACCATACCAGACTTTGGCCCGTAGCCTCATGCTGATGGATGTAACACCAATAAAGCTAGCGATGGCGATGGATGTTAGGCCCTGATGGAATTGCACTGGCTGAAAGAGGAGGAGAGTAAGGTGTTTAACAAAGGAGACATGCAACGAGATCTGCCCGTATGGCTGTGGACTACCTTGGCCAATTTTGGAGTTGGCTTGTAGAGGCCTGCAAATTTAGTATCAGAGCCTTGGCACCATGATTTAGGATGGGATTTGATGGAAGAACCTGTGGTGATTTCGAGAATCTTGTAGAGATGCGAAACGATCTCGACCTTTCTCGTTTCCCATTTGTACCTTCGAGTTATGAGCTGGAAGAGGATATGAAAACGGCAACAGTGGTGATCGAAGATCGCTAAGGATTTGGGACAGGGCGGCAAGAAGTCTCGAGGTATTTTCAAACTCGCCCCGTATATTCGCTGTAGCGAGGGTAGAATTTGACTGATCGGACTTCCTCTCTAAGTATTTTGTGCTTCCTCTCGAGGTCGTAGCTCGGATCATTCGGGTCCATCAAGTCCTCGTTGTTGTTGATTACATGAATACATCCGTAAGGTGGTCTCCGAATATACCTACAGAAGACATTAGAGACGGTACCAATGACAGGATAAGCAAGCGGTAATACCTTCGATGCTGTCATATCGAAATTCATGCGAACTCGATGAAATTCAACTAATGACCTGCAGGGATAGAATCCCTATGGAGTTCGGCAAAGATTCATCCTCTATCAGTGTGGTTTTATGGTGTCTTGCGATGAGACGGCATCTCATGGGAAGAATGTTTGAGAAACTAGAGGTATTTTTCGGAGAAGATAATCGCTTGCGGAAAGAGCAACCTAACTTATTGTAATCACTTGGTTGCCTGACACATAAGGCACCGATCACGATATCTTTGTGCTTATTTTGTAATTTAGAGATGCCCATTGCTTCCGTTTCCTGCCCACCACACCCATCATTTGTCGATTGTTCTGTGCTTTTCTGCCTGAAAGCTTGCTGGCCACCAACTAGCTCTTTTCGATATCTAGTCATATGCCCCGACATGCCAGTATTTACTTAGCCTGGAGATGCAATGTTCTCTCGATGCCACCTCCATCCGGACTCCTTGAGGGATAAAGAGAAAGCTAGGTTCCAGAAAGGGAAGGTAGCACGAAGCCTTAAAATCAGGTCATAAAGAAAACAATCATACCTACGCGATCTGCACATGCACAAATAGGGCCTGCGGAGTCCGACAGAATGGAACCGTCACCGACCATCAATGAATCTTCGCTGGCTACCGCGGCAAATTATTTTTCTCACTCCCACTTCGCATCTGGGATTCATTTCTATTGGGTTGAACAGGATGCACTGCTGGCCTCGGAACCTACTGGAAAACGCAATATCCAATCACCACTAGGTCATGATGCATCGGGTGCAGGTAAAGAGCACGGACAAAATGAATGAGGTTGAGTACTCTACGGCTAGGTGCCCCATTCCTCCGGACTGACCTTGGAATAGATTCAGGCTAAGATGCAACCAAACCTATCTAGGAAATAGATCGCCACTTTAGTGGGACACCCAGTGGGGCCCCTCCACGTCAATCTAATCTTGATTGACCGGGGATATCTGGATGAGAACAGGTAGCATGTTCAGACCAGATCGGATGATTGGCCAAGCAACACTGTCATTGGTATCGGCTGACTGGCGGGGAAGTGTGTTCAAAAGAGAAGACAAGGTCCGTGAGACATAATTCACTCAATTGGCTTCCTAGTCTTTCCGTACAACAAAACAAAGCCTCAAGTCGACACGAAGCTCGCTACTTCCATAGTCGACCTTTGTGTCTTCATTATACGGGATTAATTGAATAAAACGAACGTATTTTCTTCCCCTTGGGGGCCAGGCAACAGCTTAGAGGGGTACATACCTAGCGCAGGAACATGCATCGCGCCTAGGCCCAGGCTCAACACACCTGAAAGTATATTCCACCGACATCATCGATCGACGCAAATTCACTCTTTCGGGCGCATTCGGTAATAACCCCGCATCACGCCATAAACCCGGGGCTATGTCTAAGCTATATCCGCAATGGCATACAACTGGCAACTCCTATAAGAAGGGCGTTGGTACAGTCTTGGAAACTGGTTATTCACTCAATTCTAACTTCTTAGGCCAGAAACTACCAACCACCCTCGACAAGAAAACAACTATACATCAACCTCCTAGACCATTCACCAAACCCCCTTATTCAGCAACCCAACTCAATCCTTCACAATGTTGGCCCCAACCCCAATCCAGGCCAAGGCCTCAAGCTCGTCTAGCGAACTCTACCTCAGTCAAGCCCGTGCTAGCGGCAGCACCGAAGATTGTATGGCTCTATACGAGAAATGGGCAGCCTCATACGACGATGAAGTTGGAGATAGTGCTCAAGACTACGTTGCTCCCGTGCTTGTCGCTCAAGCCGCCATCAAATACGGACTCTCAAACGGCGCTACAAACAGCGTGATACTGGATGCCGGTTGTGGCACAGGACTGGTGGGAGTGGCTCTGTCAATGGCCAAGGCCAAAGCAATCGACGGCATCGATCTATCTCCCGCCATGCTTTCTGTCGCGAAGAAGACTGGAATCTATCGAGATCTCACTGTGGCAGACATGAACCGACCGATCGACAAGGCGGATGGAACATACGACCTCGTGTCCTGCGTGGGGACTTTCACTCTTGGCCATGTTGGGCCAGATCCTGCTTTGCGAGAACTTGTGCGAGTCGCTAAGAATAAGGGTGTTGTTGTTTCAACGATTCTGCAAGAGATCTGGGTGCCTGGAGGGTTCCAGGCTGAGGTTGAAAAGTTGGTGGCGGAGGGCTTGGTGAAGGTTGTCACTGAGGAACTTATAGATTATGTAAAGGGACACGGCGACAAGGCTGTGTTGCTTATTCTAGAGAAGATCGATCGCGACTGAACGAGACCATGCCAATCACGGCACAAAGCCCGAGCGACTCACAGCCCTTGCAACACAAATTGATTGGTCTTCAACTCCTCCAATGCGACATACAAAGATGGGATTTCAACACCCAAACCCAATGCAACACTGCGATCGGCTCCAGATGTACTCGACTTTAGCTCCGTGGAAGCAAACTTGTCATTCTTAGAACATATTTAAATTAATAAATCCCAACAAACTAAATGAGACTATATCGTGAGATCCAGGGGAATCCTCGCTGGAATACGACGTTTATACTTCCTTCTATGCATCCGCTTTCCTTGATACATCCGACTTTATCCGGCTTCATAAATCCGCTGTGGACGCGGCATGCGGCTGTTATGTAGTTCATTTTGAGCCTTCCTCAATAATGTACAACATACAGAACCTGCATGATCAACCAGGGATGCGGGGTAATTGACAAGGCCAAGACGGAGTAGAGAGACCCGCGACATATGATTCGCACTCGGCACTACAGAGATCGTCGTATTTGTGAAATCCGGGGATCGGGGATCCTTGGCGTGTCTCATATTCATCAAACTGACGTTATACATTTGGGCGATCCCTTGAGCCCCGAAGCAACTTGAGAAAAATCCAGCGAAAATATATTTTGGGACTGAGAGTCAAAATGCAATATTCATGGTCATTTCATTTAATATACACTTGAAAGACCGAAGAAAATCCAACCAACACCTCGCTGTGTGATAAGGGCCGAAGACCGCACAGCCTAAATTCAAATAGATGGTATCATGCAATGTTCATAAGAGTCTTAAGGGCGCGAAGAGAGAGGGGCTTAATGAGGTAGTTATCGATACCAGCCGTAGTAGCTTGATGCTGGAAACCAGCGGAGGAAACTCCAGTGACAGCCATGATACATGATGGTTTGACGTTATGTTCGCGTTCAAATTCGCGAATTTTGCTCGTCGAGACGAGGCCGTCCATCACTGGCATTGAGATGTCCATCAAGACGAAGTCGTAGTAACAGTCGGAGGATTTGTATTTCTCCAGTGCAACAAGGCCGTTGTGGGCTGTGTCATAGCTGCAGTTTATTTTTCGCATAAAAGTGGCCATAATCTAGAATGTGTTTCAGTAGTGCTCCGATCTGGGAAGAGGCACGGGATAGTACCTTGACATTAATTTCATTGTCGTCCACAATGAGAACATGGGCCGCTGCTTGCTTGCTGGGTGGTCGGGGTGTGGAACTGCTTGATCCTCCCAGTGAGCTCACTGCTTCGTTTGGATACTCGGACGTCCCTCTAGCATTGAGATCCGAGCCCGAGTCTAAATTGCTTTCTGTTTGTGTCTGTAGAGATATGGGTGGGATAGCAGCGTCGGGCGCAGGGGGCGCAGGCTGTATTTGGATTTCGCGCCACTTCATAATCTTTTCAACGGCGTTGTAAATTTTCTGTGGTCCGAATCTGCAAAAGGAATTAGTTTTATGCCAAAAAGGTCAAAGGATTGCAACCTACGGTTGGGCAATGCGGATGATGCTGACGGAAAGGCTGTCCAGTATGATTGGGACATTGCCGCTTAGCACGATGAAGAAGTCAAACCCATTCTGAGCCGCCATTTCGGAAACAAGTTGATCATTTTTATCCATAGTTTGTCTGAGGAGTTCTTCCTCAATGACAATGACCTGGCCGCGAGCCTTCTCGATGGAGCCAGCCAGAGAGATATTCCACTTCAACTTTGTCATGAAGATGTTTGCAAGTGCACTCTGAATGGAAAGATTTCGTTTGCCTTCGACAGTAAGAATGCCAGTGGGCGTCTCTGTGAGGTCGGGATAACCATTAAAGCCTACCAGGCACGCCTGCATTGGGGTGGTTCCTGGCTGGGTAGTTGTCGGTGACGGGCTATACTGCGGATCAAGACTAGCCGGTAGATATTGAACCGGGATATAGACATCAGCTTGAGTGCCAATGCCTATTTCGCTCCTCACATTGACATGTCCCCCAAGTGACATGACCAATTGCTGTACCGTGCTCAGGCCCAGCCCGACACCTTCAGACAGCGGGTCTTCTTGAGAAAACGGGGCGAACAATTTGTGTTTGATGAATTCGGGCGCAATTCCACGGCCAGTATCAGTGATGGCGAGGTGAACAAGGGGCGAATGTGAGTCTGATCGATCCCTCGCCTTTGACAAGGCTATTTCGATGAACCCAGCTGTTGTCCATTTCATGGCATTGCCAAGAAGGTTCATCACGATTCTTCTCCAGGCACCTGCTAGGGACCGAATCATCCAAGTGTCCGCTTGGTCGACTCGTATGACAACAGACATTTGGTTTTGTGTCCTAAAATCCTTGGTGATTGAATCGCCTGCTTCCTTGTTCGATGACATCCTTTTAGCGAGCTGGTTCACCTGCTCAGGTGCTCGCTGGCCGGTGTATAATATGTCTGCAACCTCTTCCACCAAATGGCTAATGTCAAAATCGGAAACAAGATTGGTCGTGTCATTTTCTGAGATCATTTCATTCAGCCTGTCCGTATGTCTCAAGTTATTGACCTTGCAGAATTCCAACCTAGAATGTGTTAGGACAATTTTAGCTCCGGAAAGGTCTACTTGGGTGGACTCACATGTGATTCGTTGTATCCAGTAATGTCAATCCGGACTTTTCGATCATCATCACCATATCTTCTTGTGATGGGCTAAGAGAACTGGCATGTAACAATTCAGCACTCGCCAGTATCCCGTGCAGTGGTGAACGAAGCTCGTGGCTGACAGAGGATATGAAATCGAATTTTGATCTCTCGGTAGTTGCCCAATGAATTCGAGAAACTTCAGAAATCAAAGAATCACCAAAAACCTTGAAATAGTGTAACTCTTCGAGCCCAAGCGCGCGGAAACTGCTTGTCGTCCATACCAGAACCCCGGAAAGCCAACGTGACTTATTCCAATCCCATAAAGGAAGAAACAGGGCAGATTTAGCACCGGGAAGACACCGCGCAAGATGTTTTGTACAAGTTTGAGTGTCGGGATCAAGTTGAGAATCAACGGCTCTGGGGCTATCAATTGAGGGATACTTATCCTCATCAACGGCCTCCTCTAGACTTAGGAAGTGGCCTTGAGGAAAGGACTTGAGCATTTGATGGAGCAATCCCTGTGGTATACTAGGTTGTTTGTTTGGACCGTCATTTCCTTTAGATGGCGACTTTAGCGCACAACTCAAAATGTCGCATGGAAGGTCAAACTCATGCGACACAGCCCTAGCAAGCCCGAGAGGGGTAGGCAGCGGAGCAGCCGGGAACCCGGGATCTGCGGTTGTTGATGGATCCCAAGTTTCTGATTCTTCGGGTACACTGACGAAAAGAAATGTTAATAAATACCACTCGACAACAAGGGGGGCATACCCACAAGGCAAAATCGGTTGGACAGGCATCGATAAATGCAACTCCATCCAAATCCATGGAATCCCGAAGCAGCGCACTTGCACGCGAATAGATTGATGCAATGCGTTCGTATATGGGCGTGCTCTCTGACAATGATAGCTGCGAGAAGTCTTGATCAACACCCTGAAGTACACTGGTGTCTCCTGGCTTCAATACTTCGCGCATCGACATCTCTTCGCCGGGGCTCAGCGCCATTGGTCGATCCGAGAAACCGGAGTCGAGAGACGAAGGCTCGGTCGTGGAGCGTTGATCTTGCAAGAAGAACACAGATTCATCCCCCGTAACGGTCGAGGAAGATGATTGCGCAGATTCGGGAGAAACACCTTTAACAGCATGAATTGATGGCACATCAAGAACCGGGGTAGTATCGGAGTCATCGGCGTCCACAGTAGTGGCGGCAGTTTCATGTGGGAGATTTGCTGCGTGGACGCTAGACTGAAGACGGCCATGGTTAGAGACCTCTTTAGGATCGAAGTCTACATGGTCTTTGACAAAATTTGTCAAGCCCTTGACCAATTTTTCCGTCCGTATATGGGCTTGGCTGATTCGCACATTCTCCAAATGTAGTCCGATGGCATCCGCCACTTCCTGGAGGTCATTGACCTGGTCATCTCCAAACTCCGCCCTTGGTTTGTCATCGACGATGCAATAAGAGCCCAGAACGTATCCAGATGCGCTGAACAAAGGCACCTCTGCGTAGAAGCGCATGTGTGGCCATTCTCGAACATAAGGCCGGTCCTTGAAGCAATCATCCAGTGTGAAATCTCGGATAATATAGCGCGTGCGATTGGCGGTTATATTGCTGGTATCAATATCGTTGGTCGCGCGGCCTGTGAACAAGCTGACAGTGTGGGGACATACGCCCCAGATCAGGTCCAGTGACCGTGCTCCGAGATAGATCCCATCTCCTGGTTTGTGGCGGTTCTTATCTCTTAGCGACACTGATTTTGTCGTTTCGGCAATAATATGTTGGGTTTCACCGTCAATTATAGACACAAAGCAGCGATTGGCGTCGAAGCGGAACACGCCGAGCTGGGCGAGTGCGTTGAGGGTAATATCCTTTGCTAGCTCGCAACCTGTGGGCTGTTCATCTCCCGTCGGTGCTGCGAGCGTCTCTTCCTCCTCCGAAGTTGTCGCATCAGGTGCTGGGAATGCTTGAGTCACTGTGCAGTAATATCTATTGTGGCAGTGATCAGTGGTGATCAGTGGGACAGACATACTGGCCGAACGCCACAAACCTCGATAAATCGCGGATCCGCTCGCGCTCCGGATCGTCCTCCGATGTTGGATGAAAGGCGCGTACGCCTGCAGAAGTCATAGTAGTTATCGGCTCATACCTGGCTACTAGTCACTCAGCAGCAGCTCTTGAAAAAGAAGAATTGCCAAATCTGAGACACGAATTCCCCGCGGGCGGGTGGGTTGCACGTGAAGTGCTAAAAATCTCTAAAACCAACCATGCATTGAAAACACCCCACTATTTTAATTATGGATTGTGTTCATTGGCAGTTCCAAATATTATTGTGGTCACAAATGCCGAGGAAAGATATGTCTTGAGGCCCAGACTATTCGCGAGTACGAAGCGATTGGTTGGGGCGGGAAGCCGACCGTTACCGACCCCGGGAGGTCCACACCTGCCCAGGTGCGTCCGTTTGGTTAGTCATTACCAATTTGATTTACCGCTTTTCTCTCCGCCTTCTGGATTCAACACATACAGAAATCCTTACGTTGCAGACATAAAGGGTGGGAAGGACACGCTATAATAGAAGTCATTGGACGATGGGGGTACTCTCGAGGCTGGCCGGGGGTGGCTGCTGATCCTCGATCAACGAGGCGGGGAGGGGAGCCTTCCTCGCAATGTCGATCCTCCTCATCTTTGTCGTGTTCATTAACTATATCATTGTCTCGTACCTGATGTATGCTGCATCTGCTGTCGCAGCAAATACCGTTCTGCAGTCCGCCTGTGCCGCAGCATCCCCATTGTTCACGCAATAAATGCTCAATGCGCTCGGTGTGGGTGGGGCTGGATCGCTCATCGGAGGAGTTGGCGTACTGCCGATGCCTATACCTTTCGTTTTCATAGATACGGCACGGCAATCCGGGTGCGGTCTGAGTTTGCGTAGACGAACAAGATGCCGCGCGCACCTATGGATAGAGAATGCCATGAACGGCATATCGCCAGACCAGACCTCCGAAAGGGAGGACCGACCAGTGGATGAGGATTTTGGGAGCTTGAACAAGTGAACTGTCCTTGACATGGCACACAGCGGCGTGTCTGTATGTGCAGTCCAAGCATCGTGCTTTAATAGAAACTTGCATGAGAATCGGAATATCAAACTCTCATAAGTAAGAAGAGTGAGCTCCACGGGATCTCTGGCAATAGCCCCCAGCATGAAGCCTTGTCTGTGTTAGCCGTACAGCACCATCAATGATGACTCAATACAGACAATACCTTGACTGATACCATGAAGCACAATCACGAATTGAATGGGATTGTTGGCATTTCTGTCGGGAAAAAAACGCCTCGCTTCGTGATTTTCGTATATGGCATTCGGTTATCAATCGAGAGGTAGCCAGTGATCGATAAGGAAGTATAGCACACCCGGGAAAGAACATACGCGAGAAAGCACTCTAAGCTGAACTTGGGAAAAAAAGGAAATATCTGAGATTTGGTCGAATGATAGGATTTCAAATAAGACCTGTTGTTGAGAAGTACGGAATATAGTTCCTCAAGTTGGGTACGTACCCGTCTCGGTCTCGGTCCCGTTATCGCTCTCGTCTAGTCTCGTTCCCGTGCCCCTCTGCCTTTTGTCTCTCTCGCGATCTCGCTCTCGCTCTCGTTATCTACCCCAGACTCAGCCATCGGTTCCTGCAGCTAAAACCCCGAGAACTCAATAACCTTCTCCATTATGCAAAGCTACGGCATTATATTCATTCCCCTTTAGGCATGGCCAGCCCAGGGACAGTTCCCTAGCTACCCTAACTAGATCCACAGTGGTCCCTGTAGATAATGCCTGGTGGGGCCTGGAGTCCCTGTCGGAGCTATTGTTGACATCCATCCGAGTCTTATATCAACCCTTGGCCTCTCGATATGGAACCCCTACCGCCGATCTCAGTCTTGCGCCTCAGATGTCGACCATATTTGATAAAGCCCTACAAAACAAGGAAAAGAATGACTAGTTTCTGCCTGGTCAGGCAACTCTAATCCTCGAGCTCAAAACAAGGATTCATGTACCGGATCCCCAAATTGCCGGCGACACAACTATAAAAGACATGTCCCTCTACTCAAAAAGTGGATTTATTATCTTTCATTCAGAGCCCCTCTTCCAATTAAAGAGATAATCAAAGCCCTACTATTCTACATAATGAAATTCACTAATATTGCCCTCACCGGCGCTGCCATCGGTCTTGCCAATGCAGGCCCTGTTTCCAAGCGTGCTATCAGCGACGGTGTGTAACTTCCAACCAATTGACTACTCATTCTAATGTTCTTCTTCGTTAGCCGACATTCTCAACTACGCTCTTACACTTGAGCATCTCGAGGCCTCTTTCTACGAGGAGGGTCTCAAGAACTATACCCAGGAGGACTTCGTCAAGGCTGGCATGAAGGATCCATTCTATTCCAACCTGAAGGAGGTTGCTTCTGATGAGAAGGAGCACGTGGATTTCTTGACCTCCGCGCTCAAGGGTATGTCCCTATCATTCAAACCCAGAAATAATGAACACTATTTGACATTTTCTAGCTGCCGGTGCATCTGCCGTTGCCCGATGCACCTACAACTTCCCATCCACCGATGTCAGCAGCTTCCTGGCGCTTGCTAGCGTCCTTGAGGGTAAGGAGACATCCAATAATACCCAAAAAAAAAACACCACTAATACGTTTTCCAGGTGTCGGAGTCAGCGCCTACCTCGGAGCCGCAGCCTCCATCATGAGTGACACCTACCTGACAGCTGCCGGCAGCATTCTCACCACAGAAGCCCGACACAGCGCGTACCTGCGCGCCGCGGTAGGCGAAGTCCCCTTCGCACAGGCCTTCGACAACCCCCTCGGCCTCAACGAGGTGTACACTGTCGCCTCTCCTTTCATTGCCTCGTGCCCTTCCAGTAACGGCGCGCTGCCCGTAAAGGCCTTCCCTGCGCTCACAATGAGTTCTATGGACGCCGTCATGACTGGCTCGCAAGTGCAGCTGATGGCCGGTAGTGGCTTCAACACCAGTACTAGCGACGTCAACGCTGCCTTCATTACTGTCACTGGTCCAGTCTGGGCTCCTCTCAAGTCTATGGGTGATGGAAAGTTCACCGTCACCGTCCCCAAGGGCGTTGCTGGACAGAGCTACGTCGTTCTGACTCAGGGGAATAATCAGGCGACTGATGACAATATTGTTGCTGGTCCTGCTATCGTCGAGGTAAATTAGATTACCTTCCGCGTTTGAATTCTTTTTGTTGGGTGCTTCCTCGCCTCCTTTTTCGCAGGGCTGATGTTGCTTGTCTTGACAGGTTGGAAAGAAGACTGCTATGGGTACCCCGAGTGGTATGGTCGCTATGGGCATGGGTGGCAAGAAGAATAACACGATGCCGACTCCTTCTAAGTCTACGACTGGCTCCTGGGGTAGCTCTACCCCTACCATATCTGCTTCTGCTTCTCCTATTTACACCGGGGCTGGTCAGAAAATGTCTGGTAACATTGCCACTGTTTTCACTGCAGGTATTTTTGTTGCTGTCGGTCTTATTTGAGTTCTTTTGTCTTATTAGATTTCTAGTTCAATTATCTGGGCGGGAATGATGATGTCGATTATATATTTACTTCTAATACTAATATCTTGGCAATAACGTCTGGGCCCTTGGGTTATACTTCAAGGTTACTTCTACGAACTATATATATAAAATACTAGTTAAGTATTACCAATATTACTAAGAATGGCAGACATACCTACCTAGGTAGGTATTGTATAAGGTAACTGGGCGCATGCCCCGGGGCCTCGTTTACTTCTAAAATTGTTCTAGACCTGGGTCACATGATACGGGGGAATATGTCAATGTCTCAGATAACTTCTTCCTCGTATTTATTCACAGCCATCTTGATGATTGGCCTCCACGGGATGTCAATTAACTTTGAACATGCCCCCTCTCCGCGCGCATACCAAATCCCGCAACGGATGCGATCAATGCAGAAGCAGGCGGGTTAAATGTGATGAACAGGGTCCACCATGCTCGAACTGCACGACCCGCGAGTTAAAATGCACGTATTTGAAAGTCGCCGCAGCCCGTCGCGCTACAACACATCTTACCCCACCCAGTTCAGCATCCGATGTATCACGTTCTCTAGATGGCCACGGGTCGCCCGTAGCAGCGATACCCGGTCCAACCGTTCCAGTCGCACCAACCCAAACAAACTCATTCGGCATCGACAACCTAGAATTAATGCACAAGTTCTCAACAGACACATACAAAAGTCTCTGTCTCAGCGATTCAGAAATAATAATCTGGCAAATAACCGTTCCAACACTCGCCTTCAAGCATGATTACCTGATGGGCGGGATCTTGGCACTAGCCTCAATGCACATTGCAACGACATGCGAGCCATCAGAAACAGCACTCCTATACCACGAGACAGGATTGCAGTACTACAACCGCAGCCTAACGCCATTCCGAAACGCGATCGATAATATCACGCCGCAGAACTGCAACGCGGTATTCGCGCACTCGATCGTCATGATCGCAATCAGCGTCGCGTCACCCCGACTAACCACCACGAAAGACGAGTGCGCCAGTATCACAGAGAACATCGTGATACTGTTCGAGCTACTACAGGGTGTGAAGAAGATCCTGCAAGTTAGCAGGTCGTGGATTAAGCTGGAATTATTCACGCAGGGCCCGTATTGGAAGAGCACGCCTACTGAACTTGATCCTGATACTGAGGCTGCGCTGACGCATCTGGCGGCCTTGAATGATCAAGTTATGATTGGGATTTACTCGGAGCAGCATCGCATTAATACAAATGTTATTGCTCATTTGAGGCATTGTTATTCTAAGTTTGCGCACTCGGCAGATCCGGCGCCTGTTCTTGCTTGGCTTGCGGCTGTTGACAAGGATTTTGTCGATAGTCTCCGGTGTCGACAGCCGTTTTCGTTGCTGATTCTCATGTATTGGGGGGTGTTATTGAAGGAACTTGATGGGCATCGGTGGTGGGCGCGGGATTCAGGTAAAGCGCTGGTTTCAGAGTTGTTTGAGGCTTTGAGATCTGGAGATCCGAGGTGGGAGGGTGCTCTTGGTTGGGTGCAGCGGAAAATGGGGCTTTGAGCGTTGGAATGGTGACTAGGTCATCCCGAACTCAACATTCATGGATAGTTGCCCGCATGACGCATGGTCGGGTCGACCAGGCCGCTTGGGACTAATACATTGTACATATAGCATTCTTGAAGCGATTTACTCAATTACACGATTACTTTCTACTCGAGTGGTCAGGGCTGAAAATTGCTGCCGACGAACGTGGACATCAACAGAGGACCTCCTTCCAAGGTCGTCAAGGGCCAACCTTGAAATCTCACCCAAATAAACAATATGGGGGTCTCAATACTGACTACACAACTAGACCGCGCGGCTGATAAATTACAAGATGGGGTCTCAGACTGCAAAGTAACTTGCTCAACCAACTAGGCTACAAATGACATAGCATGGCACTGTCGAAGACTCCACAGCCTCGTCAGCCGTAGCCCTTAGCGCTGATCTTGGAAGGGCCTTTGCGGTATACAGGGCAGTTTAGCAGCGACATGTCACATGCATAGACAGAAGTGTCTCCCTTGACCAGCGGCAATTCTGCTCTGAGATCAATGGCGCAAATCAGAAAATTGAAATATTTACCAGAGGTGATCTATAGTATTTCAGGCCATGCGGTGGCTGCCAATCCTACATGATATGCACGGTGAAACGAAAGGAGCTCTAGCGGGAAATAGCGGGCATCTTCGTGCAGCTGTAGCATGCGGCTGACAGGGGGCCCCTCGCCATTTGGACCAATCTTTATTTCTTGGCTGTGTACATATATTTCGACGAATACTAGGCCAGTTCTGTCAACAAAAATAGTATTTCGTATTTTGAGTAGTTATCAAATACCTAGGCATAGGTGCGATATAAGGCTTTTCCCCGCAATTTTTTTCCCGTCCGGGTGGACGCCTCACTAAAATATCACTAAATGGACGCCTGATTGTCTCTTCTAGTCTGTTTTGGTCTGTTTTAGTGTGCTTTAGTGTGCTTTAGTCTGCTTTAGTGCCGTTTAGTATGTTTTAAGACTCTCTTCGTATAGAACTTAACCCCCGCAGCTGGTCCAACCTGAGTTTCCACGGTTGATAACACCTACGTATGTATGTGCATGAATTACCCCTCCATATTATTTAACTCGTACGTCTCCCCATTTCTACTCTGCCAATCTCAACAATCTAAACAATTATACAATGGCTGAAAATCCAACCTGCACAGTCGAGGAATTCACCCGCACCACATTCGACTATGTCATCTGCGGTGGCGGAACTGCAGGACTCGTTCTTGCTGCCCGCCTCAGCGAAGATCCCGCTGTAACCGTCGGCGTCATTGAGGCCGGCAAGTATCGCATTGGAGATCCGCTGGTTGATACTCCTGCGGCTTTCGCACAGATGTTTGAGAATCCCGACTATGATTGGTGTCTGTATACGACGCCACAGGTAGGTTTATTCTATATTGCATCTATCTACTTTCCATTCGCTAACTGCTTTCCTGGGGTCATAGGAAGGAAACCATGGCTTGTCTCACCATGTCCCGCGCGGAAAGCTCCTCGGTGGATCCAGCGGCATCAACTATATGATGTATGTGCGAGGATCAACGCAGGATTACGACGACTGGGCGGAGCTGGTAGAGGACGATGGGTGGTCTGGGAAGCATATGCAGGGATATATGCGTAAGCATCAGGTACGATCTCACCTTTGCATTCCCCAATCTGGTTCATTTATAATTTAAAACTAACTAACGGAATAAACAGACCCTTGAGCCCATCGACCCAGCCATCACCGATCGCTCCACAATGCCATTCGTAGGCGAATTCCACGGCACAAGCGGGCCCATCCGCACCAGCTTCAATGATTCAATCATGCCAGTGGAGAATGACATCATTAGAGCCTGTGAGGATGTAACCGGCATCCCAAGCAAGCCCACCGACCCATGGAGCGGCGACCATATCGGCTTCTATCACACCCTTGGATCAGTTGCTCGAAGCGGCCCGAACAAGGGCAAGCGCAGCTACTCTGCACGGGCATACTATGAAGAGAACCGCGCCACTCGCCCAAACCTCAAAGTCCTCTGCGAAGCCCTTGTCAACCGCGTCGTACTAGACGGCAACAAAGCCACTGGTGTAAGCCTCACACACAACGGAGTCGAGTATCAAGTCTCCACACGGCGCGAAGTAATCGTCAGCGGCGGCACAATCCAAAGTCCCCAGATCCTCGAACTATCAGGAATTGGCGACCCAGAGGTCCTCAAAGCCGCCGGCGTCGAGTGCAAGGTCGCCAATAAAGGCGTCGGTGCAAACGTCCTAGACCACGCCCTCACTTTGTCTATAATGGAGGTCCAGCCGAGCATCATCACACTAGACACTCTATATCAAGTACCCGAGGCAATGGAAGCCGCCACAAAACAGTATGCTGAAACCAGCGGCGGGCCACTGAGCGCGGTATGTAGCATGCAGGGCTTTTTCCCGGCCAAGAAAATCCTCTCCGAGGCAGAGCTGGCAGAGATCATCCAGAGTATTCGCGATATCAAACCGAACAGCGACTTCCACGCAAAACAGCTCGCACAGACTATCGCGAATCTCGAAAGCGACCACTCTGCTAATATGCAGCTTGTTACTGTCGGGGGTTCCATGAACCCGAATGCCATAGGCCACCAGAGCAAACTAATTCAGCCACGCTTGCCTGATGAACCGGCTGGTTTGACCTTGGCGGTTTGTATTCAGTACCCCGTGTCTAGAGGGACTATCCACATTGGGAGTGCAGGTGAGTTTACAATCAAACAGAAATCCCTTCTATGTTCAATCAAGTCGTGTGCTAATAAATTCAGACCCGACCAAACCCCCTATCATCAACCCTAACTACGGCGGCCACCCAGCTGATATCTCACTCCTAGCAGCATTCCTGCGCTGGGGTGATAAAGTCACGGAATCAGAGCACGTGAAGTCTTCATTTTTGCGGCGCGCGTACCCGGACCCCAGTCTCAACTTGCAGGACATGGATACGGCCCGAGAAGCAGTGCATAACCTCATTGCGGGTGAGTACCATATTAGCGGGTCTGTTGCTATGGGTGATGCATTGGATAGCAGATTAAGGGTGAAGGGTGTTGAGGGACTGCGTGTTGTGGATGCGTCGGTGTTCCCGAATAATGTTTCAGGTAATATTGTTAGTAGTGTTTACGCTGTTGCAGAGAAGGCGTCGGATATGATTCGTGAGGATTGGAATTCTAGGGCTTAACTATGATGTAGTTTTCTTTTGGGATTCGTTTCACGCAATGATAATATATTATACTTTAATGGGATTGATTCCGTCAACCCTCGACAAAAAGCAGAGCCCTCCAAAATCAAAGTAAAAGCACATTAAGAACTGTACATAGTGTAACCTTGCGTACCATCATTCTCCCATGGGTAGCTATAATCCCGCATATCCTCCAACTCCAGTCGCATAGCAGGATCACAAAGCGAATCCTGCATCTTAATACCCTCATACCCAGGCTCCCTTCTCCGTCTTTCTCGAGCCTTCTTCTCAACAAAATCACGTACATTCTCCTTCCGCGGCACATTCTCAAAATCACACTCAGACAAAAGAGCCACGGCCTCCTCAAAGCTCTCCGCCCGCGCCAAGTTAAGATCACCCCGTTCAGCACGAACCCCCTTCTCAAGCAACAGCTTCAAAACCTCCAATTGTCCAAACTGAACCGCAAACCCAATAGTACTATACCGCAAACACTCAAAACTCAACATAAATACATCATACGTTAAATTCGGGTTCGCTCCCTTCTCAATTAACCCAGTCACCATCTCAGTCTGTCCATGCATAACAGCCGCAAACAATGCCCCCTGCCAACACATCCCAACCTCAAGTCCCAGTTCAACAAACACCTCCAACAACCTCTGGTTATTCTGCTCTGCAATAATGCATAATCCCCCATCATCCACAAGCCGAATTCCAGCCCCAAGTAATATATCGACGATCTCCGGCTTGTTCATGGTAATCGCGCGCTCGAGCGGGGTGGGGACCTCACTCTTCCCAGGACAAGCACCAGCCTCTAATAACAAAGGTATAATACCAGCCCAGTTCGCTGCAACAGCCGCACCAAGCGCGGACGGATTCGGCAGGAGCTCGCCTGCGGGTTCGAGGGGAGCGTTGTGTCGAAGTAGTAACTTGACCGCCTCGGTACTACGTGCCGGGATCGCACTTTCGATTAGTGCTTCGCGCAGTTGGTCAGGATCGTATGTCTGGTCCGGTCTTCTTTCGGATAGTAGACAGGTGAGGGTTTCTATATGTGGACCGCTGGCTGCGAGGGAGAGCGCATTCCCCGCTATCCCGGTGACGTTGGTGGGGTTGATGTGATTGGGACTTGGGGGGGATACGGGCGCTTATTCTAGCGCCTGCATCGAGCATTTTTTGGGTCAGGACTGTGTGGCCATTCTTGGCGGCCCAGAGGAGGGCGCTAGTGCCGTGGTTTTGGATGTTGTTTTTGTATAGGTAAAGTTGGAGGACACTGTAGGTTCTCTTTGTGGTTTGGGTGAAGGCGCTGATGTCCTTTTGGCCGGGGAGGGATTCGGCGATTGTGAGGAGGAGTTCGGTTGGTAATAAGGTTAATCGGGACATGGTTTATCTGTATCCAAGTTGTGGAGGGCTCTGTGCTTATTTTGGAGGTGCGGATATGGTTGGAGATCAACGGTTGACGTCTTTAGCGCTTGGGGAGTGGGTTTAGCGCTGTTGGAGCTAGTGGCTTGCAGGATTGGGGGCGGCTTATCACATACATATCTACACAATGGGGTTTGGGGATTTGGTACATTTAGGACTTTGGGATGAAATCATTCGAGTACTTTTGTAGGAGAACCGAGGTAGGATGCATTTAGGTGCTGTCAAGTATTTAGCCCATACTGCTTAGTAGAATTATAAGCTGACTAGCGAGTATATGAAGACCTCGAGATGAACATAAGTCATTTATCTTGAAGTTATTTGCCTTCTAGGGACTTTTGTCAGAAGTATCCTTTGATTATACCTTGAGGAGGATATCAAATGTCTCGCAGCCTCAATATTGCAGAAGCTATACAGGGGAATAATCTCTTTCCCCGACTCCATCTCTCCGAATTCAGACTAGCAATTACAATATGAGGTACTTCGTGAGTGCTCAGTATCAACAAGAGCCTATGGGGCTATAAGACTCTCAAAGGATTCTTATGAATTTGTACGATCAGTTAATCTTATATTTCTCTATTTTTTCAACTATCTTGGCTACTTTACTGTATGTAGCCCGCAGTATAAATTGGTCTGGATAGATATACCCTAGACATCAGTATCAACACGCAAATCTTTTGTTTCCCACAGGCGGTAGTATCCGCAAGCCCCCAGCCCAAACGCCCACCTATATAAGGCTAAAAGTGGGCCTACGTATTCTAGACCTTGAATTTACGGCCTAGTGGGAATCGTCCCGGGATTCCTCACTCCGACCCATTTTTCCCGTGGCGATATCGGAAACGACATTCATAAGATGGAAAGATCTGGGGAGAAATGGAACGTTGAGTTTTATGTCGTACATTTTACTTGTCAAGTTTACTAGATCGGAGGATAATCGGATGATATACAGGTGTTCTAATAGTAATTCGTCGGCTAATAGTCATCGGTCTAAAGCTTGAAATACCATGCCCCATTTCTCGGCGCATTGACCCTTGCCGATACTCCATACTCGGTATAGTGCTGAGACATAAGAGAGGTGAAATTGTTAAGTACTTCTCTAGCGTTTTTTTCCTACCCAGCATCCTCGGGGGTTTTTGTCGGAGTCCGACGTTATATGCAGGTATCAATGAAGAGTAAATTTTTCCGTCGAGCTTCTACCTTCTGTTAATTAAGATGTAATCAAGCTTTATATATGAATAATATAATATATAATATATAATATACATAGAACACTACGGAGGAACTAAATAAGATCAAACTCATAAGGACCCACGTTATTAGCGTATACTTAGTCACCTGATCCTCTCATCAAATCGTAGGAGCACGTGCAACAGAGCTGTATCCCGCTAGTCCCAGGGCGGAACAAGACATTTGGGGGGCGAGGTCATGACTCTTGACCTCGCTTCTTTAATTTGCTTTTCTCTTCGCCAGTCTCTGTCAATTGAGTTTGGATTTTTCTTCTGATACTTCTTTTCTTCCGACCTCTCCAAACGACCTCACCTCTACACTTTCGACAATGTCCAGCCAACCTCTGCTCCAAACCGCTCCGGGTAAGTCCAACAACACCTCCACTCTCAGCAGCTGAACAGCTCAACTCGAGACACAATTCCACCTGGACCCCCTCTCCTAACCGTGACGTTGTTTGGTGAGCGATCATTTTGCTTCATTTGAGCTGTGGGTGTCACTGCGACCTTATCAACGTCCACGCCGTCCAAAGAAGCAGAACGATCGCAACCTCCATCCAATCCCATCCCAACCCACAACCACCCTCCAACCCTCCAATCTCCACCCCGAACTCAGCTAACATTCCACCAGGCAAGCGAATTGCCCTCCCAACCCGAGTCGAGCCCAAAGTCTTCTTCGCAAACGAGCGCACCTTCCTCTCATGGCTGAACTTCACTGTCATCCTGGGCGGCCTCGCCGTCGGTCTCCTCAACTTCGGCGATCGCATCGGTCGCATCTCCGCAGGTCTCTTCACTATCATCGCCATGGGCGCAATGATCTACGCTCTAGTGACATTCCACTGGCGCGCGCAGAGTATCCGTCGGCGTGGGCAGAGCGGTATCGATGATCGATTCGGTCCTACCATCCTCGCCATTGCCCTGCTCGCTGCTGTCGTTGTTAACTTTATCCTGCGGATTCGGGATGGGCAGATGAACTAGGATTGTTCTGGACCGGATACGATTGTTGTCTTTTTTTTTGGCGATTTTGAATCGGGAGATTCGATATTCGCCCGTTCAGCCATCTGAATACTATACCATTGATTACGTTGGCCTATTCTAGTTCGTTCACTGTTGATATCGACACCCGTGTCTGTTTTTTGTATTCACTTGGCGTGTGGTCTGTTTTATGCTTATGAGGCCAGAGTGCCTTTGACGTTCACATGCTCGAGTCGAGCGTCCGTCTTCTTTTTTATATATTGCAATTGGCGTTTTGGGGGATTGAGCATGTCTGACAAGCAGAAAAAGAATGAACGATTGAACTCGAACTGAATCCGACCGCGTCCTCTGTCTATCTGTCTATATACTCTCTCGGTGTGACGGGCAATCATCCTTCACAACCTGCCCATTAACATATCCCTAGATAAGCTCAATAAAGCTCCAATGATCCAGCTTGGACCTAACAGCATCGGGGACTTTGCCGTTCATAACGTAATACCCTAAGCATCCCGAGGTTGGAACTGCTGCCAAAGCTCCTCGAAGTGCAAGCGCATTGATTATTTTCATTCACCAGCAAACCTTGGAAAGACCCCCTTTGAACCCCTCGCATCCGCACAAATAGTCATCTCGGTATTCGCACACTAGAAGTAATGATAATCCGCATCATGACACAATATTAATATTCCTCCCCCGCCCGCAAAAAACCAACCAACGAACTATGTAGACGTTGGTTTTTATTCGAGCCACCCAGCTGGTATTATATTGTGGCTTGATAAGAAGTTGTTGGTAAATATATTTGTCCTGGGTTGGTTGGTTGGTGTTGTGTACAACATATATATTTTCGTGTGTAGGGCGCCAAGGAGTCTTGAGGTTTAGAAGGTAGCGAGCGCTGGGAGGATAGTGTGCATTAGAGTGGTTATCAGTTCTCGAAGAGAGGAGAGATAGTTGACGATAAGCAATTTGCTTTAGCGTTAACCGAGGCAAGGGATATTGTTTTGATCGGAATGTTAAACTTGGGGACGGGGCAACGGTCCATTCAAGGGGCTTTTAGATGTCTATCTACTCCGTACATGGAGACAATAGGACATCAATAGACAATACGGAGTATGTCGCTCCTATCTATGGATAGTCTAACCAATGGTGTGAGCTGGGTCTGGAGTTTGACCGCATCCTCGTAATGCGGAGTGCAGGGATGGGAAACGTGGAAGACTTGAATATTCTTAGTAGTAGTACACACTCATGTGCATATATATTGTTGTACTTTGTAGTGAGGTATCTTGGAAACGCTGGAGATGGAGGTGCAATTTCTCGTACTTTCGCTATGCATTATGAACCCAGTGCGATAGTTAGATAGATATATATCTCTATAAAAAAACAACAACACGACAGCTGGCTGTGATTCTAAGGTAGTCGATGTATATGTATTTTGGTACTCGGTAGGTGCCCTGGGTTACGCGTAAACCATTGGGCAGACCCCACCATCGTCATGATAGCGCTGATAGTCAGGGATGAGCGGAGCTGGGTAAATCAAAAGATGGGGAAGGGATGCTAATTAGGGCTACTGTGATCAGCAGAGCTATGTCGCTAGAGGATAGCTTGATGATCTTAAAAAGTTAGTATAGTCTATAATTATTGATGGCTAGAGTACTCCATACACTCCGTACTCCGGATGGAGTAAATTAACGCTATAAATAGGGGTAATCTACAAGAGTGGCTCCGATGTCTAGTTCCCTAAGAACCTGGGGAAGTAGAATTGCCCCTTGTTCTCTCCTATGTTGTATTTTCTTCGATGATGTTCCACAACTTTCCATTTGCGTTGTCAGCCACATCTGACCTGTATTTTGGATTGCCAAGATAAAATATGATTTGTACTTTTGTGTTTCGCACATGCAATTGAGGCGCAGTTAGAACTTGTTTATACCCGGTTTGCCCCCCGGCCAAAGTATAGATATAGGGTTCTGATTTGCTGGGGGATCTGGGAGATCGTAGATAGAACTGGCGTTAGGCAGAAACAGGACAAGGGCCCAGACCACAGTCTTGGCAATAAGTTGGGTATCAGCCGTATACATCCGGGTGAATCGGACAATAGGGGATTGAATACGAAGTAGATCAATAGGTACAGTAAATAGGATAATGTAAATAGTTAGTTAGATATATACAATGTATCATTTTATATGATGTTATACATTTATATAATCAGATACAGAAGATATAAAATAAACAAATAAATAAAAATGTATGACGTGTCGTAGATATTTGAGACTGATCCAATAACCCAATTATCGGATGGTACATGTTTCTACCATAGAATTAATATGGGAACCACAAGTATCGCCTCAACTCCACTCCCTGTTTCCTCTCCCAACTCTCTCACTCCCAGGTACTTTCCCCCCCCATTTTCCCATTTCTCATTTTCCCAATTGTTCTCTCTTATTCTGTCTTCTCAATTCCCCCTTTCTTCCCCTTTCTTCTTCTCTTTCCTATTCTTTCCCCCAGTCTCCCTTATTCTCCCACCCCATTATTCTCTCCCCTTTTCTCTTTTTTCTCTTTCTTGTACTCTCCTCCCTCTTATTAATAGATTTTTTGCTGCCTTCCGTAATCAACCTCCGGTCGCGCAGTCGACGTCCATTCCTTTTCCGTAATAAAAGAACGCTTGGACCACCTGCCACCTAATCCAAAAACCATCTCTATGCACTCACATGGCATGTTTCGCCTGCTTCCCTGGCCCTCAACTATAGGAGGGAATAAGGTGATGGAGGATGTCAAAATGCTTGCTCCAAACTGCAGTATCAACACACTGTCACTGCCCCAGCTCAAGCGCAAACGTTCAGACTCCGGCTCCGACGCGACCGATGCGCCCGCCCCGACGAAAGTCTGCGCGGATTCCATTTCTTCGCGCCCGACGCCGACCGTGATCGCTGACTCCATCGCGCCCACCCCTTCAACTCCAACTACCTCGTCAACCCCCCCGGTCGCGTCCGCGCGACCGCCGGCGCAGGACGCCGTCGCCGCCCGACCTAGCGTGACCCGTCTTCGGGAAACTATCACCGCCCAGCTGAGCTTGGAGGTGTTACTTAAGCACAACGAACTTCGTCTCATCGACCAGGAGATCGCTAAGTGTCAAGTCGCTCTGGAACAGCTGCGACGCTGTGGCGAAATCCCTTATCCCGGATCCCGTGTTACGGGTGTCTCGCCGGATGTGAGCTCGGGAACAGGCGCGTCAGTGCTGGCACCTGGAAATGGTCCAGCTCCGATCTCGCCTGCTCCCTGGGGAGTAACGGAAGGCCCGTACTCCCGTCACTACGCACGCTGGTTGCTGCCCGATCCTCGCTTTGACGGTGGTGAGGCCGACTCTGGGATGCTGGCAAATTCGCTGGTTGAGGGTCGCTCCACGCGTGGGAATCCCGGTGAGATGGGAATGCTGGCAGGCAAGACTCGCCCACAGCGAGGCTCAACTGCGACTAAGCACACCGCACTGTCGACTGGCTACCCTGTGGTCAAGGAGAAGTCCGGGCCGATGCTCATCCGACGCAAGTCGGATGGTGTCCTGGTCAAGCTGGTCTGTCTGGACTGCCGGCGCGATAACTTCTCCAGTACCCAGGGATTCATTAACCACTGTCGCATCGCGCACAACCGCAACTTCGCTAGCCACGACGCCGCTGCCATGGCTTGTGGTCAATCTGTTCAGGTGGACGACGCCGGGATTGTGGTCGGCAGCTCTGCTGAGCCCACTGCCAATCCAACAATCCCTGGCTACGTGCATCCTCTGATCCGCTCTACCCACATTGCTACGACCCCTTGGAAATCTCTTCACACGCCTGCTAAGGATTTTGTCACCCCTCGCAAACCGGCTACAGCTGCCACCTCCGCTGTTGCCACTCCTCCCTCGACTGCTGAACCGACCTACCGACGCCGCTCTGAACCCATCCGACAGCCCCCGAACCCACAGTTTTTGGCTTCTCCTGCAACTCCTCATCTGTCCGCTCTCATGAAATCACGTGGTGCTGGCCTAGACATGGACAAGTTGGTGGAAGAGTCCCGAAAGCCTGTTGATCTTAGTGGTCTATTCGACGATGACTCGGAAACAGATGACTCTCGCGGTCCGTCTGCGGGACCCGGCCATACCTCCCTTGGTGCTCGCGCCGGTCGCCAGCCGATGCGTATGCCTGTTGGTCAAACTCCTGGAGAGTCTGAGAGCCGGAAGGCCCTCGACCGCGCACACACCCCGCCCATCGAGCAAACCACCCCATCGCGCCCACAGTCCTTTTTGGACTTTTCGCTCGCTGGCAAGTCCCAAACACTGCAGTCTCGGGAATCGGACAGCCTGGATCATCAAACTCTCAGTCCTCATGCCATCGAATCCAACCAAGCCCCTAGCTTAGTCAGTGATGATGAAGATGATTACGAGGCAGCCTCTGACTCCGACAGTCCTCCATCGTCCGAAGCCGACGAGCAAGAGCAGGAGTTCCGCCACATCCAGGTTGAGGATGACGAGCGCGCCGCTGCTCCGTCCGCTGCTGCCGAAGCCAAGCCGGGTCCTTCCCTCGCCAGTCCTGCACCGCAATCCGGGCCACCTCTGTCCCAGCCATTGAAGCGCAGTCGCTCCAAGAAGATCTCCTCTATGGTCCCGTTCAGTGACAACGACGATCAGCACGTGAGCTATCCCTATTCCGCGTCCGCGGAAAATGCTGCCAAGGCCAAGCGTGCTGCCGAGCGCAAACCCAATCCGTCCAAGCGGTAATATCCCCAATCAATATTATATGACAAGAAAAAAAAACCAAAAAAAACCCGGGGTACAACACCCTGTTATCATTTTACGCGCCTCGATCTGATCTGTACTGCGACTGTTTACGCAGTGCCGTTACCGTTCCGACCTCTCTCATCTCTTCCCCGTTCTCCCTTCAACGGTAGACATCACGTCTCCTCCCTCCTACATATTTCTCCCACATTCACCATTACTTCTACTTCTCCTAAACCCTCCCGTCATGTCGAAACACAATTCACTGAAAAAACCGGCCATCTTGATGATGGCCCGTGATGCATGAATTGCATGATGATCTGACGATTTTCTTGTGTCTTTCCCCTTACCCACTTTTTTATTCTTGTGATGCATGCGTCTCTCCTGTATCTGATATCTGCTTTTAATCAAGACTTGACGGCCGTGAATTTGCACATAGCGATGAGTTTAAAACAAAATGCGACTGGTTTGGCATAGATGTGGTTTTGAATACGTAGACTTGATGTGTACTTCGTAGTAAATATGGTAATCAGAGTATCATTGAGGAAGGTCTTGAGTCATACCCAATGGTGTACTTGACACTAAGTACATCCAATTATTCTGAACCATCCCTATCTAAGGAGTCATGTGCAAGATGTGTACTTTGTAGCATGGAATGTAATACATACTCCATACGGGTTTGCAACTAGATCCGCACTATCTTACCCTTAAATTGTCTCCACTAGGCTCCCGCCGATGAGGCTCAAACAAAATACTTGAGTATGTACGTATAATATTGAAAGTACTTATTAGGCACCAGCCCCTCTATCCGAATCCGGTTGCATCTTGATTTCTGTTGAACAAAGAGTCAAAACATCAGGTGACTCCTGTGTCGTGTTATAAGAACTGTGATCTTGGTATGGAGCGTAAGTGTAGTATGCATTTTTCAGGCTTTTCGCTTCTGCTTCTATTTCTCTTTATCATCAGACACCAATTGAAGGAAGCAACTACTCCCAGCTATCCTATTTTCATTCCTCTCGCTCAATATGGACGATATACACACCCTCGTCAATGATCACAGAACATCGCTTCAGATACTCGAGTCCACAGAGTCCTATGTGGACTCTCCTAGGGAGTCTGTCGAAGGAACCACTGCCAAAGAAGATCCTTCCAACCCAGAAACACAAATAATCACAACCGCCAATTATCCAACCAACCCAGTCTACCGCAGCGAATTCCCCCCACCACCAATACCACTAGACACCACAACACAATCCCGAATCAACAAAAACTTCCAAACTGCAATAACGGAAACCCCCACAATCCGGATAATAGTCGACATCCCCCCACATCTAGTCGACTGGTCAAACCCCATAACCTCGATAACAACGACAATAAACCCCTTCCTCTCACACTGGAAAATGCAAAACAAAGTAAACCTCTTAGCAGTGGAAATGCAGCCTCGACACGCATACGCAGCAATCGAGATCAACAACCACGAATACGATTTCCAGACTGCCCATAAACAGACCTTTGTGTTTCCGGTTTATGTCCTCAAGGTCTCAAGGAGGAGTCTTCGGTGGAGGTTTTATAGAGCCCCCACTGAGGATGTAAGGGTTATGAATGAGGTTAAGATGGTGCATTATTTGCATAGGGAGGAGTTGGGGGCGCCATATTTGGTATTTAGGGTTGGGGAGAGGGAGCCTGTTTTTGGGGAGTCTAGGAAGGATTAGGGATTAGGGATTAGAGAGTTGATGATAGTATTTTTATGCTTATACGATCTGCTAAGATATCCTTGGCGTGGGAAGGTGCAATTACAAGCAAAAGGAAGCAGCAATGAATGAAGTGAGGCAGAGGAGTACAACCATACTTCTGTATTTGGCTAGATGTCTTGGGTGATTGTCAACTCACTCTCCTCAGGTCGAAGTGCACGTTGGAAGAGAGGGGACTCGGAGCGAGGAAATGGAAGGTGCGACATAATTTATTTGGCCATGATACAAGAGGCCATATCAAGGATAATCCCACAATGTCTCTTCGTCTTCTCATTTTACTGCTAGAAACATATAAACAAGTGGCTGCAGCAGGAAAAGACAATTCTCAATAATATACAGTTTTCATCACATAGCTTCTTGCTTTATTCTCTTACTACGTCTCGCCCCAAGCTCGCCAGGATCCTTCTTCGCTTCCTTTGGTGGCTGGCTATTTTCCAACTCCATCTCTTTCACAGTATTTAAACCAGCCTCGGGTTCCTGACTAGCATAATAATCCGAGACAGAGATATTGCGGAGTACATAAGCAGCCCTCTCAATATCGATAAAAGAGACAGGTGCGTCTCCAGCGCCATTATTAAGCCGTACCCGCAGCTCCTGTGAAGCATTCCACAGCTCTCGATACTCGTTCATATTGTACTTAACAATCAATTCCCCATTGGGCTTCTTGTGTTTAGAAGGCTTCTGCTCTTTGGAATCCCGACCCTCTGGGAAGTCCATCAGACATAGCCAAAGGTAAACATCGTCGCTGTAAAAGGGAACTTGTTTCTTAGCATCACTAAGGACCGTGGCGATAGACAAAATCAATGATGCAGTAGCCGGGCCGACACCACGAATAGGCGCGGTAAGGGCATCTAGACTGGCTTTAGGGAATGCATCGTTCGGCGCAACCACAGGATCCGCATCTGGGAGGGCGGCGAAAGCCGTAGATGTAGACTTGGTGATCGTCGCGTCTTGGTTGCTTTTCACCATTCCCATAAGCATGGGACGGGATACTCCATGTTTCCTAGAAGTAAGTCAGAAAAAGACCGAACGCTGTGGCATAGATCCAGCTGATTGTTACTCACGTCTTCCATTCCATGATATCAACTAACTCCTCCTTGAGCAAATGGGCACTCTCCGGCACACTTCCTTTCTGCCCACCCTCATTCGCCCGCTCCGCGATAATCTTCGGCAGAACTTCATACCGCCACCGGTCAAGCTGGAGGAACTTATCCGTCTCTTCGAGGATTTTCTTCTCGGACGGATCGAGCTCTGCCTTCGTGGTCGGCGCTGCGCTGACCTTCGTCTCCGCCTTGCGCTTTGGTCCCTTCCCCGCTTTTGACTGAAGCTTTAGCATTAGCTTGTCGCGGTGTACCCGTTCTACCGTTGAAGGGTAGTGGGATAGCAGGTTGTGGAAGGTCTCAAGGGTGATATGGCGCGGATGGAATGATTCATGTTGTTTCTTGTCATTCACTCCGCCATTAAGCTGGTCTTGGCTTTTCTCAGGTTGGACATGTGTCCTTATGTTTGTCTCCTTCGCCATGGTGGGGTTTACTGAGGGGAGGCAATTCGTTTTGGGGAGATGTTGGAAGGAAGTTGAAGCTTGTATGGAGACCTCGGGATTATCCGTATAAGCTGTTATCGCGAGCTGATAAGGTTTATGGGTTGTATTTTATTGGGTGTTTTGTAATTTTCAATATAATAAATTACGAACATATAGAACTCGGTCTGGTTCACCTTTGTGTCGGACTTAATCACAAATGTTAACTATTAGACAACAAAAACAACAAAAACAAAAATATACAACAGCATAAGTATGTCCGTGATCACCTAGCACCCACGATTCTATATCGTGGGTGGCTCGCCGCTTTAGCGGCCTCTAGGGCCCCATTTACTCACCTGAACGTTCGGCTCGCGCGTCAAAAGGCACTTACTAATATGTTGTGAAATCACTGCATGTCTTTCCCCCCCTCTCTCAATTTACGATACTGTGAAGGCAAAATACGTACTCATCATGACTGACGGTGGCCCCACTCCATTTGCTAATACACACTGTACGTACTCTTTTTTGGCCAACCTTATCGAAGCCTCTAGTATCTCGGCGAAGTTATTACAGAGCACACGATGCGTACTACTGTACCATGTAGATCAATAGGTGTGTAAAGAAGCCAATTAGGGACTTGAGTTGTAGTATAAAGAATTGCTGAATGATAATCTGCGCCTGTGGTTAAATTGCCGGCATGGCATCTATGCTGATGAGGCTGTCAGCATCTGACTCGCCTCCATCTGTCACGAGCTTGACGTTGGTTCCCTCTTTGACAGCTTGGCTTTCTTTACCGCTACATCTCTTGTTAAGCAATTTTTATCCACGAGCAGCCTTGTAGTAAATATACTTAGTCATTCAAAAGGTGCCCAGACACAGTGGCCACCAAGAGCCACATCCTGTGAGCTGTGAGCCCTGTCGACTGTCTAAACTAGCCCGCGATTATCGGTGACCTTGCGCATGGTGTGTTGGGTGACAAATTCCCTATGAGTACCCAGGTGTATTTAGAGGAAATATGCTTTAAGATCGATAATAATCGCCTGACAGTAGAGGGAACATGATTAAGCATCTAGCACGCCCGCGCGGGCTTACAGATCGGCCGCTGTTAGCCATACCTTCATTGGCTACCCAGGTAGGATGAGCGGCCCCACTGTCTGTATATCCAATGAAAGGCTTAGTATATGGCAGGGATGTCGGGGAGATCTGTGGGTCCCGCCGTCCGCCGCCCATGAAACAATAAGGAATCTACACCTATTTGTCAGGGTCGGCCAAGAGGTAGTTGGTATTACTACCCAAATAGAGATAATAGGTTCAAGACCATAGAGATGTCTGGCTCTATTTATTTCCCTATTTTCCCTGACTAGCTCACCATTTTCAACTTTGTCTTATCTTCTCTTCGCTGGTTCAGCCGAAGAAATCCCAATTCTACAGCATCAACTGCCAGGAAGCAAAGCATCATGATGGCATCACATATAGAGGCAGAAAATGACGAAGGTGCTTTGAAGGCTTCCGGCCAAGTGATCTCTTCCACCGATCTCGAAAAAGGAGCAAATGACTTCCAGAATGCACTCCCCGAGGAAGAGACGCGGCCGGGAGCAAAAGCTGGGCTGTCACTGAGACAGTTCTGGATTGTTATGTTCGGGTATGCTCTCTTGATATTCTTTATATTATGGTTACGGTGTTATCTAAGTATATTATCCAACAGATTGAATGTGGGAATGCTTTTGACTGCGTTGGATTTCAACATTGTCGCCACAGCTGTTCCCATTATCTCATCGGAATTCAATGCCTACAGCAATTCCTCCTGGCTGGGCACTGGATTTCTCGTTACTTTTGCCCTTGTTCTTCCTATCTATGGTAAGCTTGGTGACATTTTTGGGCGGCGAAACATGTTCGTTGTGGGAACCCTCATTTTCATTCTCGGAAGCGGCCTCTGCGGCGGTGCTAAGAGTATGAACATGCTCATTTGGTCCCGTGTGGTCCAGGGAATTGGAGGTGGTGGAATCTACGGCCTGGTTAATGTGAGTTGATTGAGATAAAACTTCAAGAGGATGCGGAAGTTTATAAACTGACTACCTGGGAACAGATCATTGTCACCGAACTTGTTCCCCTTCGTGATATCGGAAAGTACGTCTCGTTTACAGGACTGGTCTGGGCTATTGCCGATGTTGCTGGTCCACTTCTGGGCGGCGCATTTAGTCAGTGAGTGCCTCATGATCTATTTCAGTATGGCAATCAACACCTAACAATATCGGACAGATACGTCACCTGGCGCTGGTGTTTCTACATTAACCTATGCATCTCCCCAATCAGTCTCATTATCACTTTTATCTTTCTCCGCATTCCGACCCCCAAAATCGACAAGGGGCGTATTAAAAATTTCGACGTTATTGGAAGTATCACCCTCATCGGTGGTACCACCTGTCTCCTCCTAGGCATCTCCTGGGGCGGTAACAACTTCCCATGGAGCGATTCCCGCGTTATCGGCTGTTTTGTTGGTGGAATTGTATTGCTCGTGATTTTCGTGGTCTGGGAGCACTGGGCTAAAGATCCATTTATGCCACCCGTGTTCCTCAAGAGCCGCGCTGTCGTCGCTATCCTCTTTGCCGAGTTCTTTTACGGTACGAACTTACTAGGAATGATGTACTACGTACCACAGTTCTTCCAACTGGTCTACGGCGATTCCGCCACAATTTCAGGCGTCGCTCTATTGCCAATGATGCTGGGTCTGGCGATTGGTAACCCTGTCGCCGGTTGGGTTACCAGCAAGTACGGTCTCAGTCTGGCCAATGCATGGGTTGGCGCAGCACTGACCGTATTGAGCAGCGGCCTGATCACGCGCTGGGCAGCGAGAACAAGCCGTGCAGAAGCGATCGTGGAGTTGATCATCTTTGGTATTGGGCAGGGTGCTGTTATGGAAGGTCTACTGGTCGGGGCGCAGTTCTCAGTCGAGCCCATGCACATCGGTATAATTACGGGTTTGGTTATATTTGTCCAGACTGTCGGTGATATTTTCGGTATCGCTATATACGCTGCAGTCTACCAGAACGTGCTGCGAACCAAGCTGCACCACCTGGCCTTGACTATTGAGCAGATTGGAACCATCCTTTCCGATATACAGAAGGTGAAGACGCAGTTCAAGGGTGAGATGTACCAGTCAATAATCGAGGTGTATGCGGAGAGCTTGCAGAATGGTTGGTGGTGGCTGTTTGCCTGTGCAGTATGTTTGTTGATCAGTTCAGCTTGTGCGAAGCAGCGGAAACTATAGACTTTGGCGGAATTGACCTTCCAATGGGGGATGGATTATCTAATTGGTCTTTGTTAATGAAGGAGAGGATATTGATGTATGTATCATATGCCTAGCAGCCATCCAATAAGAATGAGCTATAGTTTTCCTAGAGGCAACCAGAGGCCATCCTAGGATTCTATGGTAGAGTTTTTTGGAATCGTGTTTTTCCTCGTGAATGTCTTTCGCGGTTGCAGTCTCGCATTAACAATAAGATGGAGCATCGACCAAGATATAGGGCATATGCGGCATTTTTACGATTGGCTTATATGGCCGAGTTATGATTTCGAGTTTTCGCCAACTAAGTGGAGAGGAACCGGATAGACCGACGATAATGATAATTGGGCCCTTATCCAGGCAACCGGGGGATGTTCTACGAAGCCGGGGGTATGCAATGCAACCTTAGGTGGGGCGGCCGGAGAAGGATATCTGGCATCGAGGGTATACGGGCACTTTATTAATATGAAGGAGGCTCGCGGAGTTAGAGATGAAGGTGCTCAGTAACTACCCTAAGGAAGGAGTAGGATTATCGATACGAAAGAACAGGATGCTATATCATCCTAGTGGCTACACTCCTAGGCGATAAGCATTGTAGGCTGGGGTATTGCGTCCGGTAAAAATAAAAGGAGTGGTGCACCGGGCTGAAAGAAAATGCACAGTAATCGGTGGGGGCCAAAATAGAAAAATGGGGGCGGCAAGATCGCGTCTGTATGTCAAGGCAGACATAGAGAGAAGGTTGCGTATTGGGGGTGCTAAGAAAACTAACCACATCCAGTCACAGGTCCGCCGTTTACAGGTGAGATTGAATCTCACATGGATACAAAGTACAACATAGACTATTCTAGGCCGCAAATAATCCACATATACTCGGCACAGATGCATAGAATTACAGATATGACGAGCATATGGGTCAAAAACAATGGCTCGGACTACGCAGCTCGCATGTGAAATACGTTAGTAGTTAAGATCTGTTGTGTCGAACAATTCTTGCACGTTAATATATTATTACCTAAGCGTGTATTCAGTCAGCGCTAATTCTGGCCGAAACAAAGACTGCTCTTATAAGTACAGAGTAATCTACTATCGACAGTCCACTACGCTTGATGTTCTAGTCTCTTCAGGACTATTTGCCACTTCTCCTATCTATATATCCATGGATATCCTTTGATGTATCCAGTTCAATAGAAAAGGCTATCTTTGGTGATATCTCTTTCAGTAGCCCCAATGGTCACACATCCTCGTCTCTCTCGTACCCACCAGGTGTCGGACCCCGCCAAGGACCATCGTCAGTTAACCAAGCCACGGAAGCAGGCGTGTTTAGTATGTCCCCACATCCTACCTGCCTATACTGAATTTGGAGCTAAAGAACGGTCCCCCATTAAGGCATGTCGTCGACGGAAGAAGCGTTGTGATGTAAGCCCCACACAGACCACCTGCACCCCACCTGCAGAATCCAGGCACCGAGGCTGACTCTGGTGATGCAGGGCAATCAGCCTGCTTGTTCGGCATGCAGTGGCTGGAAGATGGAATGTGTCTATGCCTCAGGCTCCCAAACCCCATTGGATCATGGGCTTTCTACCCCTAACAGCGCTATGGAGATGGGCGTTGCCGCCTTTGTTCAAGACCTGCCTGATACATCTTTTGATTTTCTGCCGGAATTCTTCCCATTTACCTCGGATACTACACATGGTGTGTTGGGGTGCGGCGAACAATC